ATTATGCATAGAGATATTAAAGGTTCAAATGTTTTAGTTGATGATAATGATAATATTATATTAATTGATTGGGGTTTAAGTTAATTTTATGATGAAGGAAGACAGCAATCTACTAAAATGGGTACCAGATACTATAAAGCACCAGAATTATTAATGAAATATAAATAATATGATTATTCAATAGATATATGGGCAGTAGGATGTATGTTGGCAGATTTTATATTTAAGACACATCCATTATTACCTGGAAAGGATAATGAAGATTAATTAAAGAAAATAATATCTATGTTAGGAACAAATGATTTATATGAATACTTACAGAAATATGATATTAAGTTAGATCTGGATGAACTTCCTTTAGTTTAGAATCGAATAGATTTTACAAGATTAATAAACAGAAAGAATTAAAATTTAGTTAGTAAAGAAGGGATTGACTTACTTGAAAAAATCTTTATTTATGATCATGTATAAATTTAATATAATATGAATAGAAAAAAAGAATAAATGCAAGTTAAGCCCTTGAACATGCATTCTTCTTATGATTTAATTAAAATATATAATTTTTACAGTATATATAAATATAACTAAATTAATAAAACGTGTTGAATAATTAAATTAATAGATGAGTTAAGTGTCTCAAAGATAAAGAAGTCCTTCTCCTTAATCCCCAGAAAAGGTTGCTTAAAGAGAGAAAGCAGCTTAAGCAATGAAAAGACGTAATTAAACATAGCCAAGCTTTTTTGAAAAATATGCTTACCATTTGGTTATAGGAGCATTTGGATTTGTATGTGTTTATGCTTTGTTTTCCATATTGACAAGATCAAGCAAGAAATTAACAACAGCTCCTGTAATAGATGAAGAGGAAATAGCTGCTCATAATTCTTTAGGATCATATTAATAGGGACCAAATGATTTCTTTAAAGATTGGAAATTTAGTGATGCTAAATTTATTTTTAATAATCATTTGACATTCAAAGGAAAAATATAATAATGCCCTGAAAGTAGTGTTATTATTCCAGAAAGTTATAACTTCAGAGAAGCTTAACCAGAATGTGCATAACCAATCTATTTTTAAGGTATTAATATTATATTAAATAAAAAATAGGAAATTGTTCATCAAGTTATTCAATAGCAGCTGTTTCATCTACAAGTGATAGATTATGTAAATCTAGAAATGGAGAATTTTAAGAACAATTATCACCTTAATCTCCAATATCATGTGATGATAAAAATTATAAATGTGGAGGTGGTAGTGTAACAAGAGTTTTAGAAGTTGGTAAAAAATAAGGATTTGTATCAACTTCATGTTTACCATATACTGGAACTGAAGATGCTTAAAATGATTGTGATGCTTTATTTTCTAATTGTGAAAAATACAAGATTTAAGATTATTGTGTAGTTTCAAGCGAAGAAAATATTAAAAGAGAAATCTTGAATAATGGTCCAGTTGTTGCTGTGATTTAAGTCTTTAAAGATTTCCTTGTTTATAAAGGAGGAATTTATGAAATAGTAGAAGGAAGTTCAAAGTATTCTATATTTTAAATTAATTAGATTCTAATTTGGTCATGCAGTTAAAGTTATTGGTTGGGGTAAATAAGATGGAGTTAATTATTGGATTATTGAAAATTCATGGGGAGACACTTGGGGTATGAAAGGATTAGCTTATGTTGCTGTCGGTATTTTTAATTTCTTATTTCTTTAGGTCAAAACTAATTACAATTAGAAGCTTATTCTGTTGCTCCAATTATTGCTGTATCTACAGAAAAAAGTGCAGAATGAGTTTTAACATATTGTCTACATTATTGTTAATTTTATATTAAATATAAAAGCTTATTTAATTAATAAAAGATTTCTATTTTAAGAATGTTATATTATTATCATTATAACTCTTTTTAAAGAATCTAATATGCAAAATTACAAACTTAAGTGAACATCAATGCCATACTTTATAAAGTCTCTCCTGGTTATAACAATTTACGAACTTCTACTGATTTATCTAATTTAATATATTTATTATTATTATTTACTATTTTATTACAACTGTGCACTCTAATTTAAAACTATTTATAATACACCAAAAGCTAAAGGCAATGTAAATATTGGCAATCCACTAGTCATATCTACTGATTAATGAAATGAGTGATGCTATTTAATATTACCTATAAGTAACGATTCTTGTGTTTTTGCTACATAACCAATTACTCCAATATCAGAACTATATTCAGTAGTATGTAAATCATCCTTATATGTATAAATTATTCCTTAACTATAAAAGAAAAATCTACTACTGGCTACACCAAAAAGGGTTTCAGCATGACTTTCAATAGACTTTTATAATTTATATTTCGACTTCTATTTTGATAATTCTATAAATGCTTCAAATAAAAGATTTTTATATCTCAATTAATAATTTATAAGTTTAAATTACAAAACTTTATCGATTATAGCCAATAGTAATTAAGAAATCAATAATCCTAGGTATTTTGCATCTTACTTTTTATTATTTAGATTTTCTAATGATATTATACCAATTAATCTACTCTCATTAAGTAAGGGAATAAGATAACAGTCTTTTGCAAATCTAGCACTATTTATATTTCTATAAATAAATGCTTATTATTTATAAATTGGTTAACAAGATTTTACTACATTAAGAAATTCATCTGTATCTATATAAGCATTCACTAATTCATTTTTTTAATTATAAGTGTAAAATGTAGCTGTCTATTAATCTATAAGCCATAACTAAATTAATTCACAGTTAAACAATTATGAATCATTGCTCAATTTTTGCATTATTAATTCTATCTGATCAATTTTCAAAAGCTATTTAATTAAATTTATTAAGCTATTCACACTTTCTCCTAAATTTTTATATTATACAAACAAATCCATAAATATGCTTATTTAATCAATCTAATATTGTTAATCCATTTAAAATAATTAATCGATGGCTTATTTGATACCACAATCTAATAAGTCTTATACTTAATTTTTCTACCTCTATTTTAAATTATTTAATTTAAAATCTAATTTATTAGGTAAATTCACTTGCTAAAAGACATCTATAGCCTCATCATCTTAATCATTTGAATCTACTATCGTCTTTTAAGCTATAGTATTCCCATTTAAATCATAAGCTGAATACCCTAATAGTTTTAATTATTTCTCTAAAAGCATATTTCTCTTTTGTAATTTCTGATTCTTTTCTTTCAAATCTTAAACAGCTTGTTCTAATTTTAAAACTTCTTAACATTTTTAGAATGCCTTCCTCTTATTTGCTTCATTTTCTTTAAGCATATCTTCTATAATGTTTCTCAATGTATCTTTATCCTAAAATTCTTGAAGAATATTACTTTTTTATAATCACTTCCACTTAAAACTTCTAGTCTTTATTCCAAAGTAAAAACTCTTCTTTAATTTTATTAATTTTAACTAGCTTCTTTTCTTAATGTTTTCTTATAAACCTAAGTTTCTTCATTTGTATGTTAAAGATGTTATTTAATTGATTGCATATTTTTCTCTGTATACTCATTTTACTTTTGCACTATTTCAAATTAATTTTACAATTTAGAGTATTTCAATTTCATATTCTAAAGATCTCTATACAATTTATTTGAATCTAATTCTGTAACTTATGCTTATTACAATGATTCTTGTAAAGATTAAATTATCTTTTTTAGATTGAAGATATCAGCTTCTTTCAGTATTTTAAGTTATTCAACTAAAGCATCTGCTTGCGATAATCGTTATTAACAAAGATGTAAATGAGTTTATTATATCCTATAAATATCATTCATTGAATTTGAATAATTTATAAACTCACTGATTATATTACTATCAACCTTATCTTTGAAAGAATTAATTAAATCATCTAAATAACCATGCATAAAATTTTATCCTTAAGGCTTTCTGGATTTTACTTATCTGATTTACAAATATTTTCTCTACAAAGAATCTAACTATGCTTCTTTTTATTATAATAGACTATGCAAAGATTATGTGCTTTAACCCTAATCATCATATTTACTTATCAATATTAGAATCTGATTCAAAATACAATTTACTATTTTGGATTGGTCTTTAATCTACTCTTGCACTTTACTTTCTCATTGATGGAGGAACACTTATCAAATCAAAGTAATTATTTGACGATATTTCTGATATTTGAGGTTACATCAAATTTTTATTATAAAAATTATTAGTTTATTTATTACAACGACAACTACGCTATTCTAAAAACTTTGCTAATTTTTTCTAAACTCAATACTTATAAATAACAATATTTATTTGTATTGACTTTAGAAAAAATCAGAATTAATATTGTAGACCAATTAATTTTCTTATTCTAGCTAAAAATATTATTATTGACTTATTAGAATTATCGATTTACTTTCAACTAAATTTAATTACTAAAAATTTTAATACATACCTCATTTAATGATAACTTTTATTAAATCATCCCTTAAAAAAAGATAACCAAATTATATAAAATATATGATTAATATAATTTCTAATTGAAATATGTAATAATTCAATAGATATTATCCAATATTTAAGTCATTAAGTTCAATATAAATTTTAAAATTTATTATAATAGTTTTGGTAATTTGAAAAAATATGAATAACCCCTCTTAAATTAAATCTATAAAGTGGCCATTTAAATTTTGTATTCTTTCACAATAATAAAGGTCAAACGTTAAATTATATAATGATATTGTTGTTGGCTGGAAGTATTAAGAATAGTTCATTATATCAATAAATCATAGGTTATTATTTTATTATTGAATGCTTTTCATATGTATTAAAAGAGATTTGTTATTAATAATTTATAGAGTTCATTTTCAATAATTTATTGTGATATTGATATTAATTTAATTTTATAATGATTAGGATATAAAAATGTATTGGAGATGAAGAGATTGAGTTAGAGAAAGATATAAATCTCTGGTTCGAAAGAATGTGCACAGAAATAAGCGCAAAATAATAAGAAACTAGATCAAGAACTGATAAATATAATGTTGAAATAAAATCTAAAACGAAAAATCATAAAATTTGTTTTAGAGATGAAATTAATCCAGAAGCAGGATTAGAAGATGTAAATCTAGTCGAAAATTGGAAAGAATTTAATATTAAATAAAGAGATCAAATAGATGATTGTTTTTGCTAAATTTCATGAATCTTATATTTATTTAAAAATAAAGAAACTACATTAAGAATAACTTTTTTTTAAATATATGGTTTTTTTGTTGATAATTTTTAAAGAACTTAATAAGAAATAGTTTTATTAATTTATCACTGATATATTTAAATATAAATAATTCTTAAGATCCTAAAATAATTAATTAAATTAAGTGATAATGAGGTTATTAATAAGTTAAAAACTTTATATTAGTAATCTAAGAGATAGACATATTTTTAATTTTTTTTTTAATTTATTATACTTGTCAGTGATTATTTTACTGATCTACGCAATATATTATTATGAGATAAACTTCTTATTTCAATTATTCATATTTTAATAAAATTTCTTCTTTTTTAGGTAGCTTTGGAAACTTTTTAGCACCTTAAAGATCAATTACTTTTATTTCAGAAACTTATCCATTTTTGATTTATAAGTAATCGTTTATTTACCTTACCCATAATAAAATTAAGAAATTTATATTTAACTATATAAGAGAAATAAATATTATCAAGTTTTTAAGATTAATCACATTCCCAAATTTCCTAAATAATTTGAAAAATCGGTATCTTAAATATAAAAATATAATTACTTGGCCCAACACTTAAAATAAAACGATAAAGGGATCCATCACTGAAAATCATCAATAAAATAAAGTCTTCATTTTCAATTTCTAAATAAAATTTATATATACAATAAGAGAAATTAATTATTCCAATTTTAGATGTATTATAATAAATGTGAAAAATAAGAGGATGCTATTCTGGTAGGCTTGTTATATCTTATATTAATAAAAGTTCTCCTTTTAGAGTTGAAACTAGTAAATGAAAATCTTAATAAAAAGCAAATTGTGTAATTTAACCAATATTATTATAGATATATCTTCTGATTAAAAAACCATTAATTCTATAAATAATATCTATATTATACCTTGTAACTATAATCTCACTATTTGTTGTTAATAATGCAATTATTCCATTTTTATTTGAAATTACATTCCAAATCTTTTCACCTTAACTTAAATTAAATCTAATTTCATTTAAAAATAAACCAGATATTATTGAGTGTATTTATAATTTCCCTTATTTATCTAAACTTATAACAATCTCCATATCATCATCAATTATCACACATTTAATTGATTTTTCATGTCCATATAAGATATATTTTGGAGATGATCCAAAAAATGGTATTTTTTCATTTGATTACTATAATTTCCAAACTGTTACTCTGTTATCTTTAGCTCCTAAACATAATACCTTTAATTTTGATGAATAAAAAAGACATGTTACTCTTCTTTTGTGAAGTTTAATTTTATTACAAATAGGATTATTTTAGGTTTTATCTTAATGAAGATCAAAAATATAAACAGCTCCACTTAAATATCCAGACACAAATAATAAATGATCTTCAATTTAAAATTAATGACCTAATATATGATTTGATTTATTATTTTTTTAATTTTCAATAACTTAATTATGTTAATCCTTAATAATATCGCATTTTTCTAAGTGTAATTTTTCAACATCTTATATTGAAAATAGCAACGATGACAACAATTTTTCTTCAGTCTCTTTTTTCTCTAAATTTATATTATATCTAAAATATATTTCTAAATAATTACTTAAATTTATAAACAGATAAAGTATTTATTAAGACATATAAAAAATCATTCTCTTTATAAATTTTTAATATAAGCTTTTTATCTAATTTTAACATTCTTTTCGCATAAATCATTTTATTATCTCTTAGAATTTTTACTAAATTTTATGGAGAATAAATATTTTATTTAATTATTTTTTTTGGTTTATGAGCTTTTTAAAATAATTAAAATGGAACTTAACCAAATGATTAAATCTATGTTAAATATCCCTACTTATCATGATATGATAATTTATCTAATGATTACCAACAAGTTTCATAAGTCAACCAATGATATAAATTATCTCTTTTTTTTGCTTCTTCTCCTTATGAATATGGTCCAAAAACTAAATTAATCCAATTATGTAATTTCTCACTTACAAAAGTAGATTCTAATGCTTTTCTATTAATTTCTATAAATTATTCACAACTTTCTGCCCAAGGAGGCAAAATCACATTATCAACAATCTCTTAATTTTATCTTAAACCAAATTATATTTTATTAATATTCTTCAAAAATTCAGGAAAATAAAAATATTCAGGTATTAATTCTCTAAAATCTTAATGATCATTTTAACAAGAATCCCAAGTATTAGGAATTGAAAAAAATATACGATCTGCCTAATCTAATTTTCCATCTTATAATTCACATTAAAGAGTAGTAAAAGGTTCTATTCTCACTAAAGTATTTATTATTTAAGCTGCTACACTAAAATGTGATCCAAATAAAAAATATTCCATTGAAGTCTACTTTAAAGACTCTGCTCTTTATTTAATATTCTCCAATCTTTCCTTATTTATATTACCAATCATCTTATCTAAATCTCTATACTATTCTCTATTATTCTAATTAATCAATCAATATTATACTAAATCTATTGTTTTACTAGTATAGTCACTAATAACCCAAGGGAAAATAGGGTATTAATTTAAATCATTTAATGATCTACCAGAATATTTATTTATCAACATTAAGTATTCAAAATTCGATATTTCTCCTTAACGCCATTTATTTGTATAATTCCGAGCCTAAAATTCTAATATAAATCAAAAACTTTACCTGCTCTACGATCTACTACTATACGGATATGATAATATTGTTTAAAATAATTCAAAAATTAATTTCTTTTTTCACTATCATATAAAACAAAAAAATATGATTTTTGATTTTTACAAAATATTTCTAATGCTATTTCTTTATGAGAATAACGTCGAGTCTATATTTCATATATTTAAGATGTATTTAAAGTTTTAATCGTTTTAACCTTTTTTAAATTGAAAGACTATAAATGATAAAAATATTTAAATACTATTGTTCCATATGTATAGAACTCCTGTTCAGGACGCTCTTTAGCATCACTTTAAAATTATAAAATTCTTCCTTTTTCTAATATTTTTAACTCTCCATATACTTGCATTTTAACTCTTATCCATTCACACTAATATATAATTATATCATTCTAAATTGATGATCTTTCTTCAAAATTATAATCTATAGTTTTATCACTTTTTGTATCTTATATATTTTAATTCAACTAAATGGTTGGTATTTATTTTTTTGGAGAATAATTTTATGTGTTATTTCTTTAAGTTGTCCTTTTTACATTTTATGATTTTACTCTTATAATTTCAATATACTTATTTGAAAAGTATTTTTCATTAGATGAAGTAAAATTAGGCTTTTCAATTAAGGTGAAATCTGTTAATACTGTTTGTTTTGTTTCCAAATCATTAGATTTAGCTAAACTTTGTTCATCAAATTATTATATTTGTTAAATTTAAAATCCTGAATTCTAAGAATTATAAGAATTTTATTCCAATTAATCTAAATTAAATTAAGATACTGTTGGATTACTTTAATCATATATGATTGAATTAGAATTAGAACTAGTTACATTTGTATCTATTTACTAAATTTTTTGACTTAATTGAATAGGAGATTCTCCTTAAGTTAACGAAGAACTATTTTATTTAGTTAAATTTAAATGAAACTGTTGACAATTTAAGTAATCTTCTCTAGATTTTCTCATATCTTTTTTTAAAAACAATTATCTGCCAAAATTATCGAAGTAATTTGTTCTTCTATAAACTCCTTAACTTCTTGTAGTTCCATTTTACAAAGTCACCTATAATGTTTTTAATCTACTTGATCTTCTTTCAAAATTTTCGAGATTAAAGTATGTTTAAGTGGATATTTAAATTATAAATAGTATGATTTCAATATTATCTAAACTTAAAAATACTTCAGCCAAACTTGCATCTTCAATTATATTTATTCCTTAATAAAATACTTTTACTATTTTATTTTATTCTTACACTATTTTGTGCTAAACTTGTTTTTTTATCATATTCATAAAAAAATTCTATTCTTATATTGCTTAAAACTTTATAACTTTTATTACATCTTTAATTTCTACTAATTAAAAACAAGTTTTGAATTTCTCGATATCCAAATATTAAAATTCCCTGCCTAATAATTTTATTATATAATACTTTCTATATCTTCATTCCCAAATATAAATAACTCCTTTTCTATAATATCTATTAAATTATTTTAATTTCTTAAAAAAATAGCATCTATTTATTTTGTATACAAAATCTTTTCAATTAAAATAAAATTATTTATGGTTCCTTAGAAAGAGTTCTAAAATTATTAATTAATATAATAAGTTCCTATATTCAAAGTAATATAATATTTCTCTGAATATTTTTTTGTATACTCAGTTAAAAAAGATTTAATTTGAAAATTTTTTTTTGGTTCATCTTAGATTTTAATTGAGAATGTATGTTTAGGTTTATCTTCAAACATAATTAATAACAAAATTAATTCATCTTTAAACTTTTAAGTGAAATTCAAATTTATGTCATACATTTTTTATTCAAAATTTAATATAGAAATTTTGAGAGAATTTTATAATGGATTTATTTTTTAATTTTCGTTTTAAAAAGGTGGTTTTAAAAGTGCAACCCTAAGAAAGTCAAGTTAATCAATATTATGTTTTTGGTTTGACTCATTTGTAGAAGATTAATTATCTAAATGTCCGCTCATATTAAATAAAATTTGTTCATCTTTAAATATTTCATCCTTATTTTTAGCATTGGAATTAATAAAATAAAAGCTTTCCCTCTTAAATTCAATTAATAAGGTAAAGGACTTATATTTTTTACTGCATAAATCTTAATAGTTCTTAATTACTAAACCACTATCTTTACCGAGTAATTAAAACTATTTTTTTCCTTTAAAATCCTTATTCATATTTTAAAAAGTTTCTAACGTTGCTCCAACATATTAAGAAAAATTAGATTGTCTAAAAACTTTATTTTTTTATGGATCTTTAGGAGCATTTTGGATCATTTTTTAAATTTGATCATTTCTAATAAATGATAAAGATCTTTTTAAGACATCTTCCATTGATTATTATAATTTTTTATTTCTTTGATTTCTCATACATTATAAGAAATTCTAAGATTTAATCAATAAATTACAGATAAACGAATACATTCTCTGAAAATTAATTAATTGTACTCATTAGATGATAAAAGAACACTTAGAAAAAGTAAACACTTTTATTTTAGTTATTCTGATGAATGACTATTAAAAATGAATACTTCAACTAAAATCTAAAAATAAAATTAAATATATTACCTTTAAACAAAATTCATTTTAGATAATGATTTCTCCATATTATTCTGAATAATAATAATCAGTAGGATTTTATAATTTGAGAAATCTATTAATCATAGAAACTGAACAATCTTATAAGAGTTCTATTAATTCCTTTTATTAATCTTCTGATAATAAATTTAATTTAAGTTCTAAAAATTAAACAAATTCATCAGCAAATTCAACTTAAGTTAAATTTAAACCTTCTGTAAGTAACCATTCTAATTTAATAAACTCTTTTAAAATGTAAACAAAATTAGTTGTATTTTAGATACCTTATATCAATTTAATAATCATAGAGAAATAGTTATTTACTTGAAAAAATTCTTGAAAGCTTTTTTTAATTTTATATTATTTTAATTTTAAACATGTATTTGGATCTTATGATGATGAAAATATTTATTCCATATTAACAGGAGCATTTTCAAGACAAAGATATTAACAGATTTATAATAAAGTATGAAATTTTTAAGGATGAATTATTTTCTTTTCACTTTCCATAGCCAAAATAGAAAAAAAAAAATTATTTCTTGTTCCTAATTATTAATCTTCATTTTCAAGAAAAATAGAGACAATAGATTGTAAAATTTTTACATAAAATGGATTCTCTGGCTACCATCTTGACCATATTAATTAAAATACTGTCTATTTCATAGGAGGATTCAATAATTAAACTTAATTTAAAACTTTGTATAAAGTCTATAAGACAATTTCATCATTTTTTAAAATAGGATCAACTAAGAATTCAATTGATGATTTTATGAGATTTTACAATAATTTACTTGATTTTACTAATTACTGTTCAAGTGGATAAATAGTATCGATAAAATCCAATAAGATATTTGTTGATTTAATGTATTACTTAGTATTTTATTGGTCATGTAGAATCAAATATAACCCAGCACTATCTTTCAATTTACTAGTAATTGATTTCTATATAGGAATTATAGGGTTTAATTATTAATTTAATTTATGTATGAAACTTAACCAGAATTCAGTTTTCTCATCAAACATTCTATCTTTTGTTTCTTCTTCAAGTTAATGCCAAAGGAGATGAAATATTTATATAATCTCATCCAAAATTAAATCAGTGAAATTAGTTTCATCAATAAATCCTAAATATTGAATTGAGGCTAAAAAAATAAATGATTAAATTTACATAATATTTCAAATAATATTTTAATGCAAAAATTATCATATTTAATTTAAGTACATTAATTATTTATAAATTCTTCTAAGAATAATCGAACTTATTCAATAACAATAGGATTTTTAGATTAAATCCATATTCTTATAGATTAAAGAATTAGATTTATTTATGTTGATTATGATAATAATTTTAGATTAGAGAATATTAACTTAGAAATCTCACAATTTCTTTCTTCATTAATAGTAAATATTTATCTAACTATCTATTTTGAAATATTTAATTTTTCATCATTATTATCAACAAATAATTACATTAATTGGATTAAATATTGAGTTTCATGTTATCTAATATTTTTGATTATTTGATCAGGTAATTTAGATATTAGTTAGTCAGTTAAGAACATTTGATTAATACAAATAGCTATCAATGATTAACCTTCTATATAATTGTTATAAAAAGAATCTTTAGATAAATCCATCAAAATAATATAAGCTTTCTTATAAAAAAATTTGGAATTAGTTATATCATTGATATTATCAGTATCTTTATCAACTTAAATTTGTTCTGCTAAGTTTAAAAGTTAGGTTGATTAATTTAGAAGCATGATGACACACTCAAAATAAATTAGTCTGCACAAGGGAGGAGAAGTTTCTGTAATTGAAAGTAATTGAGCAAAGTTCTTATTGCTTATCTTAATGATGATAAGCAAGAATTGTTTATATAGAGCATAAATAAAATATTATTTCTCAACATACATTATGTGATAACCAAAAATAAAGTAAGTAAGAAAAACTACTTTTTGATTAATGGTATTAATTTAAATGAGTTATTCTTAATTAATTTAAGCTTTTTCCTTGCTTAATATAGCAACCTAATTACTAATTTCTTTTAGACAATCAATATTATGTAATTCTGTTAGGTAGTTATTGTATAGCCATTAACTGTATAAAAAGGATTTGTAATCTTCATATTGGATTGTTGAATTTCTTTATTAAATGAGCATTTAATTAATTAACTATATGATTAAACACTTTTTTAGAAAATATATCATCAATATTATAAAAATCAAAAAAATCGTCAGCTGCAGGATTCGAACCTGCGCGGGTAAACCCAGTGGATTTCAAGTCCACCGCCTTAACCACTCGGCCAAACTGACTTGAATTATACTTTTTATTTAAATAACTATATATTCAATGATCTTCTATTTTTAATTCTAATTCTAATTCAAGATTATTATTGATATAAAACTCACTTATCTCAATTTTATATTACTGATTCATATCATATTCAATCTATTCAATAAATCTCTCTCCAAAAAACTATTTTATTAATTAATCAAAAAATAAATTTGGCAACTCTATTTCTTCAATTATTAATTATTTTTTATTTTAACTTCCTGTTATTTCAAATGTTATTTTATCTTAAGATTTTAACTTACCTTTCATTCTCATTTAATTCTATTAAATAATTATTTATATTACATTCTCAGCTTCATAAAATTATTCACAAACAAAAAAATCAGATATACACTCTCCTAAATAATTTAAAGACAGAATTTCATAATTCCAATCTTTTTTATTAAATTTAGCAATCATCTAAATATTATTTAATTTGATATTATCTTCAATAGAAAATAAATGAGGAAAAACACTATTGTTGTTTTTAGGAATATGATATTATTTCTATATAGAAGATAGTTATATCTAATATAATTTATTCTATTACATCCATTTCAATTTAACTTTTCTCTATACAAATTTATTTTTCAGAAAATGCAAACCAAAATTCTATATTCTAATCTAAAAATTTTAATGATTGAACTAGATCTAATATTTCCTACTTATAACCAAAATGTAATCCAATAAGATGGGCATTTTTAGTTGTGATCAAATATGCCTCATTTGATTTACAATTTTTGCAAATAGAAACTTATTTACAATCAATCTAATCTTATGGATAAGGTCCAATTTTCATTTTATTGTTTAATTTTTCATTAGGATGAAAATCAAATAAGGTATCCTCTCTCTTTAAATCTTCTATCACTTTCCTTTAACGTTCATTTGGTAAACCAAACACTAAAGAATTCAAGAAATAAATATAAATGATAATCATAATGAATATAAAATTACCAATAAAGTAAATTTTTTTTAATTACGAGAAAATAACTAAAGTATTAAATAAAAATTTTATTTATAATTTTAAATTTAAGAAAATACAATAACTCTTAATTGTGTATCTAAAATAAAGATAGATGACAAATAAAGGATATCTAAATTAAAAATTTATGAAAATTAACATAATTATTTCCATAGAATTTCATTTTTATTTTTTGTAATAATAGAAAGGTAATCTTTCATTTTGAAATTCAGATTGTATGAGTAAAAATAATTAATCACTTTCTAATAAAGAAATGCAGGATCACTGTAAGGACTGCGTTAACAAGGGAAGAATTAAATTATTATTTGGAGAAAAAATTTAAAAAGGCACAGAATCAATCCAATAAGCCAAAAGCATATATTATTGGAAAATTTGCAGTTGATTGGCAATTTAATATTAAATTTAGTAATTTCTTTAAATTATTCTATATATTTATTGCTTTTTTATAATGACATAAATAAAAAAGGTTTTCTTTTTAAATAAGGATTTCCAAATTTTTATTAAACTCCACTGCTTTTTCTTATTTGAAACTAAATTAATTCACAAATAATCCATGGATATATAGTATCTTAGCAATATCATAAATTTGAAAGTAAAATATTATAAATAAATATTTGATTATATTTATTTTTCTCTTTATTGTTTATAATTTAAATATTTAAAGCAAAAATAATAATTTATAATATGAGATGAACATTTTATTCCCAGATAACTTTACTGTGTCTATTCAAAATTTAAACTTACTATGTTTTCAGCATCTTTTCATTACAGAGAGGATTTTTTTATAAATTTATTTCATTCTATTAGAAAAACCCTTTGTGACTCTATTATCATTACTTTATTATTTTATGAGAAAATCGGCAGAATTTCCCCATTATTTTATTTCTGTTATTTAATTGAATTATATATAATCCATTATGCATTAGAATTTCTAGATTCTCAATAATTTGTATCAATAATATTATCGCATGTATTACTCATTTTTATCAATTTTATATCATCCAAAAATGCTTAAAAAGATAAAAATTTATTTAAAAGTATTTATATATATATAATCAAAAAGAAATAGCTATCAAATTTATCAAAATAATAAAATAACAATTCTCTAAAATAATAGGAGTATATTTTTTAATTTAAGTTTTTTATTTTAACTTTTTTTATTGTCTTTTTATTAAAGAGAAAAATTATTTTATATTTTCTAAGTTTAAGATTAAATAAATTAACTCAGTAAATTTATTTTTATAGGAATAATTTAATATGCGTCTTCATTTAAAAAAGTCATAATATTAATTAAAGAAAATTTATATTAATTTTGTAATTTATTTAAAAATCAAGAGATTTAAAATTTCGAGTAGTAAATATTCTTAAATCTGTTAAATATTTTGTAAATTAAAATAATAAATAATAAAATTAAAGAATTTTAGAGAAATACAACAGCTTTGCTATTTATCAAAAATTATTTCTAATTTCATTAAATTAATGAAAATCTATTTTTTTTCAATTTTTTTAATTTACTCAAGTCTTTTAAGCATAAAGATTCGGATTGTTCTACTATCTAAATTATATTATTTAAATAAATGAAGGATAATCTGAGAATTCTTTAAAAAACGATATTATTTTAGTAAAATGATATTATTTTTATTATGCACAACGAGTTTTAATCACATAAAGGCAAAAGATAGATTAAAATTTAGCCATTTTTATAAGGAAGAATAATATAAGCAAAAAAGCTGAATAATAGCTTTCTATTTCATAACTCTAGAATGATCTCTCTATTAAATAATGGAATGCTAGTTTATTATAGTAGATGTTTTAAATGGTCCTCTAAATAATTTGATAAGCTCAAGGAAAAGCCAAAATGTGGGGTATATTTTAACAATGTTTATCATTCATGTGTTAAATATTCAGAAAATGAGGTTGAACTGATTGTAAAATTTAAGAAGTCTCAGATTTATCATTTTGAAAATCTAAATAATAGCTACGTGAAGGAGCCAAAATCTGAGGAAACTTTGCTTTGGATTTTCCTAATATCTGTAAATGATTTAGATGGGAAAGAAAAGTTTCAGTCAGTTAGAGAAATGGAAAATATTCATTCATTATATTCAATCAAAGGAACTATTCCTGATGAAAAAACTTTGAAAAGTATTTCTTAGTAGGTAAGGACTGAAAAAACCATAATTTAATAAAGGAATATTATCAAAGATTCCAAAAATAAAAAGTAAGTCTAATGGTTGGATTTATAAATTGAGAAGATAATTAATGATAATAATTAAATACATAATAATGGCATAAAGAGTGAATAATTAAGTTAAGATGATTAATGGGAAATAAATGAGGAGAGTATCGATTTTATAGTTAAAAGTATGCCAGTTAAAAGATCTTCCTTACCATGTCTCATTCCTACTAAAAAAATAAATTGATTATTTCTGTTTTTCTGTAGTTTATTTGTAAAATTTTTCATATTTCAATAATTTATCTGTAAAATTTTCATAATTTAATAATTTTATTACTTCATTTGAAATATCCAAATTTCAATTTAAAATAATTGATTGCTAATCATAATTATTATTTAAAATAAGTTTTATTTAATAAAAATGCTTTTTATGATTGGAAATTAACTTAAAAAGTTATTAAAAAAAATAATCAAGCTCTTAAAATATTTTAATTTTATAAATATTTTCATTATAAATTTCAATTATAGATTATGAAATTCATCAACAGTAGTATTAATACTCTTTATAAACTTAAAGAAATATATATATATTAGGAGAATTTTATCTTAATAAAGATAAATAAAGGAAAATAAACAAATTTTCTTTTAAATTAATTTTTCCAGTAGTTCAGAAAATTTAAACATAAATAATAATGTAAAACTATCATATAAGATACAAAACATATTTAAAATTAAATAAAATATATGAACTTTTGAATTGACGAAGAATGAAATTAATTGTCTGCACTTGATTTTTAAAATTCTATTCAATTTCTTTTAAGAATTTGAAATTCGCTGATCGAATAAATGATTTATTTTTACTGATATCATAAATTAATGAATAATAATAAATGAATAAAGAATGGGCTGATATTGATGTGATGAGTTCAATTATATTATTTCTACAATTGAATAATAATCTATATAATTAAAATGGGATAATAGCAATCATAATAAAACAATTTTTTTTGGCCAACTAAGGGAGAAGTAAAGTTATGGACTCACTCTTAAATAAAAGTTAATTTCTTATTTTATGTAAGATAATATCAGAAGGAGATTCAAAGTTCTCAGAATAAAATAATGAATCTGTAATTACTTGTCCAACTGAATACACCTTAAGTTGGATAACAAAATAAAATCAAATTTAATTTATTTCAACGAAAATTTCAGACGGAGCTAAAGTGAAATTTGTAGTTGATTAAGCTAATGGTAAACTAATAAGTAATTTATTACTCAAAATTTAGAAACTGAATATACTTAACTTGAAAAGCTTGAAAAATAATTAATTGATGAATTACAACCATAAATAATGTGGAAATGTTGGGTTGAAGTTTGGCTTGGGTAAACTAAGAAAAATGATATTGTGCTTAACAAATAAGAAAGTTTAGAAAATGTTTCATTAGAGAGTGGCTTAGAATCTATCAACAATCCTATTGTAAAAGTTTATAGAGAAAGAAGAGGATAACTATAACTTCTAACTAGACAATTATGTTATACAAATTAGAGTGACAATAAAAAATCAAACAAATACTAGATTAATATGTAGTTTTGTAAATCCTAATTTTGGATGTTCAATTGGGATCTTAAATAGAAAGTAGTTCCTGATGCATATTTTTTGGAATTACAAAATAAATTATCTACAGAATCTCTTTCTTTTTATCAATATACACTTAATTGAAAATGTTTTAATATTTTATAAATAAGAAATGATTATGAATCAAATACTAAAAGCTTTTTTCATTTTACATTTATTATATAGTTTTGATATTTATTTCAAATAATTTTATTAGGATATATTTTTATTCTTAAAATAATTCAAATATTCAGATGTCTCTCATTTAAAAATTTCTTTATTTAAAAAAAGAATAAAAAATTTCTTAATCAACGAAAAAGTATATTTTTAAAAATTCTAAAAGAGTTTGTTAGAAAAGCTAGTTTTTAGTAATTATATATTAACAAAGAAAATATAAGAAGTGTTAAATAAATACAAAGACTATCATATATGAATCATATTTTCAATTTTTTTCTATTTTTATTTTTATCTAATAATCTTTGTATTTACTTTTAATCCACTTACAAGATTTGCAATACAAGTTTATAATTATTATTATAAGCCAATAATAAAGCCTCATATTAATAATCAGTTATTGTAGAAAAATATTTTTATAATTCTAAAAATGTATTGTAGTGTTGATTATTTTTAATAGGTGGAGTTTTAGATTCTAAACTACTTAAACTCCAATCATCAAAATTTCTTTAGAAATCCTACTCATCATTCATAAATTTATAAACTAAACTAGCTGATAATGGTTAACTAAGATTTATTGATGAAGAACTTGATTTTTCTGGTTCATATTACAAATATCTAGGTATTTAAGGAGGTTATCTAGCTCTTGAATAAATTTATGGTTAAGCTTATGTTTTAGATTATTAATCATCATGACATGATAAATAATCTTCTAAAATTTGATCTTCAATGTCATTTAGACATATTACAGATTCCTCTGAACTTATAACAATAACAGCATTATTGTTACTAACATCCAAAAAAACTTGTTTATTAATAATCTATATTTATTCAATTTCAATTTATTGATTATTAGAAGACTCTATAAAATTTTAAACTTTTTATTTAGTTCTACAATCAATTAAAGGAGCATTATTATTTTTTTTCATTACACATCTAATTTTAGAAGTTCTTTTTTAAATATGCATTTATTCATTCACAAATATTTGTTTATTTTGTGGATAAAATTCATTCTTAAGATTCAAACTTTCTAAAAAGTTTAAATTCAATTTTTAAGCTTTCCAAAAATTTTCAATTTATTCTTCTTCTTTTTTAAGTGAATCTTTTTTATTTTTTTTTCCTTTTTTCATTGAAATTAATAAAATACTAATATATTAAAAGTTTATATTTATTTTGAATACTCTTTTATATAATATATCATTATTATTATCCTAATTTTTATGATTGGTATTATTGCAAATCATGTCTAATCTTTTAGCCTAATAAATCTAATTCTCTTAAAAATAATTATTTAGATTCTCTAGCTCTTCTTGCTTATATGAAATTAACAATAACTCTCTTTTATTTTGGACCTAACATGAACCAATTTTTAACATGAGATCTCAAAATTTCATCTTAAGGTATAGGTTTTGCTGTTTGAATTTATTCTTAGACTGAAGACTTAAATTATCTAATAACTTAATCCTCATCATTATATATAAATTTTTACCTCTGTTTTTCCTTCAGGAATTTCATCTCCTAATCTAACAATAGGTTTATTCTTATAATCATATTTCTCTTTTAAATATAATTTATAATTTTCTTTCTTATGCTTTATTCTTAATGCTTCTTCAATATAAGAAACATCATCTTTTCCTAATTTAAGATCTCTAACTTTTGCTCTTAATAGATTTGATGTTATTTCTGGAACTTCAATTTCTTATTACATTATCTCTTATTGCTACATATATATTAATAATTACTTTAGCCAAATATTATTCTGTCTTTTATTTAACATATTCATCCTCTAATTATCTTCTATACTTCTCTCTAATTATTTCTCTCTCTCTTACAACTGTCTTTAATCTAGACATAGATTTCTTAAGTTAAACAAGTTTTCCCATTCTTCCTTTAACACCTATAACTTTTTTGAAAAAAATTCCATCTGATAATAATAAATTCTTTTCCTTCAACATTACATACCTTAAATCATATAAATTAAAATATACCATAATTTTGTTAAATCTTCTGTTGATTTTAATCTTAATTCATCTATTTTCCATGATCTTCCTTATGAGACTTATTATTTAGTATCTTTTAATTATTATTTAGTCAATGCATCAGTAAATTATAATAATTTTTCACTTTAAGTTGCTGGAGCTTAAGCATTAAAATATCTTGTCTAAAATGCAAATTTATTCCATGTTTATAATAATATACGATTTATCATATATTGAAAATAAATAAAAATATTATTTCATTTATTAAAAATATGTTTTTGTTGGAAATATATAATTAATTAAAAATAATGGAATAACCAAATAATATTATTAATTCCATTTGTATAGTAGAACTACAAATAATATTTTAATTAGAAATGCCAAAAACAAATCAATTTTTTATTTTTTTAAGAAAAGCCTATCCAAAATATTCAAGTAAAGGTAAATTAGTTGCACTAATTGAATCACACATCTCTGGACAACTATTTATTTCTAAAACTTATAAACCAAATATTTTAGAATCCAATATATCTACACCACCAACAGTTAAATTTTCATCAATTGCTTGACAAGCCTATTCAGCAAGATTAAAATAAATATCCTTTTTTTCTGAATTCATTAAGGATTCTACTGATGCTTCTTCACTTAAACCAACTGATTTAAAATTCTATATTAAAATTCTCTTTATATTTTACTTTACTAAATTTAAACTCAGCAACAGAGACTGCTTTTCCACCCATTACAAGAACTCTTACTGATTTTCCAGGAGAATCATTTATATAAACTTAAGAAATTTATTATTCTTATTTCCACAAAGCACGAGAATACATCTCTACACTATTGTTTCTACAATGAGTCAAATGTACTCCTATTCCTGAATATCCATGAACATCTTTCATTATTGCTTCTTCATCAAATTAATTAATAACTTATTTAAATGAGTTTATTGAGAATGCCACTCCTATTTTCGGAAAAGGGATTTTATATTTTGAAAAATTGATATATTATAGTAACTTATTGTAAAGAATATGTTCTGTTTCAGGTTTATGTAAAGTTGTTCTTCCTGAGGCATGAACTGCTTAATTAATATATAAGTAGTCTAGATAATGTTTAGGATTCATGTATCCATAAGCTAAGAAAGCATCAAAATCTATTAGCTCGTTATTAATAAAAAATTTAAATTCCTTTCAATATTACTTTATTTTACATTTCCTGCTGTGAAGCTAATGTCTTATAGATTAACTCTTTAAACTTAAGCATTTTGCTAAGTTAATTCATTTATTATAAGATCATCCATTTCTGCATAAAATATTGGGTCAGGATTGATCATATATAAAACTTTGGGTTATCTTACTATTATTTAACATTATCATTGTACTTTAAAAAATGCACTTGATAACACTATTAATCATATTATTAAATAAATTATATTCTCAAAAATCAGAAATTCGAAACTCCAATTGATTTTTTGTATTTAAGATGCAATTATTAGTGAAATAAAATATTATTTGTGAACTTCATTTAAATTTTAACACAATTAAATCAATCTTTTTATGAAATCAATGTTTGAAGATAAAGAACATTAAAAATAATTATACAAAGGAGAGATTTTATCAATTTAGAAGAAACTTAAAAATAAAGAAATTTAATTTGTTATTTAGTCTAGAAATTAAAGGTTTTTGCTTGATTGTATGTTTTTAAAATAATTGATTCTTCTAAGTTATATTTTTTAAAATAAGTCTTTTATTAAGTTAATATTTAACCTTTAATTATCACTTTCGGCTTTATTATTTTGTAATTTTAAGTTGTCTTTAACTTACTTATTTTTATTTTTAGTAATAAAATGTAATTAAAACAATTCTAAAACAAAAATTAATGATCTTCAGTATATATTTTATTCAATTTATTGAATATCTTAAACAATTTGTAAATCTTAGATAACTCTTGTTTTAAAAAAACAAAATTATAAGTAATAAAATTATTTAAATAAATTACAATTCTTTATTTATAAGATAGACATATTTTCACATAATTTTATGATAAAATGAGAATAGTATTAAGATATTTATTTATGTATCATAAAGCAGTAATTTAATGAATATATTGAGTATTAGAACAACAGTTTATTGAAATGGAGTAGAATTAATTTATGATTTATTGCAATAGTTTGATTTTTTTAATTTGTACATTGATCTTATTAAAATTTAAAGGACTTTAATTTTTATCTATTAATATTGATAGATATATTTCTGAAAATGTTCATAATAGTTTGTTAATTATAAAAATGGAACTTTTATTGTTTAATTAATATAATAAAATACGATTTATATGAATTTAATTTTGAGGTAATTTTGGTAATTGTTTTAATTTAATGTCACTCTTAGTTGTTTGATTAGAAAAATTATGTTTGAAATATTTAATTAATAAAATATATGGATTGGGATTTTGAGTAGTTTTAGCGATTTATACAATCAGAGAATACTCATTAACCCAAGCATAATGAAAAAGAAAAGGATAGAGGACATGAAAAAAACAGAGACAAACATCATAAAGAAAGAGAGAGAGAAAGAGATAAAGAAAAGGATAAAGATAAAGAGAGAGAAAGGGATAAAAGTGCAGAAAAGAAAAAGAAAAAGAAAGATGAAAAGAAAGATAAAAAAAAGTATGTTGAACGATATTAAATAAAAATAGAAGATCAAGGTCTGCATCAAGATCTTCAAAGAAAAAAAAAAACAAAAAAGATAAAGAGAAAGAAAAAGATAAAGATAATTAATAATAGGCTATTACAACATAATTGTTAATGACAAATGATATATAAAAAAAGAGGGAGATTGCAAAATAAAGGAAAATAGAAATAATGGAGGCAGAAATTAGAGAATTGGAGAGAAAAATTGTAGAAGTTGAGAGAGAATTAGAAGAAGCTCATAGATAAGATTTAACAGTGCTTATGTATTGTTTACCACTTAAAGCTAAGGAAAAACATATATATTAGTTCTTTTAAACAGTAAGTAATTCATAAATTTATATAGTTCAATTGTGGTAAAATAAGAGATATAAGAATAATTCGAGATTAAAAATCTGGAAGATCTAGAGGAGTAGCTTATGTTGAATTTTATTAAGAAGAATCTATTCCTATGGCATTAGCATTAAATGATCGTTTATTTATTATGGATGGATAATAAGTAGGAACTATTCCTGTTAAAATATAATTAAGTTAAGCAGAAAAAAATAGAGCTGCGAGAGATTAAAAAAATATGCAAATAAAATAAAATAAATTACAAAGCATATAAGATTTATAAAATATGAATGGTCCAGCAAGAGTTTAAATTACAGGAATGGCAGAATAATTATAAAGAATTAGTGAAGAAGATATTAGAGAAGCATTTGCTCCTTTTGGAACTATCGAGACAGTCGAAATTCCTAAAGATGAATCAGGTAGAATGACTGGTGTTTTATATGTAACATATGAGAAAGCAGAATCTGCTAGAAATATGATTGAAGTAATAAATAATTAACCATTTTTATTAAATGGTAAACCAATTAAAGTTTAATTGGTTTCTGGTGCTAATAATTATATGGATTTATAATTAGATGATGATCTTGTTTAAAATCCAGTAATGAGAATAACATTGATGAAAAAATTGATGGATGATAGTCTAATTGATAATGTATATATACAAAATAATCTATTAGATAAATTTACCTCCACTTATGACTTAATTAGGACTTACAGTATAAAGAATTTTGAATATAATATAATCTCCAAATCCAACTTTAGGTTGTATTTCTGGTTGGATGCCCTTGAAACATAATCCTCCAGCCTGTCCATGTACTACTAAAGTTATTGTTTTGACAAACATGTGGACTGATCTTGAAATATCAAATTAAGCTGCTATTGTTGAATTAAAAGAAGAAGTAGAAAGTAATAAATTTTATTATTATTATTTAATAGATGAATGTAAAAAATATGGAGATGTCGAAATGGTATGGGTAGATAAAAAAAATGAAGGTAATGTAATTATTGTTTTCAAATAATGGGAAGCAGCTAAATAAGTAAATGTTTTAATGAACAACAGAAAATTTGGAAATAAAGTTGTCTAAAGCTATTTCATAACGGAGAGTCAATTTATGAGCATTATCAAATGATTTAGTAATATCAAAAATATATATTTATATAAGTAAATCATTTCTGTAACTTAACAATATCTAAAATTGAATTTTTATTAAATTTTTTTAAATTATCCAAATTTTAATATTATTTATCAAAGTTTTTTGCTAAATTTAAGATTAAATTAGATAAATTTAATGTGATATCTTTATCTACATTTAATATTTACATAACTTAAGTAATCTATTATTTAAATTTATTTTTACAATTTCATCACTTTATTCTGGACAAGATATATTTGATCCTATAAATATACATGCAGCTGATAATAAAGAATAATTATATTAACTTATTAATGCATAGTCATAAACTATCATTTTAGCCAAATACACAACTATTTAATTTAATTTTTAATATTAGTTAATTAATTGCAATGTAATTGTAATTATATCATATAAAGTAACGCTAACTAAATTAAAATCTAAAGTCTATAAAATTTAATTCTCTTTCTCTCTAATTTCTTCTTTTGTTAATTTTTTATGAGCAATTTTTTCATGAACAATTTATAATTTAATTGGAAATGTTTCCTCAAATTTACATGCCATAAAAATGCATGTTACTCCTATTAAATGTAAATCTTAAGGAGCATAAGTTCTTGTTGATTAATTTAAATAAATGTCCATCAATCTCACTGCCATAAAAAATGTCTGATCTTTACATTTATAAGAAGTTAACACTTCAATCATCCAGTCTACCATCTTTGCTCTTAAAGAACTATTGATCGTATGTTTTTATAAGAATTCACACTTTTAAAGAGAATCATATATTTAGTAATTTGTTAAAATACTATCACCATAATTTAAAAAAAATCTATTATTCTAAGATTTTTATTGATCTTCATTGTTTTAACTAATTTAAGTTGTCTATCTAATTTTAAGAGGAGAATACTAATCATATATCTTAATTATAATACTATCTATATGGTTGTACAAATCGTAGTTTTTTGTTTTTGCTCTGGCCTATAATGCAAACTTGGTACATTTTGATTTCTTTAAGTTAGAAAACTTTGTTGAAGATATTATTATTTATTATCAATACTCTTGAATTCAAAATCTTATCATTAAAAATTAGATACTAGCTTGACGATTCAACACAGTCAATGGAACTAAATGCGTTAATTATTTTTGGCTGTTTCTTTTTTCAATATTATTTGAAACTTAAGCTTAGTTCTCTTTCTCAAAAATACGTCTTATTGTAGGATCTTTCATTATATGAATAAATTTTGTTTAACAGATAATTAATTTATTAATAAACTTATTTTAATTTAAAATTGATTCAAAAAGTAATTACAGATATCTGGACTTTGTANTTTTAGCCAAATACACAACTATTTAATTTAATTTTTAATATTAGTTAATTAATTGCAATGTAATTGTAATTATATCATATAAAGTAACGCTAACTAAATTAAAATCTAAAGTCTATAAAATTTAATTCTCTTTCTCTCTAATTTCTTCTTTTGTTAATTTTTTATGAGCAATTTTTTCATGAACAATTTATAATTTAATTGGAAATGTTTCCTCAAATTTACATGCCATAAAAATGCATGTTACTCCTATTAAATGTAAATCTTAAGGAGCATAAGTTCTTGTTGATTAATTTAAATAAATGTCCATCAATCTCACTGCCATAAAAAATGTCTGATCTTTACATTTATAAGAAGTTAACACTTCAATCATCCAGTCTACCATCTTTGCTCTTAAAGAACTATTGATCGTATGTTTTTATAAGAATTCACACTTTTAAAGAGAATCATATATTTAGTAATTTGTTAAAATACTATCACCATAATTTAAAAAAAATCTATTATTCTAAGATTTTTATTGATCTTCATTGTTTTAACTAATTTAAGTTGTCTATCTAATTTTAAGAGGAGAATACTAATCATATATCTTAATTATAATACTATCTATATGGTTGTACAAATCGTAGTTTTTTGTTTTTGCTCTGGCCTATAATGCAAACTTGGTACATTTTGATTTCTTTAAGTTAGAAAACTTTGTTGAAGATATTATTATTTATTATCAATACTCTTGAATTCAAAATCTTATCATTAAAAATTAGATACTAGCTTGACGATTCAACACAGTCAATGGAACTAAATGCGTTAATTATTTTTGGCTGTTTCTTTTTTCAATATTATTTGAAACTTAAGCTTAGTTCTCTTTCTCAAAAATACGTCTTATTGTAGGATCTTTCATTATATGAATAAATTTTGTTTAACAGATAATTAATTTATTAATAAACTTATTTTAATTTAAAATTGATTCAAAAAGTAATTACAGATATCTGGACTTTGTATTGATCAAACATTAAGAGGAAAGTTTTTAAATGCTGATATCACAAGAGTCAGACTTTAACAGAAAACAGTTTTTGTTTAAATTTTTGGCTGTTCTCGCATCAAATACACTGGAAAGCAATTTTAGATATCAACTAAAAGAGATATGATTGAGATTCATAAGAATTTGAACATCACTAATTCATAATTTGACAGATTTTTACTTAATATTAAATTCATTATAAGTGATATGAATAAATCTCAAGAAAGGATTGATAAAATTTCAAAAGAGTCAATAATCATCGAAAAACTGATAATATTTTAATGATATAAACAAAATATTTATCTAATAAATTTAATTAAATCAAAATAATTAATATCAATATCAGATTTCACAATGTTAGATTAAAAGCTCAAAAAACACTATTATACATCTTACTAAAATAAGATGCTTTCTTAACATTTTTTATGATTGGTTCTTTAATATGCATTGATTTTCCTTATGTTATAGCTCAATTAAACAAGAGAAACTTTAAATTTCATTAATAACGAATCAAAATCTAAATACTATCTATTCAAAGAATAGTTCCTTATGTCAAGTTGCTTGTTACTTAAAGTACATTGTTTACCAAATAGTTTTTACAAAAAGAAAATGTGAAAATTTTATCGCCTATTATTTTTTTTTTTAGTTTTTATATAACTCAATTTGATTAAAAGAGTGATTAAAAGGATATTTCTAATATATTTTTCATTATAATCAAAAATAATAATTGACTAATAAAACCTAGAGCATCTATTTAATTCATTTCTTTAATATAGATATTTTGATATTTTAATAATTGAATTAACTTCTTATATTTTAAATAAGATTATTAAATTAAAGTTTTTTAATTATTTGACGAAAGATTTAATATTTTTGAGAAAAGAATTCTAAAACTTTATCTCATATATGAAAATAATAATTTTTTTTATAGTCTCTTTTTCGATTAAAATAAAAACTTTAATTTTTCATATTTATTGTTTTTTTAAAAGTTATTTGATAAAAATAAAAAAAAGATTTAAACTTTAATTTTCTAATGATGCATAAAACATTTATTATAAATTTAAAAAGATATTTCCAAAAATATTATAGCAAAAATAGATCTAACAAGTTAAAATAAATTTTCAATAAAAGATACTAATTTTATCCAAGAATTTGATGCACTAATCCGTTTTGTGAAATATTTTGGGAGAATAATTTAAAATACTGAAAAATATTTTAAATATATTAATAAATATTTTTATGATTAGTATTAAAGTGATTTGATTATTTAATGGAATTTGTTATTAGTACAATTTATTACATATTTGAATTATTTCAGTTTAACTAAATCGTAAATGAAAAAAAGAAAAAAATTAATAAGAATATTTATTTCAATGAAATAACAGAAATAAATTTCATGGCATCGTACGAATGTTCGATGGATATTTCTTGCATTAACATGCTTATTTTAAGTTGGATGTTGCATATGCATAGATTTTCCTTCAGTATTAGCTAGTTAGATCTAATCAACATTTAATGTTGGTCAAAAAGATATAAATTATCTCTTTTCTATATATTCTATGCCAAATATAGTATTACCTTTCTTTGGAGGAATAATAATAGATAAAATAGGAGTTAGAAGTGCATTGTTAATTTTTTGTTCGTTTTTGGTAATTGGATAAGGTTTTATAAATATTTATATGAAAAGGATTGTGTGTTAAAGGAGCTTAAGATTAAGCTTTTAATTTGTTAAAGCTGGGAATGTTATTTTTGGGATTAGGAGGAGAGGTTTGTTTAAGTGTAGCTTAAAGTGCTTTATTAACAAAATGGTTTTTAGGTTAAGAAATGTCTTTAGCATTTGGGTATAAGAAATATTTATTTAGGGTTTAAATAACATTTATTCGTGTTGGATCAGTAATAGGTGCAAATTGGTTACCAAAAGTTTATATTTGGTATGGAAATAGTTTTACTGCTTGTATGATGTTTTGTTTTGCATTTATTTTGATTACTATGTTCACTAGTTTCATACAATGTTTACTTGATAAAAGAAGTGATGAAAGAGATAGAGAATAGATGAGCTAATAAGAATTATCATAATTAGATTAGTAACCACCTGTAAATTGTAGTGATGTAAAAGAATTCAAATTAAATTACTATTTATTATCAATTAGTTGTGTATGTAGTTATAGTGCATTTCTTATTTTATAATCTAATGGAATACGTATGTTTAAAATAAGGTTATTAATAATATTAATTTTTAGATATCATCTTACATTAACTTAATAAACATTTCTGTATAGTTTACCATATTTTATTAGTGCAACTGTGACTCCAATTATTGGTTATTTTATTGATAAAATTGGTAAACGACCAATATTTTTAATAGTTTCTGGTATTTTGTTATTATTGTCTACAATAATTTATTCAAAAGATATAGATTGTTCAATCTAAGATGAATGTTTTAGTTTAGTATTTTTAGCATAAATTATTAATGGAATCTTTTTTGCTTTATACGCCCCTGTAATTTGGCCATGTATTCCTCTTTGTGTAAATGCCAATTCATAAGGTGCTGGATTTGGTATTATAGGATCAATCTAAAATGCTGGCTTAACTATTTTCCCATTAATTGTAGGTAGAATTCTATTTGATGAAAATGCTATAAGTTATTAACATATGATTTATTTTCTTGGATTTATTACAATACTAGCAAATATAAGCAACATTAATATTTATTTTTATGATATATATCATGATAATAAACTTATGAGACCAACAACTAAATTACCTGAGTATGAAATTGTTGCTGAATAAGAAGAATAAACTGATACAACTCGAGTTGATTGATTTAATTTTAAATTATACAAAAACCTATTATTTATTTTTAAATCGTAAATAAAAGTAAAGGAGTCAAACTCAATCAAATTTCAATTATTTTGATTTCAAAACCAAAAACCTAAAAAGAACATCATACATTCTCTAAAAATTAATTCTAGAACTTGAAAACAATCATTTTAATAAACATTATTTCTTTTTAGCACAAATAAAATCCAGCTTATTGATAGAACTTTGCCTCAAAGAATTTATTTAGAAATATTAAAGTAAGAGCTATTTAGATTATCTTAACCAAAATGATAATTATAGATCTAAAAATATTTTTTAAATTTTAATATTCTTATTGATTACCATTCTGCAACTGTATATTTAAGAACTTAAACAGAAAGAATAAATAAGTTTAAAACAATTAATCTGTGTATGTTTAATAAATAAAAAACCTTAAAAAAGAAGAAATTTAATATATTAAATTTTATTCCAATATATAATAAATAAATAAAAATTAAAAAATATATCTTTAAATATTAAATTCAGAAACTCTTAAAATTTAAACTAAATTCAACCAAATAAATTGAAAATTAGCTCAAATAAAAAATTTTAGTTAAGTACTGAATAATTACAGAAATCTGCTTCAAAATTTATTAAATTCAGTTCAACTCATTATAAATTGCTATAAACTCTATAGTTAAAAAAACTTAAAAAAGCAAAGAATGAGTAGAAAAATTATGAAAAACTATAAAATTTAGAAATAAAAATATTCTTTAAAAATTAATAATTTATAGATAGATTTAATGAATAAAGCAAAACTAGAGATGATTCAATAAATAATAATATTAACAAGATAATCAAAAAAGTATTTCATACTAAAATTTGTGAGGATTTTATAAATTAAGAAAAATTCAGGAAATTCTTAAAAAAGTATTAATATGTTTGCATTAATTATTACATGATAAATGAATTAAATATTCTTAAAATAAATTGTAATGGCTTAAGTTAGACTATTTTAGATGTAAAATTATTTGATTTTGATAGTATGAATTATATTGATTTGATAAAATAGATGAAAAAATATTTATTTTTTTCCATAAATTAATTATTAAATGCTTTAAGAATACTATAATAGAAAGGTGTTATTTATAACTGGATGTACTGGTAAGCATAATTATGATATATAAAAGGATTTGTGGGCAAAGTATTATTAGAAAAGACTTTACGTTGTTTACCTAATGTTGGATGTATTTATGTTCTGATCAGACAAAAGAAAGGTAGTAGTTTAATGGAAAGATTTAAACGTGAAATTTTGGATTCATAAGTAAGGAATAAATATTGAATTAGTGTTTTGATCGATTGAGATAGATTCATGGTGGAGGTTTTGAAAAATTCATAATAGAAAAGATTATTCCTATAGAAGGTGATATGTTAAAAGAAGGTTTAGGAATGGCTGAGAATGATAAAAATACAATAATTGATAATGTGAATGTAAGCAAAATGAATAATTTTTAGATAATTATTAATTGTGCCGCAAGTGTAGATTTTAATGCAAGATTAGATGATGCAATATAAATAAATGTAAGGGGACCTTAAAGATTTATAGCAATAGCATAAAAAATTAAAAATTTAGAAAACTTTATCCATATCTCAACAGCATATGTAAATTCAGATAAGGCTGGCTATATAGAAGAGAAAATATATGAGCCAAATTAAGAGAACTTGGAACAATTAGTGTCTTAATTATTGAAAACACCTGTAAGTATTTTGGAGAAGAATGTAAAAGATATTATTGGAGATTTTCCTAACACTTATACTTTTACAAAGTGTATAGCTGAAAAATTATTAGTATAAAACAGAGCTCCAAATTTTCCATTAACTTTTGTAAGACCATCTATAGTTGGAGCTTCATGGAAGGATCCAACACCTGGTTGGATTGATAGTTTGGTAGCAAGTAGTGCCATATTCTTCTTTGTTGGTTTAGGATTAATAAAAACTTTAAATGGTGATGAATGTTTAATTGGAGATTAAGTACCTGTTGATTATGTAGCAGATTTTACTTTATCAGCTGGTGCATATTAGAATGGAAGAAAGGAAGTAAGTGTTTATCATTGTTGTTCTTCTGCAAAAAATCCAATGACATGGTAATTAGCAAAAGTAGTTAATGCTCAATTTTGGACTAAATCACCAAGTTCTCAATAATTTTCAAAACCTAATTTAACATTCTATAAAAATGAAAAAATATATAAAATTATGTCTAAAGTTAAGAACGCTCCTGCTTTAATATATTATTAAGTAGCAAATAAAATAGGAAATAAGGAAATGAAAATTTAGGCTAAAAGATTAAGAAAGATAATAGATAGAGCTGAATCAATAAACGATACTTTCAAACCATTTGTGATAAATGAATGGATTTTTGATAGTTCTAACAGTAATTTACTTATAAAATTCTTAAGTGAATCTGATAAGTAGTACTTTAACATAGATATAGAGAAATTGAATTGGAGATAATATTTAGAAAGATTTAATTGGGGAATTCAAAAATATATTTTGAAAGATTAAGCAAGAGAATTAAATGAATAAAGTACTGATGTTCTTAGTTAAAGAAATTAATAATCGTATTTTAGTGATATTGAATGGTGTCTTAGTAATGGTTAGGATTTTAAAACAAAAACTACAAAAGAACAAATAAGTTTGGTCATGAATTCTTAGAGAGTATAATCAGTTATCAAATAATTAGTTGAAGAAAAATCTAAAAAATATTAATAAACAACACTAAATCTAGAGAAATTGCATTAAAATATTGAAAAATAAGGTATAGATATTTGTGAAGTAATGTTTGCTAATTATAACATGGGAGTCATAAGAATGTTTGCATGGTTTATAACTAAAGTGTTTAGATAGATATATGAAAAAGTATAAATAAATGAACCTGCTTTATTAGAACTTCAAAATTATGATTAGAAAACAAGAGGTCCATTAATCTTTATGCCAACCCATAGATCTTATATAGATTTTATAATGGTATTTTTCTATTTGATTGTTTTAGTGTTCTTATGTCTTTTTCTCATATAAGATTAAATGTCCTCATATAGCAGCAGCAGAAGATTTCTTATCAATGGCTTTAATTCCAACAATTTTAAGAGCATCTGGAGCTTTCTTTTTGAAAAGAAAGTAATTAGAAGATAATATCTTATATAAAACCATTTTTTATGAATATGTTTAAAGAATCTTAATAGAAGAATGTTATTTAGAATTCTTTATTGAAGGAACTAGATCTAGAACAGGTAAGACTCTAAATCCAAAATTTGGATTGTTAAGCATAGTTTGTGATGCTGTGTTTGATAAAAAGATACCTGATGCAACAATACTACCAATTACAATAAATTATGAGAAAGTATTAGAAGCTGATACATATCCTTATGAATTATTAGGTGAAGAGAAAGTTAAAGAATCTTTAATTAGAGTGATTAAAGCAATAAAAATATTATCATCAAACTTTGGAAGGATTCATGTAGGATTTGGTAAAATGATATCTGTAAAAGAATGGTCATAATAATAAGGATTAGATGCTTATGATAATATTAGAGATCGTAAAAAGGGGGTTGAAACTTTAGGTTATGAGGTTGCTTATTAATTAATTGAAGAAATGGTTGTTATGCCAACAGGAATAGTTTCAACATTATTATTAATGAATAGAAGAGGAATTACAGAAGATTAATTAATAAAAAGATTTGAATGGGTATTAAGATAGATTACAAAAAGAGGAGCAAGGACTTCTATAACAAATAATGGATAAAGTGATGTAGCAGTAAGAAATTCAATTGGATTTTTATAAGATTTAGTTGATAAAAAGAAGAAAAATGTATTTGAATTAACATTAATACCTAAATAAGAATATAAGAGCATATTATTATTAAGTTATTATAGGAATCAATTAGCTCATATATTTTTTAGTGAAGGAATAGTTTGTTGTGCTTTAAATGGATTTGGACATCTATTATCCCATAAAGAAGGAGTAAGTGTAGAGAGATTATGGGAAGAGAGTGATTTCTTATTGAAATTATTAAAAAGAGAATATGTAATAAGAAATAGAATTACATCTAAAGAATAAATGATAAATTTCATATAATCTATGATAGATAAAAATGTATTAGAAAAAGTTATTGAAAAAATTAGAGTTAATCATCAATTTGGTGAGTAAGCATCTTAATTTACATGTTCACTAATTTGGCCTTTAGTGGAATGTTATTGGGCTACTATTGTCTATTTATATTAATTGAAAAGAGTTAGCGACATAAACACAACTTTTGAGTTGTCAGAATTAATTACTTAAATTTAAGGTTTTGCAGAACAAATGTATGGAGAACATATTATGGAACATTATGAAAGTTGTTCTATTGAAACTATTAAAAATGCCATTAATACTTATTAAACTATGAGATGCATTAATATCAATAAAAAAGATGATTCTGATTAAGTAAGTATTGTATTTACTGATCCAGAAGTAAAAAATTTATACTATTATTTAGTTATTGGAAGTTGAAGCTTAAGTCAAAAAATATTTAAAGAATAATTATTCAAAATCTATATCGAACCCTATAGATATTGCTAGATCTTTGTTGGATTATACCATTATTCCTAAATTATGAGTATTGTAAATTAGACTCATATATTATATTTATTAATTATTATAATGTTTATGATTATTCCTCAATGATGATGTGATCCATGGCCCTTTTTGATATATTATAATCCACAATATTTGCATGTCTAAGGAGTACCTTCTGTTCTTGTATCCAACTTTATATATACTTAAGGATGTCCTGCATTAATATGCGTTCCTCCCTAAATATTGATCAATGTTTTAAATTACCAAACATCTAACAACATCAGAGTCCACCTCAATTACAGGTATCTTATGTATAAATTCTTCTGCTCTACTTTTGTGTGTTTATAAAGATTTCTTATTGTTTTTAATTTAAAATAAATACTTTATGAGTTTCATCATAGTCTAACCATTTATGTTGAGCTAAACTTGTATAAGATTTCACCATTTGTGAAAATTAAGCTGATTTAGCTAATTGAATGCATTTTTACAACATTTTTGTATATTTCGATAATAAATAATTAAATTATTAATAATAATAATCCTTAACATATATAATTTTGATGTCATTTTTTTTGTTTATAATCACTTGATTTACCAATAATTATTTGAGCATTCTTAAGATTATCGAGTTCAGCTTACAAAATCATTAGCTCTTCTTATTTCTGATGAAATTCCCTATTATAGATTTGAATAATTACTTATTTTATTCTATGAACTTCTTTTTCCATGTGTTTACTTCATCAAACAAGTATTTATGTTTTTCTTCTACATTTGTTGTCTATTCTTCTAATTATCCATGTAATTCTTAAATATATTAATTAGCTTCTTCAATTTCTTTATCTTTTTCTTATATCTATCTATCTTAACCATCTATAACATTTTATTTCTACTCAAGTTTTTCTTATAATTACTGAATTTCCTCTTGTAATATTTTTATTGTGTTAACTAACTGTTAAATTTAACTATATGCTTAGGATAATTCGCTTTCCTCATCCTCATCATCTAATTTTATTTATTGTTGAGCCTCTAATTCTTATATTCTATTTTCTAATTCGCTAACCTTTATCCTCCAAGGTTCTTCTACTTACTACAAATCAATAACCTATAATGGACTTTATACAGAAGTATTTCCATGAGGTGTTTAAATTCTTTAGACTCCTCCTTATTAATCCCATGTTCCTCTATTTGAGTTGGAATTGCCATTAATTGAATATATTTATTTATTGATTTGTTATGGAAAACTTTGTTATTGATGTTAAAATTGTTGTTGACCTATAGCTTACATTTAATTTTAATATGAGCTCTAAGAGATAAGTTTTACAGCTCCTTAACAATTTACAGAGAATGGAGTCTTGTATCCTACTCCATAACCAGGTGCAGAAATTTATTATCTCATTAATAGTTATTATTACTATTAAATTAAAATTAATTTAAATGATAATTCACTAACTTTAACTTATTTCATAGTTCTCTTATTTTGACATCAAATTAATGTATTTTATTTTCTCTAAAAATAATCATACTTTATAAAATTTCATAAGAAAAGTTCAAATAAAATATTTCATGAAGAAAATCTTTTTTGCTACTTCTTTATTTAAATATGCTTAGTCTAATCAACAAATTCATTCTTATTTTTAACTATTATCATTAGAGATAAATAAAACCTATTTTATCTAATAAAAATTTAATTCTTATAATAATTATATTATATAATAGAATAGTAATTAGATATTTAGATTTTTTATTATATAAAATAAAATTTCAATTAAAATCAACTAATAAAGTAGCATTGATTGTGTTTTTTAAATACTTTAATTGCACTTCTTATTAAAACTATTTCTCAACATTTTATATATTTATCTATTATTATAATACATTCTATTATCCAATCTTTCCTTATTATTATTGTACAATAATTATGTATAAATTTTATTCATCAGTTATCTCAAATTTTACTTAGCAATCCCATTAAATTTTCTTATTGGTATCCATAGATTTCTATTCAAGTTAATTACTTGCATCTTCATATTTTATAATAGCAAAATACTCAGCTTTGCTATCTTATTTTAATTATAAAACTATTTTATTAATTTATTTTAAAGGTTTCTTCCATATAGATGAATCACTAGGTTATTTTGAAAGCCTTGATTTTACCAATATTTTCCTTCTTGTTGACTGTGAAGATTATTACATTTATGATTCTTCATTCTTTGAAACCTCTATAAATGATATAGCATTTGTAGTATCAGACAGTTACTATTACTAATCTTATTGAATTCCTGATAATTATTATTGCTAAATTGCTTATTAATATGTCAAAGTGTCTTTAATTGATGGCTACCAAAATTATGTTTATCTAAGCTTAAAATCTAATTTATGCTATTTAACATAATCTTTAGGGTTTTCTCTTACACTTAATAAATCTTTTGCTACACTTATTGGAGATGGTTACAGGTCCAATTTTTTTAACTATTCTAATTTAGTATATGATTTTGTGTCATATAGTTAATTATATATGTCTTTGTTTATTAGTAAAATTTCTTTTTAGAATTTATCCATCAAATAAATATATTATTTATTATATAAAATAATGATAATCTTTATAATGATTTGTAACTTCTTTTAAGTATATTGATAAAAACAGAATAATTATATATAAAGATCAATTGTATGAATTCTGAATTACAAATTTTATAGTTATTTTTAATCAATAATAATAATTAAATATATTAAAAATTGATGAGTTTTTAAGTAAAATATAATATGCTATGAGATAGACAACAGATTCAAAAAAAGAAGAATTTAGAAAATATTTAGAGAAGGCTGGAGTCATAGATTAACTTACAAGAGTTTTGGTTGGGTTATATGAAGAACCTGAAAAACCAAATAATGCTATTGAGTAAATAAAGTTTGTTACTTTAGTTATGTTAAAAAGTATTTAGGATCTCCAGTAGATATCGACGTAGATAAACTTAAATTAGAATATGAAAAATTAAAGGATGAAAATATCAAATTAAAGAGAGAAGTTGCAGAATTAAAAAAAGAAGTTAATAATTTATTTTATAACCTACTAGTTATAAGCAGCCTAATAAGAGCAAAATTGAGAATTGTAAATTTATATTTGCAAATATAAATAATTTCTACTTATATATAATACTTTTAGAAAATTTAATATAATATAAATAACAAAAATGTTTTAATCACTCAAAAACAATGTCCTCAATTTCGATTGCATCTGATTTTGATTACAAATAATTTGGACCATAAGTCTATATTAAATTACGTTAAGAAATATTCATAGTATTTAAGGGAGGTTGTTTTTTGGATTTGATATGCATTTCTTCCTCTTATTTCATCTTATTATAGTCTTCTGCTATTTAATGAGATTATTGGAAGACATTTTAAACAATAGGTCCTAATTATTCAATAATTCTAGAATTAATTTGTTTTTAATTTTCATCCATTTTTACTTCTTCATATGCTCTAAATAATTTTAACATTTTGCTTCGAGTATCATATCTAGATACTTTACCTATTACATTAAGTTTGGCTATAGTATTCTTTTATAATTATTGGTCATTTCCTTATAGTCCATGCCATGTAATTATTGGTTAAGGAATGTAATTAAAAAGTTGCAATTGATGTTTGTCAAGTAATAAATATTTTATTTTATTAATTTCTTAAAGCTTTTATAAGATTAGTACAATATCTAAATCATTATTAATATTGATTGTTGATTTTTGTAGGACAATATAAATTCTTTTATATCTTTCGAAATGTCTAAAACAGGAAAGATAATAAACTACAAAATTCAATCCCAATTTAATTTTTTCATTAGCCATAAGCAAATGTTAAACCATGTTTTATATGAAAGCATCCTTTAGATGGTCTATAGATCCATGTTCATGACTAGTTGGTTCTAATTTTACTGAATCTATTTCTTTAAGATTAGATTATTATTAAATATCTTTGAGGAGTTCTGCATCTGATTTATAGACTTAAGTAAATCTTTAAGATTTAAAAATACCAGTAACTTTATTGAATTAAAACAATTTTTTTGTTGATCCTCTAAATCTTTGTAACATAGCCTCTGCTTTTTCTTTCTCTTTTTAAATAAATTTAAAAATATCATTTTATTCTGCTTTTTTTTGAGATTGAGAAACATCATCTATTTTACACTAATAAAGAGTACTAGCTAACATTAATTTAAATCCTATTGTATTATATTTAATAACAATAATCCCTATTAAACTAGTTATCACTTTTAAAGTACCACCTATAAAAGAAATGAAATCACCAAATTTTTTGTATGATATATATGAAGAATAATATTCTGAAGAAATTCTAAGATTCACTGTAAAATAATTAGTTGGTTCTGCATAATCATTCTAAATTATTTAATAAATATTTTACAGTAAAACTTCTTATATTTCCTAAACGGAATGACCAATATTCTCCAAAGAAAGAATCTTCTTCAAAAGGAAAAATTGAGTTATCAATCTAAAGAGTATTTGGCTCTAAAAAAATATCTGACACCTGCTCTTAGAATTTCTTGGTTTATTGATAAAAATCTTAAAAAAGTTATTGAGAAATAATTTCATCATTAGAAAAAGGATTTATAATAGTAGTAAACATTAAAGTAGATAATTTAAATGCCTGCCTTTCAGGTAATAAACTTAATTAATCATTAGAGAAACATTATGATGAACCTTTACAAGCAGAAACTTTAATTGAAGTATATTAAAAACTTTAAGAATTGTATGTGCCTTCCAAAACAAAAGAATAATTTAAAGGTAGGCAAAAATATGCAGTATAACTTTCCATTTGATCTGAATCCGATATCAAATTTAATGATGAAAAATGTTCACTAGTACAAGGTTCTAAAATTAGACTTGTATTAACTGTTTTAATTCTAGTTTTATTAGGAAATGTAGTTATGTGATTTTAATATATTGTAATGTTGAACATTGTCTAATTTGTGGTATTAAATAAGATTTATAAGGGGTCATCTAACTTAATTCCTATCATAAAATTGGAGATATTGAGAACTCTAGCATTTGGACTTATATCATTAATTGTTCTTGTGATAGCCTTATTCTTAAAGAAAGTCGTACTTATTAATCTTCTCTATTAATTAAGTCCATTCCTTATGAAATAAACACGTATAGCATAGCAATCCATACTACTAAACTCATGAAACCTCCAAAAAAGGAAGTAAATTTTCCTTTATTTTAAATATTCAATGTTATATCAGCTCCAAACATATCAGCAACTTGTACCAAATTTACAACTTTTTAATACATTTTAAAATAATATTTATTACTATAATAAATAAAGAACTAATTTAAATTATTGATATAAAAATGATTTTTGCACTTAATTAATTATTTCGATTGAGTTCGTTTTAAAATGAACAAACATCAATATTTAAATGCTATAAGAAATAGATAAAACTGATTTCATATAATATTTTTAATATATTTTTTTAATTAAAAATGGGTAATTATTTTAGAACTGTACCAAAAGGACCATTGGAAGAAACTTTGATTCATTTCCTTAAAACAAGAAAACTCTAACATATAAATGATGTAAAGAAATATGGAATTTTTAGTGTATAGAAATGATAAATGATTCTTATCCAACTAAAAGCACTTTAATATTAGATGAATATTTAGATGTATTTGGTGGAATTCTAGAAGAATGGACTGAATAAGTATTTTTATTATTAGAAAATAATAATTCAGCTGCTGGATAAGTAGATATTTATGAAAGTTTAGCTGTCATAGTATAAATTGATTTTATCTAATATAGATTGTCTTTTGCGGAGAAGAATTTAACATTAAATTAGAATTCATATATAAAATGTTTGATTTTGATTAATCAGGTGAAATTGAAAAAAAAGAACTCATTATGACATTATAAACAAGTATAAGAGCATTATGTAAAATTGCAAAACTGTAACCTCCAGAACTAAAGGATTTAGAATATTTTTCAGAAAAAATGTTTATTTAATTAGATTCAGATAGGAGTGCATCAATATCATTCCATGAATTCAGTATTTGGCTATTGAATTCATGGGAACTATAAGATTTTATGTTATAATATGCATTAATACAAACATTTGAAAATGCTGACAGAAGAGCTAAAGAAAGACGTATATTCTTTTAAAAGCTTTATGAGTCTGCTTCAGGAGGAGAAAATTAATAATATTGTGATGCTGATTCAATAAAATCATTATTTCTAACTGAACTTAAAGAATAAAAGAAAGATACTATTGAATTATTAATTGAAATATTAATTTAATCTACTAAAATACATTAAAAGCATGATGAAATGAATTCATAATATCCTAATGGAATTTTAAAAGAAGCTTATGAAGATATTATGGCAGCATGGAGTGCTTTTGATGCATCTGATATTAATTCTGATAACTAAACTTCAATTTAAGAATTGAAATATTTATTATATGCTTATGAAGGAGATAAACCAGACTTATTTAGAATTAAAGAAGAAATGAAAATATTAGATAAAGATAATTCAGGATATGTTTCAAGAGAAGAATGGATTCAATATTTATGTGTTGAAGATAAAGGAAAATTTTAATTTAGAGGAAATCTTAAATAACTCTTTAATAAATATGATAAAGATAATAGTGGAGCATTAAGTATTCTAGAAATTAAATAATTATTAACAGATAACATGAAAGATATGTAAACTAAATTTAAAGTTTGAATTATTTTATTTATTTCATAGTTAAAAGGCTAAAATGAAAACTTTGAAGAAATGGTTGCTTAACTTGCTCAAGAAGTAGTTGATGACTTAAATTCTGAAAATGACAAGCAATCTAATGATAGAACAGTAATAATTATTATAATTAATCTAGTTAACCTGGGTAGAATTTAAAAATTATATGGATCAAGCAGTTCTTAAATTAAATAAACTAAAAGAATTTTTAAAGTCCGTTTGATAAATTAAGAACAATAATATTTCAAATTTAAACAATATTTTGGATTTCAAGTTATCCTTATTCTTTTTACTATATATTGTTATTTTTTTATTTTTTTCTGTATTATTATTAAATACTATTTATTTTTAATAATTCTCTTTCAAACTTAGCTTTTAAGACTATTGAAATTATTTTCATTTAAATTTTATTTTATATCAAGTAGATTTAAAAAAAAAATATCTCCAGAAATTATTTGATTATAAAGATTATTTTTGGAATCTTTCAATTGAAAAAAAAACAGCAAATTTTTGTAAATTTTTTTAAAAATATAATTTTATTTTTTTAATTACTCTTTCAGACTTTTATTTACTCATTTTGAATAATTATTAAAATTTTTTGTCTGTTGTTATTAAATAATAATATCAATAAATATAATAAGTTTTGTAATTTAATTTACCTCTAATAAAGTGATGTTATAAATTTGATTTAAAGTAAGAGTCAGAATCGATAAAATTTTAGAATAAATTTATTTTTCATTTAATAAAAAAACTTAATTTAATAATGTAGCAAAATTTATATTCGATCTAACAAATATAAGCTATTAACTTAGAATAAATAAAATTTCAGAATAATAATAATAAACCTAAATTTAGAAGTTCATAATTAAGTTGTAAACATAAAAATTAATTTTATAAAATTAAAACTGCAAAAAAATAGATAAATTTTTATTATTAATATTTTATATTGGATCATAAAGTTTTTCATATATAATATTTTGATTAGCACTCTTCAAATAATCTCTGAATGATAAACAATAATAATCACGTGATGTTCTTTTTTAATAATATAGATGAGTATTAATAGATATTTATAATGAAAATTAAAATGCTATAATTTTTATATGAGTTTGACTTTAACTATATAAAAATATATAGGTGGATAAGAATAGGAATATTTTGAAAATGTAGTTAGAGAATCAACAAAAGGGAGAAATGATATAACAAAAATGATTGATTCCTTGTAAAATCGTGTGAATGCTGAATATGAATATTCAAAGAATTTGGAAGATGGAATTTCTGAATTGGTATTGAATAAGAATTCAGCAGATTGTGCGGTGAATTTAGAAAAAATAATAAATTTATATTGTAATGAAATAAGACAAAAGATTAAAGAGTCGAGAGCATATGCATAATTTATTAAAGATTACATAATCAATTAATTGAGTTTATTAGTAAAAGATTAAACAAATAAGGTGAGAGGATTGATATCTGATGGTCGTAAGTTATCTGGGCAATTAAAACTAGAAAGAACAGAAATTGAAAAGGTATTAAAATTATATAGAACAACTAGCTTATTAGTTAATTGAATTTAAAAAAAAATGATTATTTTCAACATTAAATAATGAGGTTTTCACAAGAGTATTTAAGTCAATTGCCACCATAAAAGAAAAATGAAAATACATTAAAATCAGATAAATTGTTCAGAAATCTTAAAGAATTAAAAGAAAAACTAAGTAACTAATAAACATCATATGAATAATATCTATAAGGATATGAATTAAGGATTTCAAAGATAGTTGAAGAGTTTTAAATTTAAGATTAAGATAGAGTAGAGTTAATGAAAAAAGCAATGAATTAATTATTCTAAAATGAAAGAGTTTTTGAAGTAAATTATTATTAACAAAATAGAATTTAAATTAAATTACTGCTGAATTCAGTCTTTATAGGTATAAGGAATAATATTTAAAATCATTGGTTATCAAATATCAAGAATAGAAAAGTTTTGTATAATGTTCAGTTGAAAAAGTTGAAAATAATTGGTTAGATCGTATTACTCATTTTATTGATACAAGATGTCAGAGTATTTAATGTGATAGAGAATAGATAACTTTAAATATGGATATTTTGAAAAATGATTAATAAACGATTAATATAATGCTTTAACAATAAAATTCAGATTTGATAACAAATATTTCATTATGTTAAGAGAGAATCCATAATTAAATGTAAGAGTTATGGACATCTTAAGAAGTGAATTTAAAATCATTAATAAATTTATTAAATCGCAATTTGATTGGAAGATAGATTTGGGTATTAAGATTTTAGTAATTCAGATTGGATAAAAAATTTGAGATTTGTTAGATTTCATACAATAATACTATAAATTTATTAAATTAAATTCTAGATCTGGTATAATATTTGATTTTATTTGATAGTGTTTGGAAGAGTAGGATGCTTTTACAGTAAGAAAATTAATGTTGATGACTTTTACATTTTATAGGATTGAGAAGACTGAGAAAGTATTTTTGTTTGATGGTATTCGAAAACATATAATTTTTGAAAAACTTGATTTATGGGATGCTATATTCTTTGAATGTTTACATGAGGAGATGAAAAAACAATATTCAATGAGAGTTAATGAAAATCTTAATGATTCAATTGATAGGTATAAATATATTATTTATATTTAAAAGAGAAAAAAATACAACATTTGGATTCTTAGGATCATTAATAGAAAATATGTTAAGTTTTAGTCCATCAAAGTAGAATGTGAGAATTTTAATTTAGAAATATAGTAAATTGTATTAACTTAATGAAGTTTAAATAAAACAACTACTTTACATCATTGATAACTCTAAGTAATACTAATAAATATGAGTTGATTTATTTAAATATATTCATCGATTGCGAAAATTAAATAAAATATAAATTCAAATAATTAAATTAAATGAACAACAATTACCAAGACAAATAAAAATTATTGCAAGAAAAAAAAGAAAAAATTGCACGGTAATAATTACTAAAATGATTTAAGACTAAAGGAAGAGTAAATGAGATAATAGCTTTAGATTGCATCTGTAAGATTACCTTAATAGATAACATAAGTTGAGGAGAATGCTGATAGCAATTAATCTTCTCATTAAGCATAACCAACTTAAAACTAAGGTGTGATAGCTCCTCCATAATAATCAGATTTAATAAGTTTATATTTACAAACAAAGCGAAAGAAATTAGGATTTTAGACAATAGAAATGTATTCAAACAATCCTGCTCCTCCTTAGACAGAAGTAATGACAATAGAATTTGGTGTATAATGTGATTTTGAAATACAATAACAAAAGTAGGAAAATGATGACTAAGTGATTCCAATAATGGAGAATGTGAGAAGAGATTCTAGAAAGAAAAGAGAAATTTTATAAAGTGCTGAAAAGGTGATAGAAAAAGTAGAAAAGAATATATCAATGGAAGAAATCAATTCTATAGTTTAATCCTAATCATTTTAGAGATTTTTTTCAAGAAGTTCAAAAACAATAGAGAAAGCTATTCACGGAGGGGAAGTAGATGTTCTTGAAGATTTAATGAATACTTAATAAGTGGCTTAAGAAATAGGAAAAGATAATTTAACAAAATTATTGTCATTTAGTGATAAAGTATATACAGAAAATAGAGTAGTAACATCAATATAATGGTCACCTACATTGCCAAATACATTTTTAGCTGCTTATTCATAAAATGAAGAAGGATCAATAACAGATTAAGTAGGAGTAGTTCTTTTATGGTCATTATAATTGAAATCTAGACCTGAATTTTATTGTTTTGCAAATAGTCCAATAACATCTGCTTGTTTTCATCCTTTTAGTCCAAATGTAGTACTTGGAGGATTATATAATGGTTAAGTAGTTGTATGGGATTTAAGAGCAAAACATACACCAGAGAAGAGATCAACATTAAATAGCGGTGGACATAGTTATCCTATTTATGGATTAAGTATTGTAGGATCATAGAATGCAAATAATGTAATATCTTCATCAAATGATGGAAGAATATGTATATGGAATTTAGCATAATTAAATTAACCATAAAAAATTATTGATTTAAAAACAAAAAATAAATAATAAACAACTAATCCTTAAGTTGAAGTTAATTCAACCTGTATGGTTTTTCCTTAAGGAGATGCTAATAATTTTTATGTTGGCGCTGAAGATGGATGTATTTATAAATCTAAATTACATTAAAATACTAATGAAAATATAGTCATTCCTTTTGAAGAACATTTAGCTCCTGTTAGCGGAATTTCATTGAATTCTTCTCCATAAGCATCACCTATTATTTCTAATTTACTTTTAAGTAGTTCTTTTGATTGGACTTGTAAATTATGGAATACTAGAACATAATCAGATAATAAATGTTTAGCTACTTTTGAATGTTCAGAAGATTATGTTTATGATGTATAATGGAATGGTTAGCATCCATCATTATTTTCAACCACTGATGGAGAAGGTTATGTTGATTTATGGGATTTATCATATGATTTAGAGGCTCCAATTACTAGATATAAATCTGGTAATAATTCAATCAATAAATCACAATGGTCTAAAGATGGTACCAAAATTGCTATTGGAGATTCTTTTGGAGAAATATAAATTTTGTAGTTATCTTAAAAAGTTTATTATTTTCAATTATTTATTTTTAGGCTCAAAAAGTTGATCATGAAAGATTGGCAAAATTAGAGTAATGGATTAAAAGTGAAAAATGAAAAATTAGTAATTATATAAGTAATTATTATATATATATTTATTTTTAAATAAATGAAGAAGAGAAATTAGAAACTATGTATGTAAATCAAATTATTAATTAAGCTGATTTATATGTTACATCGAAAGTACTATGTGCTAAATTTGGAACATATTCAAAGAAATTTATGGCTAGTGGAGATGAAAAAAATTGTGTTCAAATTTGGTAAATTGGAAATCAAAAACCCATTGCTGTATTTCAATAATACATAGCTAGACTTTAAGTTCATAAAATAATTCAAATGCATAAGTTGAAGTTGCTAGTGTCAATTTTAATTTTTGTGAGACTGAATTATTTTCAGGTTCCAATAGAGGTATCATTAATATTTGGGATGTTGAAAATCAAAAATGTAAAATTATTTATTTAAATATATTATCTATAGAGTTCTAAACACTAAAAGGTCATACTACATGTGTTAATACTCTTTGTATTTATCCTACTGAAGATAATAAACATCTTCTTCTTAGTGGAGCTTATGATACTTCTATTAAATTATGGGATTTAAGATCTAAAACTGCAGTCAATCAATTCAAAGGTCATAGTATGTAAATAAATGCTTTGGCAGTCTCTCCAAATTGTAAATTATTAGCATCTGGTTCAAATGATGGATAAGTTAAAATTTGGGATATTACTTAAGCTAAATTAATAGCATCTTTTACTTAACACGATAGTTAAATTACTTGTCTAAGCTTTAATCCAGTTGATAAGGCATTAGCATCAGGTGGAGGAGATAGATGTGTCAGATATTGGGATTTAGATAGATTAACTTAAGTAATTTTATTTTAATAATTTTAGATATCATCTACCAGAACTGATACAACTCCAATTTAATGTATATTATTTGAATAAAATGGGAAAATATTATATTCTGCTGCTTATGACTCCCTAAAAGTTTGGGATGTTGAACATGATTGTTAACTTTTAGATAATGTTGAAAGTAGTTGGAGAGGAGTATAAGATTTATTAGTTGTTTAAGAAAGAGATTAACTATTAGGACTTGCTTCAAATGTACAAAGTGGTTTTAGTCTTCATGGTGTTAACCTAAAAACTATTTGTCAAGATGTTAAAAATATAGATGTTAGATCAAGTGGTGGTGGTGCATCTGTAAAAAGAGGAAGAACACCAGATAAAAGATAAGATATCTAAACAGCAAATCCAAAACCATCAGATTCAGAAAGTAAAGTTAAAAGCAAACCATCATTGTAAATGCAAGCCTAAAACATATTAAATTAAGATTATTAATATGATAGATAAAAATCTAATGAATAAATGAAAGATATTTAGCAATAATAATTATAGTAATAACCATACTTCTAATAATAATAAATAATAGGGTCACCGTATCTCAATAATAATAATAATAATGGATATTAACAATAATAATAATACTCCTAATAATAAATATTATATTAATACTAAATATAACCAACTTAATCATTTTAATAGTAAACTGTTTTGACTTATTAATAATAGACAAATCAAATTCATTAACAATAATAATAATAAAACTAATTATTTTTGCAACAAAATCTTTTGTAATAATAGCCACAGTAATTTTAAAATCACGATACAAATTAATACTTTACAAATTAAGTACACACACCCTAAAATAATCCATAAAAATATTAATAGATTTATATTCCTTAAGTGATAGTTCCAAATATAGAGGAAGAAGAGTATCCTCCAGATGAATCTGAAATTATGGCTTCAAATGATTTAACTCTCTCTTAATTTATGATGGGAGATTAAAATAAGGAAAAGTTTAAATAAGTAGATCTCATACATGAGATTGTCAAAGATCACAATAAAGTTTAATCTGTTTTAACTTAAAGAATGAATTATATGAGACCTATTCTTCATTGGTGGAGTAATAATAATCTTAAATCTGCTATAAATGCAATTACTTAGTAGAATTTTTATTTTATATTAGAGTAATAGAACCATCAATTTTATAAGATGCTTTGTCTCTTTATTCCTAATATCCTAAATTTGCATAAGTACCTATAGATACAATTCCAATGCTATTAGAAAAAGCAAGAATTCTTATTGAATCTAAATATACTTCACATATGAGAGGAGGCCTTGATTTTGCTTGGACAACTCTTAATTAATTTAGAGATGTAATTAATTATTTAATATTTAAGGAAATTCTTAGTATTAAATTATTTAATTAATTATCAAAGGCAGATTTAGCTAGGGAAGAAAGAATTTAAAAATATGATAGAATTATTGAACAATTTAAAATATTAGTTTAAACACCAAAAGTACAAAAAATAATTGACAGAAATAAAGAAGATCTCTCAGACTTGGCTAAGAAATTTTAAATTGAAGTGGTTGGATTTCTCAAAAAAGTTAATTAGAATTAAATGCTAAATTGAATATTAAATTAATTGTTATATATATAATATTTTAGTCGTTAATGAATATCTCAAAATCAAAAAACTCTGTTCCATTAGACAAACCTATCAAAAGCCCATAACCAGACATACTCTCTATGCCTATACAACATTTTAGAATCGATATGCTTCTAAATCCTAAAAATAAATTGGAAACTCAACAATCTACCAAAACTTTGGATATCATCAAATAAATGCATTAAAATAGCACTGGAAATCTAAGACTTGATACATCTATAAACAAATCCAAAGAGTAACTTTTAAAAAAAACACCCACTAAAACTACTGCTAGTTTTCATTATGATAAAACTCCTGATAATTCCCAAAATAATTAGTCATATAGTCCTCATACACATGCTTGCTTGAAACCATAACTCAAATAATCAGAAGATTAGTTAAATCTTAAAAACGTTTCTTCATAATAATCTAACATCCTAAAAGAATAATGTGAAAGAATTGAATAACTAAACATATTATTGAGAGAATCTAAATAATAAATATCATAAAAAGACTAAGAAAATTAAAAATTATAAGAAGCTAACATTCGTTTAAATTAAGATAATTAAAAATTATATTCCTAAACTGAAGAAATGTTAAAGGATCTAGAATTTATGAAAACTAATTTTGAATTATAAAATAAAGATTTTAATAATTTAAAATAGTAAAACCAATAATTGTTAGAAGACATGAAATAAATAAGAAGTGAAAGAAATAAAGTTAATAATAATAACAACGAGTAACTTTTAAATTAAAAAAATAAAGAAATTTCTTAATTATAAAATGAATTAAATGAGCATAAACAACTTTTATAGGCTAAGGATTCGTCTATTCAACATTTAAAATAATAATTTGAAAATTTAGAATCATAATAATATGAGATTATGAATAAGTTAGAATAAAAATAAGAAGAATTGACAACCTTAAAATAATAACAATAATTAAATATTCTAAATCAAAAGAAAAGCAATTAATTTGAATCATTATCAAGAAGATCTTCAGTTTAAAATGAAGTTCTATTTTATTAAGCTTAATTAGAATAATTACAAAAAGAAAAAGACATATGTGAATAAAAATTAGTAGAAATGTAAACAATTATAAATTAATTTATATTAAAAGAAAAGAAATCTAATTAATCTTCTAATAATTCAGTTGTATAACAAAAAGAATTTAACAAAATGAAACAGATAATTTAAATCTAAAAAAGATAAATTGAATCATAATAAAAAACTATTATGAACTAACACTATGAAATCTAAAATTTGTAGACTTTATTGTATTGTTCTACCGAATAAGACGTTTAATATAATAAAAAGACATTTGATTCTAGTGATCCAGAAAAATTTTCACTTTAACCCGCAGAAATGTAAACAGTATTTTAATATTAATAGATATCATATTTAAGACAAAGAAAATGAAAGAAAAGGTTTTAGTGAACACATTACCTTTTAATAGTAATAAGGCTCTAAATATATTATGGAAGATACTTTTAGAAATTTAGATAATGAATTAAACTCAAATAATCCTTTAACAGATTGATCATTAATTTCTAAATTTATTATAACTAAATTATAATAATAGTATTAAAAAAATATAAGACAAAAAGTAGTTGTATCAAAGCATTTTCCAACTATTTTTTCCTTGTTAAATTGATGATATATTTTAGAATGAATTAGACTAATCCTAATCCTTTGTTATTCCTAAGATTAAAATATTTATTTGTACCTGGAGAAGAATTTCTAATTTTTTGTCTTAAATTAGTAGCATTTGTAGGTTTACTTTTTGGGTCATCTTGATTTATAAATATTATATACTTTTAATAGCAGGTGAAAAAGTCCTTGTATTTACTGACGAAGGTTTTTGAACTAAGGTAAAGCTAGTTGATGAAATATTATCTTTGACTTTTCTTTAAAATAATAAAAAAAACTTACACTTGTTTTTATGATTGAGTTTTCTCTGTTAATTCCTGTAAGACTTTTATTGGCTAATTTTTAACAAATTGAGCCTAACTTTTAGTTAGATTTTAAGGTGATATCAATTTCTTAAATTAGTTAAGATCTGAAACTATTCCTTTTGCTTATTATTTTTAATCAGCTTCTATAGCAGAATTACTATTATTATTAAAACTATTGTTTTATGCTTAATTAGCACTTTAATTTAAGTACTTATCCTAAAAGGAATTATTTGGTTTTTATTAATTTCTCAAAGTAGATGCCGCTTATCTTCGACATTAAACATTTCTTAAATATATTTATGAACTAGATTATGGTAATGGAGGTCCTTATTGGGATACTTTTTTTGATTGATCTTTAGAAAAAGGAGACAAACTTTCCTTTTTTTAAATTCCAATTTATTTTTAAGAATCTTTAATTTCAGTACTATTAGGCCTGAGTTTTTATTCTGTAGTTTCCAAAGTCTTATTTAAAGATGAACTTCTATCTTATAGATTTACTTAAGTTACCATTGAAGGTTAATTAATTTAAGATAATTCTTAATTTTAAATGTTTTATTTTTAAATGCAAGATTGAGATTAAGATTATTTCATTTAAGTTTTTTACTAAAGTTGCTAAAATTTTTAATAACTAGACTATAATTAAGAAATGGATTATGTGAGAGTTTTTTGTATTTCTGAATGTTTTGTAGAATTCATAGTTTATATTAATGTTGGACTAATTAATTAATCTAATTTATTTTTTTATTAGTTTGTATTATTTGATTAATTTGTTATTTAAGTTGCTTGTGATTATTAGGATTATTTATCAAAATTTAAAAGTGCTTCAGTTTGTTTATTAAAATAATTTAATGATTATTAAACTTAGTTTTTAAATTCTTAAAAATTTGTTAAAATGGAATTTTAGTTGTCTTTTTATTTTAATGAACTTGGTCTCTAATGATTTAAGCCTTCAGCAGTAGATATCTTTTTTTCTTCATTTTACTGTAAAGAATTGCTTCTTATTGGATTAGAAGTATTCTACAGAATTTGATTATTAGTATTTAATATTGTTCCTATTTAAGTTTATTATTGTAATTCTGTTTGATTTTCTGAAGTTTTAACAAAATTATTAATCAATTAAGGTTTTTTATTATTTTGTTCAACTAAGTTTTATTATTGTTATTAGAATTATTGTAAATTAGATTGCTATTATGATTATTATTATTGTGGTGTTCTACTTTTAACTGCACAGTGCATTAATAAATTTTAAAATGAAGGATTGCTAGTTAGATTAGCAGAGGTTATATTAGAATTAGATGTGATTTCATTTTAATCTTATTGTTATTGTTATGATTTGCTACTTTCAGATCTTACTTATGTTGTATTTTAAGTACTTTTAGGGAAATTTGATTATATTTAGGGTTGTTTAGGCAATTAGATCAAGGATTGACTTTTTTATGCTCCCTAATTAAATTTAAATATTACTTTTAGAATAGAAGTATCTGAATCTCGTTTTAAATTGATTTCTGAAACAGGTACAAAATCAGGAGAACCTGAATAAACAAGTGTAGCTAATTAGATATTTTCTTTATTCATTTAATCTTTCCATTTTAACTTTTAGTTTGTTGGTTTTCCAAGGACTCCCTAAAATTGATTAATATTTCTAACCTATTTTGCTTATAAATTAGTATAAATTTCATCAACAGGTCCATTATGAGAATTTAAAAAAGTATTTCTAATGATTAACTCTTCTTGAACATGTTATGGATTTGATTCATCTGATGTAAGTTCATTCCATGATGCAGTTCTTTTAGGTCCTGATTTATTCATCCTGTTTTCCAATGCGTTTAGTTGATAAAAAAAAGATGCTCTAATTTCAAGATCTGGACGTCTGGAATTTAAATATTCAAGTGTTTTATACAATGTCCATGAATATCTAATAAATTTAAATAATTTAACGAACTTTTTCATAAAATAAGCTGCAAGTACACAACAAGCTCTACTCTATCCTCTAACTGAATGTACCAAACAACTCTCACCTTATTGAAAACATTCTTCAATGAATGTAAATATTTTATTTACATTTTCACCTCGTTCATCAAACAAGACCTAAAAATAAAAATATAAATTGATACTTCGTTATCTTGTTCCAACCAATTAAAAGTTAAATACTTTGCACCCATCAATGTCCATTTATTTTGAACTTCTGTACCAGCGCAATTTATTATATGAGTTACTTTATTTGTAATTATAAATTCTCGATCCTTTTTTAAATCGAATACTAAACCTATGATGCAAATTCATCTCCAATAAATAATCCATCCTTTATTTTAATTGCTCCTACTATTTGGTTCTAAGCCATAATAAAAAATTTAAATTATTATTATTTATGTTAACTCTTCTTAAACGATCAATATAATATATTCCTCACTTTTCATATCATCCAAATGTAATAGATCACTATGAAAATCCAAGAAATGTAGGATCTCTTGATAAAACCAATCCAAAGGTTGGAACAGGATTAGTTGGTGCACCAGCATGTGGAGATGTAATGAAATTATAGATTTAAATTGGAGAAGATGGTAAAACTATTGAATAAGCTGTTTTTAAAGTAACTATATCTAATTATATTAATTTTAAGACATTTGGTTGTGGTTCAGCCATTGCCTCTAGTTCTTACGCTACAGAAATTCTTAAGGGAATGACATTAGAAGAAGCTTACAATATCAAGAATTCTGATATTGCAAGTTATTTAAAGTTACCTCCAGTTAAATTACATTGTAGTATGCTCGCAGAAGATGCTATCAAAAAAGCTATAGAAGATCTCTAATCCAAGACTAACTAACCAACAGCAAATTAATAAAAATGATACATTATATGATAACATTTTTTATAATGTGATTCATTAATCCCTATTAGAATACTATTATTCTTATTATTATATGCTTTTTCTTTTACTAAAATCTTTAGTTAAAAAGATCTATTCTTTATTTTTTACACCAATTTTATTGTATTGTGGTCTTTTTCTTTAACCTTGTTCGATAATTAAACTTCTAGACTAAACTTTTAAGATCTATAAGATCATCTTAAATATTAACAACTAAAATTTAGATAATCTATTTAATCAAATAAAAAATCATATAATCAACTCTTTTCTCATTACTTTTACCATTACATTTTATAATCTTCAAATCTTTATTAAGCTTCATAAATGGTTTTATTAAAGAATTTATTTGATTTATTCCGTTAATTAAAATAAATGATCTTTTTATATTATAATTTTTATAATTAATTGAATATAATTATCATAAGAGCAAAGAAAATTTTGTTATCAAATATTTTGGATATTTTAATTTATTGATTATAGACCAAATTAACTCTCAAATATAGAATTATTTTCTGAATAATTAATCAACCTTTATTAATTTTGATCTTTTTATAGAAAAAAGTATTTAATTATAAGCTTATATATATGATTAAATTAGATGAATAATATAGATAAGCAAGTAAATAATTAAAATATTAAATTTTTATGGAATATTGATAAATAATTAAAAATAAATGATTTTAAATTTTCACAAAATAACAGATAGAATTCATCCAAAGTAACCTTAGCTATTATTTAGATTACATTCTGGATCAATTTAAATGATTAACTATAGATTGGAAAGTTTAAAAATCTTTTTAATATTACAATTTTCAATTGAATATTTTAAAACCTATTATAATTATGTTACAAACAAATAAATTATTGGTTGCAAATTTCCAGATGCCTTAAATAAATTATAAAATATTTTGAGATTAGCTATTTCATCATAACAGTACTGATATTATTCCAATTTGTTTAAATTATATTATGCCCATTAATTAAAAGTCTAAAGAATTTTTAGAACAAATGAATTCTCTTGATTTATGGTAATGTATGATTTATAGCCAATACGTTCTTTTCTTACATTTAGAACAGTCATAAGCTTAGCCTATAAACATGAAAATCACTCGACTAGAGCTTAAGTAGCAAAATATTAGTCAAAATTTTTACAAAAAGCTCCACAAGGATCAGCTTATACTAAATTTGAGTTTATTAAGAATGCTAAAATAGTAGTAAAACACTTTTATTCTAGATCTTTAAAAATTGTGAACAATTATCTAATCATGAGTATTTTATTGATTTTGAAGAAAATTATTTAGTTAAATGTTATAAAATTAATTTTTCTGATATCTTGTCAATATGTTAAGGATAAAGCAATAATAATTTATGTCTTTTAGGTAAAGAAATAAACTTTGAAAAAATTTTTTATTTGTGATTTATTAATTGAATTTATGGATCAATATTTTTATAAAATATGTTTTTAGAAGATGATATTTTTTGATTATCTTTTTTTGTTTGTTAACTTTTAAAATAATATAAAAGTTAAAAAATATATTCTTACTTAAAAAAATTTTTTCTAAATTAAATTTTAATTAAAGGATTTTAAATAAAAATTTAATGAAGAAATTATGTCATTATTTAAATGAGCTTGATCTGTTTGGATGTGATATCAAATGGAAAGTAGATGGTGAAAAAAAATTTAAAAGTAAATTCGGTTCAATTGTATCTCTATGTCTTATGGCGTTATTAACATATTCATTCTATCTATTTATCTAAGAAATGAATGAGGGGAAAAATGCCTCATTAAACTAAAAGGATGGTCTTCTCAATGAGAATGAGGTAAACATTGTAAAAATTTAGGGTTTAACTTTTGAATCTACAGATTTCTTATTTTAAGTTGGAATAGTTGATACTTATGGTAATTATATTTCAAATGAATAAAATGAGATCTTCAATGTTATTTTCTATTATTGCGAATAGGTAGATTTAAAAACCAATTGTGACTTTATACCTAGTGTGCCATGCAATACCTTAAAATAGAGCCTAAGTGATGTATAAATAGCTATAATTTAAGGATATAACTTAAAGAAATTCTTATTGTATGAATCCCCAATATCTATAGGAGAGGCAAAACTTTACTTTGAAAGGGTCCTTAAGAATGAGCAATTTTTCAATCTTAGGTGCTTTAATCAAAGTTTGTGAAAATTCAACAGATTACTCAAGTAAATTTACATTTAAATGAAGACTGTGCACCAAAAGAAGAAATATATTAATATTTAGCCAGTTCTAATTTATTTTACTCATACACTTCTTATTCTTTCAATAAGGAACTCGATGGAAGTCCCTATGCAAAATTTATAAATACAGAAACTAGTACTTTATATTCTCATACTACCAAACATATTAAAGTTTAATAAAAATTTTCTCAAGCAAAAACTAATATTAACCCTTTTTATTTTTTTCCTTCTGAAACTACCTATAATGCAATAGAATATGATAGAACAATTTACGACACTTAATACAACGATGGAAATTCAAATTTACAGGCTGACATAGTAATATTGCTTACCCATACATAATAAATATATTACATCCAATATTAAACTTTAATGGATGTTTTAGCTAAAGTTGGAGGTCTATACACAGTTTTAAAGATGATACTTGATTTTATAGTTTTACCAATTTAATAATTACTTCTAAATTTTTATTTACTCAAGACTTTAGAGTCTTTAAAATAAAGTATGACCTAAAATATTAAAACTAAATAAGCAAACAATTTTTCTATTTTTAATTTGATTAAGGATAAGAAAGTCAGAAAACATTATTAAGATGAAAATATATAAATAGAAAAGGCATTAAGCATTGATGAAATATTACATATGCAGTTGAAATTAGAGAAGTTGCAAACATTATACTTAAAAAAATAAAATTTATCTAATATTTAATTAAAAGATTTAATGGAAGAAAATCCTAGTCCTCATTCTCAGACGCCAGTATTAAGTTGCTAAGCTTAGAAGATTGAAAATATACCTTTAAATAGCTTAGAAAAATGATTTACAATTTTGAATTTACAAAATTATTTATGATTTAAAATTATATAATATTTTTATTATTAATTAATTTCAGTCAGAAAAGGAACTACTACTATCTGAGCGTTCTAGTTTAGCTATTTTTTTCCTGAAATCTGAATCTTGTATTCTGACTTTAGTCGTTTTTTATTGCTTTATTTAAGCTAATTAATTGATTCTTGCATCCAAATCATCATGTTATTAAACTAAGATTTTGTTTTTTCCTTTTAAATCCCTTAATTATTTTTATAATTGATCAATAGTATCAATATATTAACCTTATTCTTTTTTTTGATTAGATAATTGTGATTTCAAAATACTATTTTCTTCTCTTAACTTAATCATTTCTTTACTAATTTTTTCAATTTTAGCCTCTAAGATATCCATATCCTTATGTTAAGCATCTGTTAATTATTGAGATTATCGTTATAATCTTTCTAATTAATCTTTATATTTTTCCATTTCTTCTTTCAAAAAAGTATTTTATCTTTATTCTGCATGTAATAATCTTATTTATTCATTAATTTATTGCTCTAAATTATCAATTTAAGCATTTTTTTTTTTAAGTTCATCATTATGAGATTATCCATTTTATTTTTCATTTACAAATTAATTATTAAGATCTCTTATCTATTTGCTCATTTTTTCAAATTGTTATTCATAATCATTTATTTCTATTTCTAATCTTTTACTAATAAAAGTTAAATTAAAATATTATACTTTTAGTCTTCTAATTATGGAATTAATCTACTAGATTTTTCATATTGAATTCTTAATTAATCATTTTCTTATTAAAGAAATTTATTATCTTTTTTAATTCTTTCACTTTCTAAACTTAAGTTTTTAAGTTTCAATTCTAATTCAGAAACTCTTTCTTTGATTTCTCCACTTCTTTTTTTTTATTTATCAACATCAATCATTTTCTCTTCTAATTAAACTTATAGTTATTAATCCATTTTTTTTTTTAATTTTTAAATTCTAATTTATTATTCTGAGATAGTTTCTTCTTTTGTTAATAATTTATTTTCTAATAATGTAATTTAGGTTCTAAGTGTTGCATTTTCTTTTTATAAAAAATCAATTTCTTAATTTAATTACCCACTTACTTTTTCTAAAGTAGTATTAGTATCAAAATGTTATTTAATTTTAGATTAATCAGTTAGCATTTGTGTGAGTTTATCAATTTAAATTTATAATTTTTGATTATTAAGTCTTTCATTATGACTAAGATAATAAAATATTGATACATATTATCTTTATAAAAGTCTGATTATCTTTCAAGTGCACATTTTTCATTTTACCAATTTCGTTTTTCTTCTTACCATTAAACTTATAATTCGATGATTTCTTCTTTCATTTTAGCTAAATGATCATTTTTTTTCAAAATTTTGAATTATAATTTGCTGACAACATCACGTAAATCTTCATCACTTTTATGATTAAAAGATGAGTCATTATGAACACTTCTTTTTCTTTCATTTCCAGAATCACTACGTTTATTAGATGAAAAACTTTTTTTAGTTGGCTATCGTTACATATTAAATTTAATGTCTAAATAAATTGTACATCATTAGTCATAAAGTCTATGGAATTATACATTATCACCAGGTAAAGTTAAATTCTAAATATATAAGGTTGGACTATGAAAGAAGTTGAGATTCTAAACTTGGCGCTTATGAAATTTGGGATAGGGAAATGGCGCAAAATTATAAATTCTGAATGTTTACCTGGTAAGAGTATAGGATAAATATATATGCAAACTTAAAGATTATTAGGATAATAAAGTTTAGGGGAATTCATGGGTTTATAGGTTGATCTCAAAAAAGTTTATTTACATAATATGCAGAAAAAGAATGTATTTAGAAAAAATAATTCAATTATAAATACAGGTGATAATATGACATAAGAAGAAAGAAACAAAAGAATAGCTGAAAATTAAAAAAATGTATTTATTTATTATTTTTTAGTTTGGAATAAATTCTACCGATATCTCTTAAATTAAACTACCAAGATATCATGTTAATTCTTAAACTTCTTTTCTTTCTCATGATGAAATTATGGAAGGCAATTTTACAACTGTAGAAAAGATTAATAATTTATGTGCTATAAAAAAGGATATTTTAAGAAAATTGAAAAAAATTGAAAATGGAGAAATTTAAGAAACTTTTGATGAAGAAATAGAATAAAAAAGAAGATTTAAAAAAATTATGACTGATTCAGATTCTTCTTCTGCTTGATTTATATCATTTAATTACAATATTCATAATATTTATTATTGAAAAATAACATAAAATAATATTTATTTTTGAATAAAAAAAAAATCCTTTAAAAAATTAATAAAATCAATAAAAAAGAAATCAAAAAAAGGAAAATGGAAACAAAAATCAAGATATTGTCTTATTTTATATTATATTTTGATATGTTTGATCATTAACTTGTCTTTTTAAGTTCTTCTAATTCTAAAGCTTTCTTTAAAGCTTCTTATTGATGTCTAGATTTAATTCCTACTTAACCACCTCCAATAGTTCTTAATAATTCATGATTTTCATTATAGTGTTATCTCAAATCACGAGCCTTTTTAATATAATAAGTAATTATTACTAAATTATCGAATTCAGCTTAATCTTCTTTTCTTACTTCAGTCAAAGCTACACAAGTTGCTGTCTTTTAATGAACTAAAGCTCCTAATCTAGCCTTGTCTTTAATAATTTTATATTTATATTACTTTTTACAAAAGCAAATGGAACTTCTTAACGTCTACATAATTATGGAAGCCAAACAACTAATTCAATTGGATCTACATCATAAGCAATCAAAACTAATTTGGCTTTTTTTGTTTCAACCAAAGTAGTAACATGATTTAATCCAAATTTAAGAACAGTCACTTTCTTGCTATCTGTCTTTTAATTTTATGCTTTTGATTCAGCAGCCTTTACTAATCTTTATTTCTTTTCAGTTTTAGTTTCTGGTGCATATTTCTTTAAAAGACCATACACCTTTGAGCCTTATATATTAAAATTTATTATTTACTTTAATTTTTGTCGAGTGTTTTGCTGAATTAATGAATGGCTGCTGGTACTTTGATTCTTTGCAATAAAATCTTTTTTTATCTATGTAAAAGAATATAGCGAGGCCATCTAACATATCTTGATAAATCTCTCTTTGGTTGGACATCATTTCCAATTCTAAAGTTTTTGGCCTCTTTTACAAACAGTGGGTTTTTCTTTCTATCTGCTACTTTCTTTTAAATCTTTTTAGCCTTAGATGTCTTTGGAGCTTTTGGCTAAAAGAATTATCACAATCAAATTTACCATTGTTAATGAAAATCTTTTAATAATTTTTTTAAAATAAAAGAAAAAACAAGCCTTAATATTTAATAAAATCATATAATATTTATGCTTAAATACCTTTCCAATATTCATTTCTAATTTTTATTATCATCTCTTTTCATCAATATAGTATATCATTAACATATTATTACCCATTTCTTTTTTTACTAATCTTACAGCTTATTCTCTATAATTTCTCTAATTTTTAAATAAATGCCAAAATATCGTAACTAATTATAATATAATTGATTTTTAATTTAATCATTATCCATCTAAATCAATTCCTTATGCTTAAAGTGCTTTTAAAATTAAAACTTAAAATTCATGAATATTAACTTTTTTATCTTTATTTAGATCTGTCATATTCATCCAACTATCTATTTCTTCTTTTGTTGGTTCATATTTCTCATCTGAAATCAGTTTATGTGTTTCAATTAACAATTTTGGTACCTTTATGATAAATTCACTTTTACTTCATCATAAGTAATGTATCCATCTTTATTGATGTCAGCTAATTCAAATATAGATCTAGCAGCCTTCAATCTTGCTTTAGCTTATTGAGTTTATACATTATTAGGATCAATATTATTCATTGTTTATATTACTTTTATTTTAAATATAAAAACAGATTCATAAATTTCATTTCTTCTTTATTTAATTATATTTCGTTTTTAGTAATTTTTCTTCAACCTTAACCTTTTAAAATTAAACCTAAGCTTATTTCAATTATAGCTCTAATGTATTAAATCTTTCATTTAATTTAATTCTTTAATTGAAAACTTTGTTTAAGTTAGCATTTTCAACTATTAAAATATGGACTCTTTCCTCTAGATCAAGTATCAATTAAGTAATGTAGTCAGTTGTAGAGTTCTTTACAAGATCAAGCTTAGATGTTTCATATTTTTCTTAATTTTCTTAAATTTCCTTTAATTTTTTTTCATTATCATCAATTAATTATAATTATTATTCAACATTTTTCTTAAGTTAGTTAACATCTCCTTTTTATTACAATTATTTATTTTCTAATGTTAGTTTCTCATTCATTTATGTTAATAATTATATTTTTTATTGTAATTCTTTAATAAGAGCATTAGATTAGCCACGTTATATTTCAGATGTCAAATTGAGGATTTATTTCTAAAGATTGCTATTTTTTAATTTAAAATAATCAAGTTCTTGTTTAATATTTTGAGCAGTATTATTTACAATTTTGATAGGAGATTAGGCTGAATGAATAGATAAATTATAAGGAGACTAAATTGGTTTTATTTCTTTCCTAGTTGTTAATGGGGATCTACAATTAGGAGAGAGAATAGTTTATGTTTTTAGCTTAGTATTTCTAGGACTCATGTAAACAGCATTATTATCTTATCGAGAATCAGGAACAGTTGAAAGTTTCTATTTTGTTATTTAGAATTAAATCTAATAATTTATATCTTAAGTTTTTGAAGTTTGAGATCTATAAGTATTCTAATTTGAATCAATTGGTGATAAAGGTAATCTAGTTGGTTGCATTGTTAATAATATTTTAAAATATTAACGATTAATTTAATAACAAAAATATATTTCAAGGATTAAAGTTATCTTAGAATTAGAAACATAATTTAAATTAGTTTTGTACTATATTTATGATATATTTCTTAATATCTTTAAATTTGAATTGCTTTAACAATATTAATAATTATATAATAATATATATAAATCAAAGAATTTAATTTTATATTGTATTTGCTCTCTTCATTCTTATATTTCTAAAGGATTTCTTATTTTTTAATTAATTTAAGAGTCAAATATAAGAAATGAATTAATATGATATAATTAAATATCAAGAACATATCACAAATTATACTCAAATTAAATTAGATTGCTCAGTTGTTATCTGATCCTATTCATCTACAAATAAAACCTTTTTAAGACTTTTTGATAAATTTTTAACTTTTTTTACACCTTAAACTTTAATTGATTAAGCATTTTTAACAGTGTTTTCATAAGTTTATTATAACACTTTAAGGTCTTCATTAGACATTGTGTGAATTAATTCAGCATATCCAAAAAATAATTTTTTTTTCATTCTTTCATGTAAAGGTCCAAATTAATCTCTTCGATTCCCAAATTTACTTTGAAAACATAACTTATAGATTCCTATCAATAAGAATAGAGGAGCAATTATTAAAAAATAAAGTATGAAAGACATTTTAAAAATAAGTTATTTAATATTTAATTTTTGCTAGCTTTCCAATTAAAAAATTGCAGTTTTTTCTATAACAATCATAGAATATTTATTGTCATTCTCATTCATTTTCATTTTATATTTTATATTAAAATAAATAAATTCTCCTTTTTTCTTCATTTTCACTTTAAAGTAGTACAATTATAAGTTTCTCTGTCCTTTGAAGACAATAGTCAGTTTAGTTTTTATTATTTATGATGATACTTTTATGATAGTCATCGTAAGCATATTCTAAATTCTACCTTTTTAATATCTCTATTTCATTGCAAGGCCATTATATAAATTATTTTTTTATGAGAATAATCTGATTATGGATTATCTTGTTTTTTTTAATTTCGTTTATTCATTTACAAGATAACTCTTTTAATAAAATTCAATGATAACTTTCTTATTAATTTAAAGAAATCTTTCCTTAATCTAAAATTAGCAAATTTATTTTATAAGTTAATCAATTACTTTAATTTCTCTGAATCTATAATTCAAAAAACTTTAACATCAATTATTTAATCATCAACTAAAAATTCTATTAAATTCAAAAAAAATGTCTGGATTAGAATTTAAACAGGACACTGCAGCTAACAGATTCAAATATTTGTACAAAAAAATAATGTTCATTTAATTTACCATAAAAATTGCGGATTCATTTATTATTGATAGTGAAATTATAAATATGCATTTTTAGCCAATACCAAAATTTCAAAAAATCTATTTAACTATTTTATAACCTGCATAAGGAAAAGATAATTTAGGATATTAAATGAAATATGAACTATAAATTACTTATAACCATAACTAGTTATTGGTAAACATAAATAAATAACTGCTCAACTATTTCTACTTAAAGAAATTTGTCAAAAATCATTGAAGGAAAATAATTAATTTTATAACTTTTGAATATTTAAGTCTTTGTAATTTAATTAGTTATATTTCATTATAGTGAAACTATTCATCTTTATTAAGTAAGAATTTAAATCCTACACATATTATAGTTTTTTTTGTAATATTGTTTTCTCAGAATCATCCTTAAACGACAAAACTAACCAGAAATAAAAATGTAAATTATTAAAGTGTTATTACTAATGATGAAATTCAACTGGTTTTGATAGTAAAACTAAATTCAAATACAATAAATAAAATATAAACTTTTAATTGATCTACTAACAAGGTTAATTATAAATAAATAGATTAATAATAATTGTGAATTAAAAATCAAGATATAAATATATATATCAAAATATCGAGACTAAATTAATCCTGTAATATTAAATCTTAAAAAAATTTTAAATAATATAAAATTTATTAAATTTAAGACTATTCTTTTTGATGATTAATTTTCAAACAAATAGGATGTTGTAAATCAAACTTCTATAATGTTAAGTAAAAAAATATAGTGAGAAATTAGACATATAGTTTTATTTCTTTATGAAAAATAAAAATAAATGGGAAAATTCTTTGATTTTGATAAATGAATGAGAATGCCCTAATAATTTGCAAAGTTTAATATATTTTAATGTACTATTGTATTTTATGTCAATCAAACAAACCTCCCATATCAACATCTTCTTCAGGTTCTGGGTCTTTTGGTTTTTCAGCAACTTTTGGTGCTTCAGTTGGTTTGGCAGCAGCTTAAGTTGATTAAGCAACTGGTGCTGAGCTTGAACCTCCACCAACTGAAAGAAGACTTATGATGTCTTTTCCTTCAAAGGCTTTGACGAATTAGCTTGCTAATTGATTTGGGACATTCACACCAGCCTATGAAAATATTTCATTTAATTAATACTTTTTTTGTAAGTTTTTCAACATTTTAAACTGTTAATGGAGTATTGGATCCAGCTAATAGAAGAGCTGCATATGCTACTGCTGTTGCTTAATTTGCCATAACAATAATTATATTTTTAAATAAAAAGATTTCCTTAATTAATTAAATGTGAATACTTCTTATGCAATTAATATATAAACTTTAAGCATTTCTTAATGGATAATTTCAATACATTATATAGCATTTCAGATTATATATTTAAATAAATACTTATCTATTCATTCATATTTATACCAACTATTATACACTAGTTTATGAAACAAGATTATACAATGACTTGAAGATTTCAAAAAGAAATTTAATAGAACAAAGTACTCTAAATCGATATTATGAATAATTAAGCTATTAATTTATTAACTAAACTTGACTATAATAATAATTCTATATTATAAATTATTTATGTTAAAAAAATTATCACAATAATTTTAGAAGATTTCTTTTAAATCATTGCTATTAGGATAAACTTAAAGATATACAACAAGCAAATTTAAATATTATTTTAGATCTTCAAAATTTATTGTAAAATAAGAAGAAACAAATGATGAACTTAATAATATAATTACAAAAGAAGAAATTATATCATTTCTAAATAACAATAAAGTCGTATTTCGATTAAAGAGATCATATGCTTAATTATAATTTTGTCCTTTTTGCACAAAAAGAAATTTTGATGACCTCTCAAATCAATATACAATGGGTATCAACTTAAAAAAGTAAATACTTTATTAATTGATTTAGTGGTATGTTTAATTGTTTTAGATCGAGTTGTTAATCTAAAGGGTAATGGAAAGATTTTATATAATAAATGATTCATCAGAATCCTAAAACGATTGTTGATGGTCCTATTAATTAAATAAATAAGCAAAATTTATAAGAAGAATAAGGAACTTTTGATTAAAAATATGAGTTATTCCAATTTCATTTACATTATTAAAGAATGAAATTACAATAACCAAAGTTTATTTACGATTATTTAGTTGGAGAAGATTGGGATAAGGTTTATGATCTATATTAATATTTAGAATCAAAGAGGAATTAAAGAAGAAACTTTGAATAAATATTTGGTTGGTATTGGTTAGGATGAAGTATTTGATGCTTAATTTAAAAAGATTAGGATGGTTCCTTTAATTTATTTTCCTATGTTCAGATTGCTTTCTTAAGAGGAATAAAATTCAAGCAATTATTAAAATCAATATATTCAATCTAAATACAATTCTTAGATTTTTGAGTTAGTAAGTTGTAAATTGAGAGGAATGGGAAAAGAAAATAAATATATTTAAAAAATTGAGCCTAAAAATGCTATGAAAGGCATTTTTGGTCTTAATTTATTAACTTAAGATGTCAAATAAATTATTATAACAGAAGGAGAATTTGATTCCATGGCTGCATATTAAATGACAGGAATTCCATCAATTTCTTTACCATATGGAATAGCTCATTTCCCAAACTTTCTTTTAGAATGGTATAATCATTTTATATATATATCTAGGATTAATTAATTTAGAGATTTAAAAAGCATTTTAATTTGGGTTGATGATGATGAATTTGGAAGAATTAATTCTCATAAAATAGCAAACAAGATCGGAAATTGGAGAACTAGAATAATACAGCCATCTTTAATTAATAATCATTAGTATCCTAAAGATGCTAATGATTGTTTAAGACATTATCCAGATAAAATTTAAGAATATATCACTAAATCAATTTAATTTATGTGAGAATAGGAATGATATTAAATAATTTACTAATTAATTCAATTTCTTAAAAAAGCAATAATAATAAATGAATTATTTAAATTAGAGACCTTTAATAATATTTAAAGATTATCTGAAATTTTATCATTTTATACGCTTTGACTTTTTTTTTAAATAGATATTTTTTTATTTGCTTTATTTCTACTTACACTAAAAAATCAAAAAACTCCAAATTCTATTTTAATTTATATTTATTTACTTAAGTAATATTTCTTTTACATAATATCCAATATCCTATTTTCAGAGAAATCTTCCTTGATTGATAGATTTTAAATTTGAGGCTATTTAATCCTAACTATTATTAAGAGCATTAATATATTTTAGAAAAAATATTTTTGAGATAATTAAATTATGAAATGATTCGATCAATAATTTAGTATATGTTTTTAAAAATTATAAAAGAATTTCAATCTTATCATTTAAAAAAATTAAAAACACTTTGTTACTAAATTAAATTAGATTTAAAAATGCATACCTATAAAAATAATCTATTTGAATCATATTTAAAAACTCTTCTTAAAGGTAATAGATTAAAGTGTTAAAAAAGATTAAATCAATCCAAAAAATATTAAAATTTAGTAAAGGTTCAATAAAGAAATATTTGAGTTTCAATTTTATGAATAGAAACTTTTGGAATTTTATTTTACATCTTTTCATCAACTAAATTAAGGTTTGTTTTATTAAAAATTCAATTATAATAAAAATAATTATTATTAATATTATTATTTCAATTTTGAAGAGAAATAGTTACATTTTAGATTTCTTAAATTTTTAATGAATAAAGATAATTTTAGAGATTCAAATTTAGGGAATTAAAATTTGGTGGGATTCTGTTTAATGGCAATTTTCAAAATTAATTTAAGTAATATAAAAATTGAACTTTTTTAAAAAGAATGCAAAAAAATATAATGAAAAAATTAGATACATATAAATATGTTAAAAAATATCTATATAATAATTATATTTTATGAAGACATTTAGGCGGTATTTTTAAAATCAAAATCAGAAATTAATCTAAGAAAAAATATAAAATGATGTCTGAAAAGGTTACCCAGTTAACTAATGGGGCAATTAGAAGCATAATAGAAAATTATGATAGTACAACACAATATTATGTTTAAATTTTAAAAATTGAAAATAATTGTGATACTAATGCAAAATTTGGCACTGTTTCATAATGTGTTTGTAGTGATGGATTTGCAAAAATGAATTTACATATCTTAAATTTAAGTCCATCTATTACATCTAATATCTCAAAATAAAATCCAATAATTCAAATTTTAGAATTAAAGAGAAGCAAATCATTTTTTTTAGTTACAAAACATGAAGTTATATATTTAGATAAGAGTTAAATTGGATAACCAATAGATTATGAAGAATATAAAAAATAAGTATTAATTTAAATACAATATTTAGAATTACACAAATCCAAACGGAGATAGAGAAATTTAATTCGCAAAAGCTCCTTATAAACTCTAAGTCAATTCAAATAAAAAATAATCATCTATAAAATAAGAAGAGTTTTAACAATAAATCTAATAAAATGAAAATATCGATATTGATTAATAATAAGCTAAATCTGGAGTTAAATTATCAAATCAATAAAAATAATTATAATATAAGCCTCCTATTCAAAAAATTGAAAATCAAATTTATTAACAACCTAATGATTAAGATTTATTAAAAATATCAGAATTATATCCTGGTATGAGAGGTTTCAAAATAAAAGGTAGAATAACTTCTAAATCTGATATAACTCCTTTTAAAAGTGGTAAAGGGAAATTATTTTCAATTGAAATTATAGATGCAGATAAATCAACAATTTAAGGTATATTTTTTAATTAAGCATGTGATAAATTTTTTGATAAAGTAGAAATAGGAAAAGTTTATTATTTTGAAAATGGATAAATAAAAACAAATAGATATTCAAGCAAAAATTAAGCTTAGAGTGATTATTAAATACATTTTGAAGATTTCTCAAAAATAAGTGATGCTAAAGAAGATAAAGAAATTGATATTTTTCCATATTAAATAAAAAAAATAGAAGAAATTGATTCTTTATAAGTAGATGATAAATGTGATGTACTTGGTGTTATAATAGATATAAAACCTTTAACACATATTATGACTAAGTCAAATGAAAATAAAGCTAAAAAGAATATAACCTTATATGATTAATCAGGAAGAGGAATAGATGTTGTAATTTGGGGAACATAGGCTGAACGATGGTAGTTTTAAAAAGATGATATTGTAGCATTTAGAGGATTAAAAATAACAGATTACTAAACAATTAGAAGTTTAACAGTTACTAATTAAACTATATATGAAAAAAAATAATCTAATTTAGAAAAAATTAATGGATTTTAAGAATTTTATGAATTTTATAGTCAAAATAAAGATTTTATTGAATAAAAACCAAAAGAATCAAAAAAGAAATTTGCTTTATCATATATCGAATAAATTAAAAAGGATTTTGAGGGAACTAGAGATAATAAACCTACTAAATTTTATGAAATAAGAGCATATCTGACAACAATTTTTAATAAACCACTTTTTTATGAAGGATGTGATATTTGTAAAAGAAAAATTAATTTTATACCATAAACTAAATAATATCACTGTTAAAATTGTGATTAAAATTTTGATAAACCTAGTTTTAAATATATTTTTAATGCCAAAATTGCAGACACAACTGGAAATCTAATTGTTAGTGTTTCTAATGAAATTGGAGAGAGAATATTAAGTATTTAATTAATTTATTTTAGAGGTTTCTTGTAACGATTTCTAAAAAAAGTCTGATTCAGAAAAATCTGATTGTCTTAAAAGAGCAAATTATTAAGAATATAGGTTTTTAATTGTAGCTAAAATGGAAACATATAATGATGAACGTAGAGCTAGATATTAAATTTCAAGTATCATTTAAGATGAAATAGTTGAAGATAATCAAGAACTTTATAAATCTATAATGCAAATTCTAAACACTAATGAATGATTTAAGTTTATTTAGAAATCATCTATATTTTTAATATAAATTTTTATAATTATTATACTTTATGGATCCAGACCTTTATATATATCCAGGTATAACGAAAAATTTAACTAAAACCATGTGTGGAAAATTAAAGAGATTTATTAGTATTTTTAAATTAAACTATAATAGAAAAACAATTTAAAGATCAATCATTTTTATAGGATGATCCTAAAGTTAAGGAATTCTTAGATACATCTTAATATGATTATAAAGTACTCAATTTAATTCAATTGAAATAAAGTAAAATTGGAAAAGAGATTGTAAATTTTTTTTTCGGTAATCTAATTTGGTGCTAGGATATCAATGAACTTAATAAATTAGATATTAATTATTACTTCCAATTCAATCATGTTTGGTATGATTAAACAGAAGATGATAAATAAGAAAAAGAAAAAAAAGAAAAATAAGAATTTTTAGAGAAATTAGAGAAATAAGAAAAATTAGAAAAATTAGAAAAATTAGAAAATGCTTCTGATAGTGATGTTAAAGTTAAAAAAATAAAAATCGACTGAAATAAAGGTTTTCTTTATTTTTGATTAATTCAAAATATAATATATTTTTAATAAATAATTTTACAAAATTTTGTGAGATAATGCATTAGGATCCTTAAAATAATGAAGAGATTATATTGCTATAGACAATAGAAAAGGAATTATCAAATGATTAATAATTACTCTAAATCTGTAAACAAATTGGATAGCAGAATCAAAGTATAAATTATATGCATTTAAGATCCTAGATTATTGATTTTCTTATAAGAATTATTAAAAATTTTATTTAATTCTTATATTTAGAAAGATGCTCTTTCAAATGCTATTAAAATATTGAACAACATTTTGAATAAATAAAAATTTAAGAATAAACCTATATCAAATTCAGATTTAAGTCACTATATAAATCAAAAATATTATGAAGTTTTAGGTAGACATTTATCATATTATAGCTCATTTTTATGAAAAAGCATTTTTGAAAGGGCCTGAAGATGCATATAAACATATGAATTTTTTTTATTACAAAAAAATTGCAATAGATTATATGCAATCTCCAAATTGCTTAAATTAATAGATGTCAAAAAATATTTTATAAAAAATTGATTCAACCTATTAAAATTTTACAGGAAATACTCCTTAAGACTTTGAAATGGCTGTTTTTGACTGTCTAAATCCACAAGAATAAGAATTACTTACTTAAATTGTATCAGATGATTAAAGCAAAGCTGTTAAATAGACAAATAGTTTATAAGATAGATTTTTGTTAAATCTTCCTCCAGATTTGCAGGAACAATTTAAAAAATAAAATTTTGCAAATATTTATGCTTTTAGAGATTATCTTGCATAATAAAAAGAGAATAAAGGAATTGAAAAAATTTTAGGATATATATTTGTAGACAAATTAAATTTTTACTTAAACACTTATTATTTTGTAAATTCAGCAAAAAAAATAAAAGAAAATAAATCAGATTTATAAAAGTTATTACCTGAACTGGAAAAGGATATCATGGATTCCCAAAAAGATTACTATTCTTTTATTGATATATCATATGTTAAATACTTTTATAAAAGCTTAAAATCAAGGAGAGTTAGAAATTTTAAAGGATAATGTTTTTCATTTAAAAAAAAATTGACTGATTTTATTAAATTAGAAATAAATTCATTTTAATTACCAAAAAAATTCAATATACCTTAATTTGAGAATTTGAAAGAGATATATTGTAGTTTATATTAAGAATTAGAAAAAACAACAGAAACAGAGGATTCTAAAATTGTAGCAAAAATACTTTTTAAGGTTTAATAGTTGATTCTTTCTTTTTTAAAGTTTAGATGGAATTTTTTATATTTATTTTGTGCATTAATTGTAGAAACAAAACTATAATCATAAGAATTAGATTAAATTTTAGAATAAGCATACGATATGATGTAAAGCACAACTAAAGAAGAGTTAAATAAGTCTTTTGATTAGATTTTAGCTTAACTAAATGAAAAAACAAATAAATAGATTACATCTGATTTTTTTGATAAATAGGGATCTAATTTGGGTTATTATTCTTTACAAGTATTAGAAAATATTCTTCCTTATATAAACAACAAATTAATACAGGTTATGCTTTAACTTAATTTATAAAACTAAAACTTAAGACCTATTAGAATGATTAGAGAATTAAAATCTTTTGAATATTAATTAATACATGATTGCAGTTAAAATTTAAAAAACTACTCAAAAATATTTGAGAAATTAACTGATTCTATATTAGAAGGGGAGAAGGAAGAGAAAGATTTAAAAGCATAATTCTTAAAAACTTATACATAATATTTTTAACAAAGACTGAGAAATATATGCAATGAAAAAAAATAATATAGTCAATAATTTTTAAAAAGTTATTTATTTAATGTTAATAAATTAAAATAAGATTATTAGAATAAGAATATAAAATATTATTAAGAAATTTTTTAAAGAGAAGAGAAAATCAGTTAAATTTGTGAATAATATATTCTCAAAGAAAAAAATTATTAATAAATTCCAGGTGATTTATTTAAAGATTTATTGGAGAATTACATGGATGCCTTTTTGAAAGATAATCCTTTTATAATTTTCTTACCTGCTATACTAAAAGGTTTGATTTTCTTTAAACCATAAAGATATGTTTTCTTTGAAAAAATAGAAAGAGTTAGATTTGCTGCAGTTGGATTTAAAGATAAAGATAAAGATGAAATAAATAAATTTATAGAAAATATGGTTAATTAGAAAGATTAATTTACTTTTGAATAATAATTTTAAATTGCAAAGAATATCTATAATTTTTATATAACATTGCCATAATTTTGTGGGGATCAATTTTGTAAACCTATATATGAACCATTTCCATAATTTAATTAAATGAAGAGTATTACTGATTATAATTCTACAAATTATAATGCAATTTGTGTTTTTACTAGTAAATTTTTTTGTTAAGACTAAAAAGTTGTAATTAAAAGTGAAGAAGTTCTGAGAAATAATGATTTTTTAAAGAAAATTTCAAGTTTAATGAATGAAAAAACTTAAATTGAACATTCTTCATAAGATATAATTTTAAATTAATCTTTAGAATTGAAAAACTACAAGGCTGTATTAATTAAAGAAGCTTAGTAAAGTAATGATTAAAATTTAACTAATAAATATATTGAAGTATTTTAAAAGTAACCAACTAAAACTTTGATTCTTTAAGAGATTATTGAATATAAAAAAAAAACTTAAATACCTTTTAATGATGTAGAATTGTTTCATACTTCAAAAGATTTTTGGATTAGAGTTGGAAATGCGGAATTGAGATAAAAAATTGATAATTAATAAAAAAAAAGAATTGAAGATTATTTCAAAAATTTATTAAATCTTTCAACATTATCATAATTAAATGATAAATTAAAAAATGATATTTAATAAACTTAAGATCCTTAAATAAAATAACTGTTAAATAAAAATTATCCTCTATATAAAGAAGAATTAGAAAAGGTTTCTAACAAATCAGCTTTATAAACAATTCATAATAAATAATCAATATTATAAATGGGATCAATTTAAAAAAAATTATAACAATTTATGTAGGATTCAAAATATAAAGAGTTTTAGGTTGAAGACTAACAAGTCTTGGCATTTATTAATGAATAATTTAGTCTTTATATGAAACAATTATTAGGAAAGGTATTTTAAGTTGCTTTAACATAAAAGCCAGGATATGAATTTAAAGTTTTTTAAAATAAACTAATTTAATAAAATGATGCTTAAATGACTAAATATAAATAAAATTAGGAATTATAAGTAAAATATGGACCTTAAAAAAATTCTTATCTTGATATATCATTGCTAACAAGTAGTGAGAATAAAACTTAATTGTATTATGAATTATGTGATAATACTCCTTGTTAAAGACAAATTGAATTTAGGAATTTTTTAATAGAAATTGAACCTCTTTAAGAAGATAAATTGAAAAATAAAATTAGAAAAAATAAGTGGAAGGAAGAACATCCTGAATTAGAAGAAGTATTAAAAAAAAGAATTAAAAGAGGAGCTGAATTATGGAATTAAGTATAAGATTTTCTATGTAAAAGGGAAACCAATGAAAATATCATGGATTCTGATGAAGAATCAGATAAATATAAAGGTTAATAATAATAATAATTTGATACTATTGAAGATGATTAATTAGACTAAAAAATTTCAGAAATTTAAAGGAATTTTGAAAGATAATTGTTGACAGCAAAAAATTATATAAAAACAAGGTAATAAATTATTTAATAGCTAGATTAAATAATATGGACAATGATAATCCTTTGTTGACATAGAAAGAAATAACTGTAAAGACAGTTCAATTTGTTTTGGAATAACATCCTTACTTCAAAAAGAGTAAGATTTTATACAAATCCTATATTTTGTGAAGAGTTTTAAAAATTATAATATTAAATGATTATTTTAGAAGTTAAGAATTATATAAAATTTAATCATAAATAGAATGTTATTTTTTTATTTTAAATTAAAGAACAAATCTAAGTTAACCAATTTTAAATTTACTTTTTTTAAATAAAAGTTTGATTTAAAAAAAGGAGCTTTTTATGTGCTAAGAATTTAGTTTAATAAATTAAATTATGATTATGAATTTTATTATAAAAATCAATTAAATAAGAAAGATGATGATGACGAAGCAAATTGTTAAAATGAATTTATTTTATATTTTTTTCATTAATTTATGGAAAGATGATTAATAGTTATTAAAATCTAAATATTTATGTTCATTATTTATATAAATATTATTTATAACATAAAATGCAATAGTAAAATAATGAAGAAGTAAATTTATAGAGAAAATCTTATGTAGTAATTTAATGAAATGATGGATAGTAAATTTTATATTGAAGAGGTTTGTGATGAAACATAAAATGTAAAATTAGAAATTCCAAATGCAGATAAAAATAAAATCATGATTACACTTGTATTGTATTTTAATATATAAAAAGGAAGAAAATTTAAAATAGAAGAATGATTTTTTAAATTCAGAAGATTATTATAATTTCTAACAGCTTCTTGTTATTTCATTAATTACAATAAACTTTTCTAATGATGATCCATTTTTTAGACATATAACAATGGTTGTTAAGGCAATAAAAAAAGCAATTAAAAAAAGACTTATTCAAGAGATTAATTACTATCAATCTAAATAGGAATTTAAAGTATGTAAATATTTATAATGGTAGAATTAATAATCTTCTCTCTTCAGAATCTATTATTAAGATATTAATATAGGGTTTATAACATCTACCCAATAAATTAAATCAACAGCATTCATTTTCGTAAATAAAAATATATTTAATGAATTTACGAATAAGAAAATGTCAATTGAACAAAAAGATTAGTAAGTGAGGTTGTCACTCTACTTTTTTGATATAAATATATAAAAAGAACAATAAATTTAGTAAGATTTTAAAAATTAATTTTTGCGAATAAATAAATTCAAAAATGAGTTTATAGTATTGAATGAAGAAATAGATTAATAGAAATAAACCACAACATTTCATGTCTATAAGCCTATGGATGATCAAATTTATTTTGTTAAAAGAGTAAAAAACAACCTAATCATAGATATAATTGTTAAATATTTCTTTAGATGTTACATTTCAAGATATATTTAACACAAAAAGTTCAATTTAAGATTATTTGAAAATATAAGAAGCGCGTACACTTTAACGCGTTTCACATCCAAACATAATCAGATTATATGAATGGTGGTTGGAAATAAAAAACTATTAATTATTTCTATTTACCTAGATGGAATACTGTATTTATCCAGGATATATTTCACAATCTAAAAATCTATTGAGTTATTCATATTTTTATATGAATCCAATGCCTTAAGAATAGAAGAGCAAACTTATAAATGAAATATTATCTTAGATTATAAGTGGATTAGAGTATTTGCAAAGAAAATAAATAGTACATGGAGATTTAAAACCTGAAAGTATTATGGTCACTAAAAGTATCACTGGAGATATATAGGTAATAAATTCATATAATAAAGGTTATGTTAGCAGATTTGAATCATTCATAATCATGTTCTCAAGATTTCTAAAAGTACCAATTCAAAGATAATGTTGATTAAAAATAATAATGCTTATATGCATTAGGTGTGTTATTAATGCATTTAATTCTTACATTCCCAGGAGAACCAACTCTAAGAAATAACTATGTTATCAAATTTTAAAATTATGACATTGATGATTCATTATATGAGTTTGATAAATGGGCATAAAAATCAGTCAAAAATAAACATAAAGAATTTTCATTTTTCTTATACAAAAACTATATGGAATTAGCAAAATCCTTATTAAAAAAATAATAATTTCATGAATTACATGAAATAAGAACTTTTATTTAAAATAATAAATAATTTGATCATCTATTAGTTTGATTTATTTTATAGTTTTTTTTATAAAAATCAATCAATTATCATGTAAAAGAAAAAATCTCATAATAAACTTCCATCTGAGATCATCCATTCTAATAATTACTTTATTATGCCTAAATCAATTAGGTATTCAACTATTTTCTCCATATTATAGAACTACATAGACTTCATCACAAAATATTTAAATTTAAAAGTTTCCTTCTTCTAATAATATTCATGATCCTGATTAAATTGATCCTTTAGAAAACACAATCAAACATTAATAATAACTCAAATTATATAAATCTAATTTAGAATTGTAATCTGCACTTCACTATTCTGATATTAATTAAACTTAATTATAAAGAATGAATTAACAATTATTATAGAATAACATTGATCTTTAAGGAATGTATAATAAATCTGAATAAGAAAACAAATAATTATAAAATGAATTAATAATCATTTAAAATCGAATTTAATTAAAAGAAACCGAATTCAAGAAAACTGTTGAAACTAATGCTTAAAACATGAAGGAAATAGCTTAATTGAAAATTTAAATGTAAAAGGTATAATCAATTTTTATTTTAGTTAAATTAAACTTTAACCAAATTATCCGAAGAAAATAATTAAATGAAAGAGAAATTAGAAATAAGTTAAAATTTCAGTAATTTTTTATCCTACAAATTAGGTCTATCCAGTAGAAGAGAAATTAATTAATAACCTGATTGTAATTTTAGTGGTTCAATGATATATTAAAATTCTAGAATAAAAACTAATAGCTTTTCAACTACTTAAAATCATGAATAAGATTTATAAACATAAATAATATGTTATTAAAATCAAATGGCTGAAAAGAACTAATTAATTTTAGGTTTATAGACATAAATTAAAAATTTAACAGATGTTTAAAGATAATTAATGTCTCCAAAAAAGAAACATGTAAAAAGTTCATAAAATTTAAATTTACATTTAAACTTACATGCTATTTCAAAAACACCAATTGAAAAATCTAAAATTTAAAATGAAACCAACAACATTGTTGTTAGTAATCTGAAATTAATTGATATAAATAATGAATAGAAAAATCAAGATTCAACTATTTAAAAAACTAGGCAATCAGATGATATTGATGTAAAGTTTATAAAGAAGATAGGTTGGACCAAGCATAAAATCGTAAATTACGAATTTGAAATCTAAATAAGAATTGTCATAGATTTATAAAAAAATAAGTTAATCTACTATATATACAGCTGGATTATATTCTAGTTTATTAGACTATCAATATTTATCAAATGTATTATAAATTATTATAACTTTTTAGAACAAATTATTTAGTACATCAAGCTCAAAGGATTTTATTTAACATTGAAGATTATTAATTAGTTTATATAAATAAAAAAAGCTCAGAACAAACTTAAAATATATAAAAATAATCATCTTCTTCTAGATTTTCCTTTTTTTTTAGTTTACTTTTTTTTTTTAGGGGGACTTTTCTGTTGTTGATTTATTTTTTCTCCAGAAGAATCATGTTCTTTATCAGATTCATTAATTATTTTTAAATCACTTTTATGATTGCTTGAAATCAACTTTTCTATATTTCGTTATTATTATTTTTTTGCTGAATCTTCTAAATTCATTAATTCTTCTTTATTTTCTTTTTCAATTAAATTTTGTAATTCATCATCGTCAAATAATTTTTACATAACTTCCTATTTAAATTTATCTTTCTCTTATTAACTACATAATTAATATTAAAATATACTGTTTTAGTAGTTCTTATTCAAAAAGTTAACCAAAAAGTTTTTTTTTCATTTCATCATATGGTGTTGTATTAGTAGCTTGATCAAAATGATTTTATTAATGTTTTTAATTAGAACAATTGATAAGGTGTTCTTAAATAACTTAATTAGAAGATTTATTTAAGATGTTAATATTATTTTCTTAATTATAGTTTGAATTAATAAAATGTGATTTAGATTATTATTTACTATCATCAGATTATTCATCAATTTGTTCTAAATCTAATTATTTTAATCCATTCATTAAATCTTCTTATTCATCATAGTAATTAAAAGTTTATTCTTTAATAGAATTTATATTTTGATTTTCCTCTTATATTTCTGATAATTTTAATTAATTTATTTAAAGATTTTCATTATTAATAGCCTCTTAATTTTATTCATTATAAAATATTGGTTCATTATATATATAAGATTTTCTTTAAGGAATCTCTTCTTAGAAATTTGCATTTTAATTATTAATTTATAAATTATTTACTTGTGATAATTAAATAGATCCATCTTATTCTAGAATATCTATAGATGCTTAACGTGATTTATCAGATTATATTTTATCCAAAGATTTCTATAATCTATAATCACTTTCTAAAGTAGGAGGGTAAAATAATTCATCATCTAATCCACCAAATTACTTTAATCTAGCTTATTATTATTTAACAGTAGAAATTAAATCTTTTACAAATGAATCTTGAATTGTTTATTAAAAAAGCATATGTTAAGTAGTATTTTAAACTAGCATTTTAGCTCTTCTAATAATTTCTTTTGCATTTCTTTTTGGTACTTTTTTTTATTTTGAATCATTTGTCACAAGTTATGACTAATTAATTTGAAGTCTTTAATTATAAGAAAGAGTATTATCATATATCTTAGATTTAAGTAAATTAACATTAACACTTAATGCTCCATAATGCAATACTTTTAATGTCTCTTCAATATCATCTCCAGTCAATCTAACATTAACAATCATCAATATTTTGTTTTCTTCTGTGAAATATTCACACAATAATCTAGTTAGTTTACATTCTCTAAATGGAATACGATTATTTTATTCTGATTCATTTTAACATCTCATTTGTTTTAAACATTTCCCTAAAACTAATAATGATTTATTTATGTTGCAAGCTTCTGTAAGTTAAGAACCTTGTGTTTCTGCCTTTTTTGTTCTTTCTGATCCAGCCAAATCTACTATACATATTGTTTATTTTTTTTAAATTGTATATTGATCTTATTAATATAAAAAGGAGATCTATATTTTAAAAATTGTATGAGATCGACTTGATTAATTGTTTAATGTAGTTTCACCCATTTATCTATTTGTCAAAGCTTTTTGAAGTAAATCTTTAAATTATTGATTAGTATTTATTTCTTTCTCTACTGCATCTTTTACATAACATTTTTTATCATATATTTCTTTTAATTGAAGTTTAGTTTTATTATTAGCTAATAAATCATATATTTCTTCATTATAGATTTCAAATGATTAAAATGTGTAATTAACTTCTTTCAATACATAATCATCATATGGAGATTCTCCAATTTTTATTACTTATCCATCAATTTCAATTGTTGTTTTATTTAATAGAAATGCTGTTTTTATTTTGTCTAATGTTTATAATGTTAGCGGTAAAATTCCAGGAGCTTCTTAATTACCTATAATAGTATATGTTTTGCCAGAATTTGTAACTCCATAAGTAAAAACTAGTCCTCCCTTTTCTAAAAAGTAGAAAATGATTTGTACATTTTTCAAAAATGTCTTTGATCATTGGTATAACATATTCTTGATGCAAATTTTTCTGTGTTGAATTCTAATCATAGATTTAGGAAAAAGTAAAAGTTTTTTAATTAGAGATTTCATTATCATTATTTGTTTCATAAATATCCAGTCTTTTATCGATAATCGTATAATTTACTATAATGAACTCATAATTAATACCATAATTTTCACCAACAAATTTAGGTCGAATTCTACAAATTACTTCTATACCATTTTAAGGTTCATTTTGATCTAACACACTCAATGTTTCAGAGGTTGGCAATTCTATAGCTGGTTTTTTCTTGATTTCCATTTAATAACTTTGAATTCAAATTATAAAAATTAAATGAATAATAGGAGTTATGACTATGAAGAAAATTAATTAAATATAATAGTCTTAATTTTCAAAATGATTCAAAAAACAAATCTCGTTAAGAAGGATTAGATTATTTAATAATTCTTTTAATAAACAAAACTAAATTAGAAAAGATTATTAATTAAGTTAATATTATAATCAAAATGTCTAGTGAGTATAAATTATGATGTTAACCTTACAAATTTTTAATTTTCTCTGTGAATTTTAATAATTTTATATGTGATGAAATAAGGAAATTTCATAGCCCACTATATTAAATATCCAGTTGATCTATTATTAATTTTATATATTTGTTGGTAGTGTCTTATAAAAATTCAATTCAAATATCATGATTGGAACACTCCTTCATTCAATTACTTATAATGTACAATTTATAGTAGATAATTACATATTTAGATTTACTTTTATATACTTGAAAATAGCATTTATTATATTATTCTTCAATTACATCATCGTATTATAAATTGATAAGTTAAGCTCGTTAATTCATTTAAGAACTCTTCTAATTATCTTGATTTAATTTATGTTATGGATACTTTGGTTCAAAGTCTCTGCTTGATTTTTATTGGCTTATTTTATGATTCTAAGTTATGTGCTTTTAAAGAATCGGATAATAGGATAGAGACTACTGCATAAGAATTATTATTTCAATGCCTTTTTATTTGAGTAAAATCTATTTGAATAACAATTGGCTGTTTTCATTTTGTTTGATAAAATTGAGATGACATTAAAAATTATATAAAAATATATTTATACATGTTAGATTATCCACAATTTAAATTGCCTGAATTTGTAAACCAATCTTTTCATTATTAGTTATTAGATAAAAATTATATAGAAGATGTTATTTCCACAGCTCTTAACTTAATATTTTTTCATCGGGCACTTGGTCCAATCAAATTGAATCACATGAAATGTGAACGTTTACCTAAGATTACTTAAGTATTTTTATTATTATCTTTAGTTAAGATGTGGGGAACCACAAGTTGACAAGGACATCAAGAAATTAATTGATAATATTAATAATGATCCTAACATTATTAATTGTTGCTCTCTTTAAATTTCTTTAAAATTTATGGAAGAACAACCAACAACACTTCTCTAATTTTATAAACCAAAACTTAAAATATTTGAAGAATGGTTACTTTTGTTTTAATTTGGTCTATCCTCCCTTGATAAAACTTAAAATGATTTCACACACATATTGACTAAAATAATTGATATTGCCACTGCAAATTATGATCATTTTGATGAATAATTTGATCAATCATAGCAAAAACCATTAAAATATCCATATGAAGTATAAATTCTCTTTTAAAATTCAAGTTAACTTTTAATTTTTAGTGATTACATATATACATATATTTTTCAATTATTTAAAAACAATTTTTTTATTATATATTTAATTTATCTAATTTTTACATGCTAAAATTATGGAATTTTGATATTCATTATATAATTGAAAAAGATAACAAAACTATTAAATTTGAGTATGAAAATTAATATATATAAATTTGAAATGATTAAGAAAGTGGTATAAGGTTAAGATCTAAGATATTTGAATTAGAAATAGTAGTAATGAGATTTAAGAATAATAATATTAAAAATAGATCTAAATATAGAGGATGAAGAAAATGATAATAAAATGAGATTTAATTTAAGAATGATGAGATATGAAATAAACTTTAGGTTATTAGATAGAGTAGTATAAGATGGATGAGTTTTTAAAGGTTATATAAATTATAAGTAAATATATATACCGTTTTTGTGTGATAATTAAATAAATGAAGGTTTTTGCTATGATGGCATTATTGCTGGTAGCAGCATACAGTCAATCAAATGAGATTGATGTAGTATTAAAGATGCTAGGTGATTTAAAAAATGAGACAAACAAACAATTATAATAATTGGCTAGCGATTGGGATGCAAGTAGATATGTAATTGATTATATATGAAATTAAACAGCAAAAACAAGACATTGTAAATGATTTAATGAGATCTGCATCAACATAAAGAGGTGAATGTAATAGAAGAGATTAAGAGTGGGCAAATAAAGAACGTGATATTAGAATAACACTAAGTTATATTAATTGGCTTGAAAAAAGAATAAAAGAAAATAATGAAAGGCTTTAAAGATTAGATATTAATAGATGTGAATCTAATGCTAATTTCATAAATGATATAAAGAATTCAAAAAAGACTTTAAATTTAATTGCTTTCTTAAGAAGAGCAATAAAGAATGCAAAAGAAGTAATTTAGTAAGTAATAACAATTAGACTGATTTACCAACACTATTATAATCTGCTTAATTCATTTAACTAAAATCATTTTTAGCTGATGATGGTGAAGAACCAGAATTGACAAATGATGATAATGAACCACCTCATGTTTATGATGAAGCTGAACCTGTTGAAACAACTGATTCAGAAGATCAATCTGTCGATTCAGATGAATAAGAATCATAATCAGATACATAATCAGATACATAATCAGAAACTTAAACAGAAGATGTTGAATAAGATTTTTAGGTTGATTCTGATGAATAACCTGAAGCACCAGTTCCTGAACATCCTTTTGAAGCAGAAGAAAAAGCTACTAATGAATAATTAGCTAAAGAAGCTGCTGCCTTTAATAAAATTATTGAAAAAGGATAAAAGGCTCCTGCTTAATAAGGATCTACCAAAGATTATTCTCAATTCACTGTTGCTTAATAAGAATTACTTAATTTCTTAGATATCTTAGAAGATTAAGTAAGAAATACTTTTGGACAGAAATAAGATAATTAAGTTACTTCAGCTATGGGTTATAGTGATTTTAAAGGATTAATTCAAAAAGAAAATGAAACATTCAAAGGACATTTGATAGCTGAAGATGTTAATCTAGTATTACATTCAATTTATGCAATAGGAAAAATTATAAAATTAATTGATTACCATCTTATAAGCCACTGCAGCTTGCAAAGATAGATTAAAAAAAATATAAAATTCTATTGATCTTGCTAATGAAGTATCTATTTTAAATAATATTGTAAGGATTTGACTGCCTCAGAGAATCACTTTAAATCTGTAACTGAAACTCTATAAGAAGAGCTTAATACCTTTGATGATGTTTACAGAATTTATTCATCCTAAGTTGGCTCTCAAAGCTCATCATATAAAAAAGATGTTTAAGCCAAAATTACCAACTGATTATGTTAAATCATCAATACATTGCAATTATTATATAAATCTAAGCTTTTATTCTTCTTTAAAGACTCTTTAGATCTATATTCTTTTGAGTCTTACTTTTCCCATTATTATTCGATATAATTAACATATTTTGAGATAGTTTGTTTTACATTACAAATAATATTATTAAAAATTAACATTTATGAATAAGAATCAAATTCAAAATAATAATCTTCGTAAACCATCTAATACTTATTTAAGAACTGAATTTAATAATACTTCATAGAATAAAGATAACAGATTTACTACTGATCCATCTCCCAAAAAAATGAATAAAGAAAATATTGTTAAGACCTCTTATCTCAAAGCTACTCTAACAAATCATTTGATTAAATAAGAGCGTAACATTACACCAACATTACCAAAAAATAGCGTAGTTAACTTGTTTATAAAGTAAAAATAAGAAGAATAAGTATAAGTTGTTGAATCAAAAAAAAATATTTGTTAAACTCATTAAAAGAAATTTAAATATGAGTCTGATGATCAACAAATGTGTAGCAAATGTGTAATTGATTATGCAATTTAATCTGGCTTACCAATACGCTATTATGATATAGATAAAAAAATTTTGACTTTTGGTTAAGAAGAAGATCATGATGAATTTTAACAATTTACCTCAAATACATCAAAAGATCTTCAATATATTTAGAATATTCAAACATAAGCCAATGGTATAATAAAAAAAAAAGAAATTAAGGATTTTGTAGTAAAAATTGGAGATGTTATCAGTTAGAACATGTAATTTCTAAAATTAATTCAATAACATTAAAATCAATATGATAATCCTAAATAATAAACAAATAAAATATTAGAAGAACTTTAATAAATAAGTAAATAAATTATTATGGATATTCTTGATAAATAAAAAAATTAATCAAAAGATTTGCTTATGAATGATGCACCTTAATAGATTAATTTATCAAGTTTTAAATCTATAGTTTCTTAATAGATTAACGATCTGTAGAATATCAAAAAGGATATTTTAGAAAATGTTGAGAATATTATAACTTAAATGGATATAGCTCCATTTAAAATCATAATTAATAAATATAATGAAAAATTAAGAACATTTGAAAATACTCTCTATGAAATTTAAGAATAATGTATTTCGTATTTTTAGTAGTAGATAAATAATTTCCTAAATAGATTGAAGATTAGGGATATACAAAAAAAATGAGAGAGTTCAATTTTTAAAAGAAATTATCAAAGTTGTTTGCAGAATTGATGCAAAATCATCTTTAAAAATCCATTTAATTAACAGATTAGAGTACAAATAACAATAATTTATTAATTAGTTAATAATAATACAAAATTTTTGCAATTATTATAAAAAGTGAATACAAATTAAAATACAAATACAATATTCTATCAATCAATTTTAAAAGTAAGAATTAAATAAATTTAAGGATATAAATTCAGATGAAAAACCTAAATAAATAAAGACTAAACTAAAGACACAAGAATGATTAATATAATTTTTATTTTTTTATATAAGTCTATTTGAGTTTGCAGAATAATTATGAAAAAGGAGAGAATATTAATTTGAAAAAAATCATTAAATGATTTATTTACTACTAATTTAGATTGAGCTTTTATTAGCAGTCAACACTTCAAGAATCCGATCTTAAGAATCACAAACTTTATAGGCCGTATTTCCTGATTCTTCTTTAAAAGCAATACATAATAAATAAAATATTTATCTGCTAAAGTAAAATATGTTAAAAAATGAATAGCATTTCTTAAGCATATGATATTGAATTGATAGATGAAAAGGGATAAATTTTTGAGACACCATATATATCGTTAGATAATCTAGACTTAGATCATTTTATTGTAGAAAATGGTATATATTTGATTTAATTAATAAGAATGTGTTGCTTTTCCAAAAAATCCTTAATTGACAGAATTGATGGATTATCAAATATAGAATAAAAGCGATGATACATTTTATTCAGATATAATTTCAGCAACAGATTATTAAGACTTGTACATAGTAACATAGGATTTAATGCTTATTCAATTTAAATTGAATTCATAATATTGGGTGGTTGCTTAATAAAAGAAATAAATAGATTTAAAAAAATATGTAGATGTTAAGGATGAAAAAATCAGAACAAATGCTTTTTTTAGTTGTCCTAAGGTAATATAATATTAATTAATTTAGGGTCATTTAAATTGTTTAGTAATATCTGAATATGGAGGAATTTGGATTCCTAAATTTATTGATTTTGATGATGAATCAACAGAGATAGTGCCAGAATTAGACAAGAATTTTATAAAAAGGCGTGAAATAAAAAGGATTTCTACATTTGAAAGTATATTAGCAATTGCTGCTGGTGAAGATGGCGTTGATATTTATAGATGTGGTTATAAAATTAGCAGTAATTTTGATAAGAAAATCTATTATCTTCATACAATAAGTAATAGTTTAATGGAAATTCCATCTTCATAGTAAATCTATATAATAGGAGTGAAAATCTAAGATGATTTATTATATGTATTGGATGAAGATTTAGGTGTCTATATTTTTAATATAACAAATTCATCAAAATATCATTTGATTATGAAAATACCAATACCAAGAACAATAGCTTTTGATTTTTATGGAAATACATTAATGGTAGTTGCAGAAACTGTTAATCATATTCAATATATTTTAGAAATATTTCTGGATATTACTGCCTAAACTTATTATGTAAATAGAGTATATGTTGATGATTTCACTTTTGTTGATATTTAAATGACTAAAGAATATGCTATATTCATTGCTGAAGATACACATATGATTATTAAACATTCTATATTTAATGCTTTTCTTAAGAATAATAAAGAACTTGTTAGAACTTTCTTTTAAGAATAATTGATTAGGTTTTAACATTTCTCTTCAGAAGATGAATATTATTCATAAAGATATTCTCAAACTACTTATTATGTTGGATTTTCAAGAAAATCACTTCATGCATGGAAATTCAGAAATTATAACTCTTTTATAAATTGCAATTTTAATTAAAAAGTTCAAAAATAATATACTCTTAAATTAAATGCATCTGCTTGTTATTTAAATTAATAAACTTCTCCATATATTTAATGTTAGATGATCTAAAAAATCAATATAGAATCAGATGGAACTTTATTAGAATCTGATAGTCTAACTGCTATTATTGTTGTTTCCAGTATTTCATCTGTATTTTATTTAATTATTTTAGTCAATTCTTCTTATTTTGATAATTCTACTATGCACAAAATGGAGAAAATTTGTTAAATCAATTTAATTAAAAGCTGAAAATTTAAAAAACTTAAAAAGTTATGGTCGGATTTAAGAATAAGAACAAAATGCATGATAAATTTAAACAAGTTAATATCAATTATTTATATTATATTTATTTTAATTATTTACTTATAATGAGTCAAGCAGACTTACCATTATTTCTTATATTCTCTTCCTATTTATTTTCATTTTCGTTTTAATAATCATATTTAATACTTTTTTTACGCCCTCTTATTTTAATTATTATTAACTAACACATCCTAAATACTTCTTTCTATAAGAAACTCAATTCATAAATCTTGATCTTCACTTATGAATTCAGAATATTACTCATCTATAAAGTCAATTTCTATTGATATCCTTATAGTTCAATTTATTAAGTAAAATTATTTATTAAATTTTAATAAAATATCGTTAAATTAGAGATTGTTATTCTTTAAATAGAGCTTCAAGCATTAATATTTAAAAGCTTAACCATTTTCAAATCATTCAAAGGGTTTCACTAACTTTATTTCTAAAAAACTATAAATGATGAGATTTTATGGAACGTTATATGAATAAAAACTCATTTCCTTATAAAGTGTATACTTTCTATATTGAATCTTATTATTAAGATATCTTACATGTTATCCTAAATTTACTAAAATTCTAATTTATATTTAACATATAATAGATATATATTGCAAACTACATACATATAACAAAATATAATCAAAGTTTAATCTTATTCTATCAATCTGAGATGATTTACCTTGTTTTTATTGTTTTTCTTGATAAATCATATGAATTTATTGATGAAATCTAAAAACTCAAAGTCTTTTTTTTAATAACAATTAGATCCAATTGACATGATTAATTTGGACTTGGCTTTTTTAATATACCATTTTTAGGCGTTGACAGTGATCCCTTTCTTGATGCTTTCATTGAGCTACAGCCCATAAATTTATAAACAAACAATTATTAAAAAATTTATATTGACAATCAATTTTAGTTTATAAGCTTTTTTATACTGAAATTAATATTGGAGCAATAAACGATTGTAAATAAAATTTCAATCAACTTTAGAAATTATTGATCATTTTTTTGTTAGAATTAATAAAAACTATTTTGAAAACTTATGATCTTATCTATAAGTTTGGAAATTTAAATGAAAAATAATTTTTCGATATTATATCATCTAATATTTAATGATGTTGAAAAAAATTGAAGAAAATTAAGAAAATTCATTTATCTCTATATGAATAGTTTGTTAAAATAAAAAAAGTCTAAGGAGTTATAAAATAAAAATTCCATTTTAGAGGCTTTTCAGATTTTTATCAGTTTGAATAATATATTCATAGTTAATAAGAGTATTTATTAATAATCAGTATAGATTGTTAATTTTTATTATGAACTTTGTGGAAATATGAAAAAATTATTTATCAATAGATTTGGAGAGTTATTCATTCTTATCAATTTATATAATTAAGACACTACAAATAAATTAATTGATGTTATTAATATAGATTCTAAAATAGTAGATAGTAAAATTTAAAATATTTTTTTTTTATATTTGGATAAAAACTTAGAAACATTCTCTAATTAATTGTTTTCAAATGTTTTTTCTGTAAAGTTATTTACTCTTAAATTCTTCTCTAGACTTTTAATTATAAAAAATTTTAAATTAAGTTAATTTCTTCTATTTCATTTAAACTCTCAATTATAAAGATAAAATTTAGATACAGAAGAAACATTATAAAATAAATAATATTTTTAATTATAAGGAGAAAGTCATTTTATAACTACTTTTGGAAAATAGGGCACCATTTTTAGAATCTCATTTTACCGTAACCAAATTTTCGATTTTTCACCATAAAATATTAATTTAAATATAACCCAGTTTTTAGTATAATATTACTATTTTGGAATTAAAACTAAATTCTTTTCCGTTGATGCTAAAAGATTATAGATTTAAATAGAGTCTAATTTAAAGTATAAATAAGAATTTAGTTTGAAAAATCTTACATGAATTTTGTATAGAGTATTTCAAACAAATAACTTAAAAAAGGAAATGCTATGAAGTTAATTAAATATATCATATATTATATTATATATAATAATAAATAAATTACATATCATTTAATTTCTCGATTAGCGCGATTAATAATCATTTTTAATTAGAGATTTATATAAATCTTTTGTTTATGATGTTTAAATCATTATTATTATTTATATGGTGAAATAAACAAAAAAGATTAGACATAGAAGCAAAAAATATGATAAAATATCATAAGAGGAAAGAATTTAAATAGTAAAAATGAAAGAAAATGGTTCAACTTGCAGAGAGATAAGTGAATTAATGAAAAAAAATATTAAAACTATATAATCTATAAAATCAATCGAGAAAAAATCAGAATATGCTGATTTGAAAAAAGCTTTGATTGATTTTGGATTTCAAAAAATAATGGAAATGTCATCATTAGATGTATAATGAATTGATTAATTTTAGAAAACAAATTCTAAAATAATTGGGAAACGAGTGAGTAAAATTATTAGAGAGCAACTAGAGTTGAAAACATCAATTTTTTGGAATCTTATTCCAGAATAAAAAAAGTTCTCTAATAAAAGAAGAATTATATAATAAATTGTGATAAATATAGTAAAGTAAGTTTAAAATGCAATTCAAAAAAGTAATGAAAGTCTTTAAAAAACAACAACAATCATTACGAAGGAAGAGTTTGAGGAAAAAAAAGAAGAAATTCAAAGTAATATAAAGGAATAATCAATGCCTTTGCATTTAGCTAAATATTGTTATCTGATGTCTTTATTAATTCCATAAAAAATATGTAGATATTTATAAAATGATTAATATGAATAATTAACTAAAAATTATTTTTGAATACATTTATGAAGTAATAAAATTATTTAAGATTAATGATATAATGAAATGTCATAATTAAAGTTTTGATTTATATGTAATTATAAGTTAATAAATGCAAAATAAGGTTATATATATAATTAGCTTTAATTTATAATATTCTGAATTTATTATATATATAAAATATGGATTTATACCACTACTTATTCAAATTCATAATAGTTGGAGATGCAAGTGTAGGAAAGTCTTGTATATTACTTAGATATACAGAGAAACAGTTTAGAGATGAACATGATACTACAATAGGAGTTGAATTCGGATCATAAATATTAAAGAAGAATGAAAAAACATTGAAAATACAAATTTGGGATACTGCAGGTTAAGAATCATTTAAATCAATAACAAGATCATATTATAAAGGGTAAGTATTATTTTATATAAATTAGCTCTATTGGAGTACTTTTGGTCTTTGATATAACCAATCGTGAATCTTTTCATAATGTTTAAAAATGGTATAATGAAGTGAATGAACAGGCAGCATCTAATTGTACAATTGTATTAGTAGGCAATAAAACAGATCTTGAATCATAGTAATTTTATTTATTATAATTAGACGTAAGATTACAACAATTGAGGCAAAAGCTTTGGCAGATTAATATAAGATGCTATATATTGAAACATCTGCAAAAACTAATTAGAATATTGATAATCTCTTTGAGACCACTGCATAACAAATCTTAGATAAAATTGATAAAAAATTAATTGATTTTGCTAATGAAGTAATTCAATTACATTATAATTTAGGATAGTGGCATTAAATTAGGGACTTTTTATAAATAAGGTAAGGATGCAAATAAAGACAAAGACAATGATTGTAAATGTTGAGATCGGCCTTATTAAATTTATAATAATTATAATAGATTTTATAAATCTGAAATAAATTTAATTGTTCTCTTATTAAGACATTTTTATTTTTCAAATATTAAAGTATATAATAATTCTATTATGTATTAAATTTGATATTTATATTTAATTAAAACCAATATATTTTTATAAATATTTTAAATCAATATTAAACATCCTTCCTATGAAATAGAATAAAAGATACAATACTTTGACAGATAAATAAAGAGCTGAAATTATGGAACTTAAAAATTATATGTCTTCAAAATAGATTTCAAAAGAATTAAAAATAAATATAAAGACAATTCAATCAGTTAAATACTCTGAAAGGTAATCAGAGTATAAAATTTTTATAGAGGCTGTTATATAATATGTAGCTAACCAGTCCTTTTTAGTCTCTTAAGTAAATTTTATTTTTCTAGTTTCAGATTAATGATGAAAAAAAATTTAAAAAGTTAGTTAGAAAAAAAGTCCATGAAGCTATATTTCCAAAAGAAACAAGCCAATTTACTCATTTATTACCTATTTAAAAGCAGAATTCAAATAAAAAAAGGATAATTGAATAAATATTCTTTGGTATTTAAAAAAAAATTTTGACAAGTCCTTCTGATTTCAATAATTTATCTCCAATAAAAAATAAAGAAAAAAGTTCTCATTCTCCTAGTTATTCTGAAATAGATTTTCGAAATGACCAAAACATCTAACACTCTCCAGACTTTTATTTTAAGATTTAAAAAACCTATGACGATATTGAAGTTTAATCAGAGATTATTCCATACTTTGAAAGTTCTTCTATAAACTCTTCAACTACTTCCCAGTTTATAAATGAACTTTCAGAAGAATAATTAGGATTCTAATGATGTCATTAATGTGTATAAAATAAAAATCAGTACAAATAACTTTCGTAATTTTATATTTTCTTTTACAGTGATAGAGAACTACTTTGATGTTATTGAGTTATTTCTGAGATATAATTACTCTATATTTGAAAATTTATAGATATTATCAGACACTATTTTATTTATTCTCATCTTTCAAAACAGACTCTTTCTCTAACATATTTAATTAATAATAATTCAGATAAAAGTAAAGTTACTTTAATATCCTTTAATACAATGTAGAAAAAATAGTATAAAATAATTTTATTAAATAATATTTAATAAAATTTTCGTTAAATATCTAAAGAGCACATAATTGTTCTTTATTCTCTCTTTCCAATAGTTTATCTTAAAAACTTTATACTCTCTCTCATTAAATCATTTTCACTAATTTTATTTTTATTTATTAAACTCTCTAGATGTGATATAATGAACTTTATAAGTCAGGTCCATATGGCCATATCTCTTAAAAATAATTTCTTAACTTTAATTAAATAGATAATTAATAAAGATTAGTTTATAAATAATGATTAGTTTTCAAAAATAAGCAAAAATAAGGTGTTTTAGTAATCATATTTTTTCTGTAAATTTTCAAAAATTATAGATTACATAAGCATTTTTAGTTATGTCTGATGTTTATTAAAATATTTGAAAATAATTTATAAAGAATAAGATGTAATGGATTTCAAATTATATAAAGTCATAATTTTTTGAAGAGGATTGTTTATATCTAAGTTAATAATTAAGAATTAATTAAAAAACCTTTGATAATTTTATTATAAAGTAATTATTATGAAAATTAGAGCAGGAATAAATTACTTGAATAAAAAACTCATATATCTGCATGATTTTATTCTTTTTAAAAAGGAACTAATCTATAATTAAATCCAAGATCGATACAATAGTTTTTTAGGCTATGTTTTAAAAGAAATAAACAATTCTTATGAATTAATATAATATATATCATTCCTTTGGAAGTCCTCCTTCTGGTGTTTATTTGCCTAACAAAGCTTTGTGAATATGTGGGATGACACCACCACCTGCAATAGTGGCTCTAATGAGAATGTCGAGTTCTTCATCTCCTCTAATGGCTAATTAAAGATGTCTTGGTGTAATTCTTCTCACTTAAAAGAAAATTATTATTTACAATTACCTTTAAAGTCTTTTGAAGCATTTCCTGCCAATTCAAGGACTTCTGCTGTCAAATATTCCAAAATTGCTGATGTGTATACAGCAGATGTTGTTCCTACTCTGTTTTTAGCAGAGACTCTTTGTTTCAAATATCTGTGAATACGACCAACAGGGAACTTATTATTGAATAATTTCCTACTTAAAGTCCTGCCTTCAAAGACCTAGATTAAGGTGCTTTCTTATTCTTGCCTTAACCAAATTTTCCTCCTTTTCCCCCTTTTCCACCTTTTCCGCCTTTTGCACTCTTTGCTACTCCACTCTAACATAATTTATTCATACTTTACCATTTTGTTGCTAATTTATTTTTATGGCTTTAAAACTATTATATACTTAGTTTAAGAATCGATAAACTCAAATTTGATTGGCTCTATCTTTTAATTTTGGATAATCTAGTAACAATAGCATGTCCTCTTCACTGCTTTTCAAATCTAAGTTCTAAATTCATTTTTGTATAAAATTGTTTCAACCTTATCAAATTATTATCCAATTATATAATGGAATATATAAATATTTCTTTATTAATTTACAAATCAACAAAAAGAGATTCTAATTCTATGATTAATCAATCATTATATATGTTCTTCATTATTATACCTCTAATATTATTTTTTTTTATCAATTCAATTATTTTGTTTGAATATTTCATTTTTTTTTAACATTATCAATAATTTATGTTTTGTAAAGAATTACATTCTCACTTTAATCCTTCAATCTTTTTTTTATAAAGATTTAAATGATGTGCCAAAACCTTATACAAGTATTTTTGCAATAATTGATTTATAAATTTATGAAAATGTTTTTTTTTAGGATTATTTATCTATTTTTCTTAAATATTTTTTAGTTTAGAAACCCAAATAATTTATATATCTAATATGATAAACATAATATCATACAATTAGAAGTTTCGAAATTTAAATAAATTATTATTATTTAATAGATTTTAAGCATTATGTTTTTTAGATTGCATTTTTGTTTAAGAGAAATATTAATGGATTTTATAATTATTTTATTAAAAAGAAAATAAAATAAGTTTATTAGAAAAATAAAGTATGTTTCATAATTTTCCTTTAGTATAATCTTTATCTAAGAAATTTAATAACTAATTTTGAAATTCTCTGCTGATAGATTTGGGTAGAATGAATTTAGGAATTTAAGCTAACATAATCTCTTTATCATTTTTGCCTGAAAATGGAACTTTCCCAAAAATAATTTAATATATTAAGACTCTCCTAAAGCCCAAATATTAGCTTTTTTTTCATTATAAGATTTTTATGAAATATCTCTGGTGCGATATAAACTGGAGTCCCACAATAATAGAACAAAGTTAATTTCTGAAGTGAGTCCAAAATCAATAAGTTTAACTTATTAATCAATAATCATAATATTATATGCTTTTAAATCTCTATGATATATATATTTTTTGAGTTAAGTATTTGATTGCTTCTACAATTTGATTATAAATTTATTTAGCGTCTTTTTTTATAATTTTCTATTAAATTAATCTAAATAATAATTTATAAACAAACTTTTGTATTAATTAGTTAAAGTATTCCCATCAATAAATTCTAAAATTATTGTATTCTTACAAGTCCCAAGAAATTTGACATTATTTTCATGGTCTAATTTTCTTAATATCTTAGTCTCTTTAAACAAAAGTTTTTTTTAATTCTGATAACAATAAATTAGAATTATATTTTTTATTTGCTACCTAAACTATTGTATAAATTACTTTTACTTAAGAATTAGTCATTCTATCATATACTTCAAAAAAATTTGCTAATGCCCAAACAGCCAATTTATATTCAATAATATTTAGTAAATCTTACCCTCTCTCAATAAGCTACATAGCTTATTATAAAATTTATTATGAATTTAAGGTTTTTTTTTAAAACAAGATTGAGCTCTTTAAGGTTTAATAGGTGTAGGTGGACAAATAATAAACTTTTAGAAAGTAAATTTATTTCAACAATCTAATAAAGTGCTTACATAATTTAAAATATTGAATAATTTAATAAATCAAGATAAGAGTCTCTTGTCTATAGTAAAGAGATTTTATTTTAAAATTCCAATTTAGAATTCTAACTCCCATGCTTTGAACTTTAAGACTTAATTTGATTAAGCTGCTTTATAATAATGGAATATAATGTAACATAAAGCAATCTATAAATAATATATATGTTTTACTTTGACAATCATATTAAAGATGCAAAAAACAATAGTAATTCTAACAATAGGATCTCCTGCTTCTCCCCAAGTAGGAAGTGTTTTATCTGTACCATTCCACCAATTCTAGTATAATTTATTAATAATTACTTTATAAATGGATATCCAAAAAATGTCTAAAACTATAGTAAAAACAGTGATAACGCCTACAAATTTTAAATACTCTGGAGTAAAACAATCTCTGAAAATGATCAACAAATACAAAGTGCCTAATAAAATCTATAAGTCTATATTCTGAATGTTACATCCACATAGGCTGGTCTTGCAAAACATTAAAACAATGATAAAACTATCATCAAGAGATACAGAATGAATCCATAATATATTTCATCACTAAGTTCTTCTGATGCTTCTCCTTGATATTATTGAGGAATATCAACTTGATTCTATCTCTATGATTATTATGATGGAGTTGGCTTAGATATTGATTGCTAATGTTATTATTATTAATAATGAAGTGCTGAATTTGTTTAAACCTTTGAAGATTGTTATTGTTTTAAAGAAGATTAAAGATTCTATCTCTAATTATTATCCAGAAAAGGCTATTAAACTACAAATAGATCTCTTTTATAATCTTCTATATCGCTATAATGCTATTAAATATTACTTTCCAATTACTAAATCATTTCTTTATAATAATTTAACTAAATATTTATATAACAATTACTTTATTATAAATCCATTGCACTTCAATTAAAATTGTTAGAGTATTGAATTATTATCTGTCATTTTACAATTATAATGATAGAGAATGAACCTATTAATCTTATAATTAAGATAAATCTATTTTTGCTTAACCAACTAATGATTTCTTTTAATTTCGATCTTAAATCAATAAACTTAAAGTAACATTTTCTCTTCCGCTTTTTATTTGGCTAAAAATTAATACATATAAATAATTATTTTTACAATCCTAATTAATGATTAAATATTGGATTAGATTTATCTCCACTACTTTATTATGCAATTTATTCATTATTATCAACTGATACTGATACTTAACTTTAAGTAAAATCTTATGTTGTTATTCCCGAAGCTGATTTTATTATTAAACTTAATTATGAATCTGTGTCTATACCATATTGATTTTATTATTGAGTGTCTCCAATATATCAAATAAAATACATTAAATCTCCTAAATAATTCTTTGACAATCTTTTGATTCATCTACAGATTATTAAATTTATTTTTCAGTATCCTTAATCTTTTTCTTTAACATTGCATCAGCTGATATCAAAACCTGTGAAAATTCTTCAATTTAAACTTATCCTCTTTAATTTGGAGTACATTGTTCATATATTTAATTAGCTACATCTCTATCATAAGCTTATCCTGTCTATATTTATTATTCTTTTATTTTTAAATACTAATTGATCTAATGCTTAATATATCTAATCTGGTTAGTAAGCTTAATCTTAATTTAATCCAACTCTATAAAAAGCTGCTAATATGTAAGGAGTATTAGGTTAGAATTGCAACGACATATTTTAAATTAATTATATAATTTTATAATTTTTATCAAACAGTTTGAACTCATATTCTAATTCTTAAAGATTTGTTCCATTAGAAAAAAAAGAAATATAAAACAGTAATTAATAGTTTATGATTAATAAATATTAAAATTATTTATATTGATATATCCATTTTAGATATATAATATGAATCAAAACTTAAACATTTCAATTAATCTAATGTATTCTTTGTGAAAATATATATCAAATACTATAAAAACTGGAAATAATTTTAAAGACTAATAGATATAGATTCATAAATCATTTCTAAAATAATTTACCCTACATATTGATCTTTTTTTTGGAGAAAGTTAATTTTCCATAATTAATAAACATTAAATTCAAAAATCTTTATGATCTTAGATTCTAAATTTAATTTTATAGAATTTTTATTAATAAAAATGCAAAAATGAGGCATTCAAATATTAATATTTTAAAAAAGTACTTTAATTTCATTTTCTAATTGTAAAAATATCAAAGAAAAGTTTAATTTATTATTGTTTAGAGATTATTAGCATGATTATTAATATTTAATATTCATTTTAAATTATAATATAAATTAAGTAACTTCTGTTAAAATTTTTGTTGTAAGAAGATTTTAAGATTCTAAATAAGACTATTTGATATTTATTGAACCTCAAAAATATAATTAATTATATATTTCTTCTCTAGATAAAATGCAAATTTAATTTATATAATTTCATAAATATTTATATATTAAAAATAAAATAAGGGGGGGGGGAGAATATAATAAAATTTTGTAATATAAATTGTGGTAATTCATGAATCACACTTTAATTTAAAAAATAATATCTGACTTGGCCCATGAATCACACAACGAAAATTAAGAAATTGCCTGTGACAGTACTTTGCGGTTTTTTAGGGTCAGGAAAGACAACCTTATTAAATTATATTTTAAAATAGAGACATGATTATAGAATAGCTGTAATCGTAAATGACATGGGAGAGATAAATGTGGATTCAAATTTAATAAAGGAAGGAAAGTTTAGTGTAAAAAAGACAAAAGAAAAACTAGTTGAGATGTCAAATGGATGTATATGTTGTACATTAAGGTAAAAATAAAGTTAAATAAGTTTAGAGAGGATTTAATAAAACACATATCGAAGATAGCTAAATCAGGAAAGTTTGATTATATGTTGATAGAAAGTACAGGGATAGCTGAACCTTTACCAATAGCTTAAGCATTTTATTTTGAGAATGAGGAGATGAGAAAGAAGGGTTAAATGTTAAAGAAGTTTGCTAGACTTGATACAATGGTCACGATGGTATCTTAAAATATATTATATATTTAGATTGATGCTTTAAATTTCTTAGATTAATTGTAATCAGATAAATAAGGTGAGGAAATGAATGTAGATAATAAATAGATGGATTAGATTCCATTATCATAATTATTATTAGATTAAGTAGAGTTTGCTAATGTGATAATCTTAAATAAGACAGATTTAGTGGATTAGGAAAGAAAAGAATTTATATTGAATTTATTAAAAAAATTAAATCCTAATGCTAAGATAATTGAATCTATATAGGGATAAATAGATTTAAAAGAGATTATCAATACTAAATTATTCAATTTTGAAGAAGCATCTACAACTGGAAAATGGATAGCGGAACTTTAAAAGCCTATTCATAAAAGTGAAATTGAAGAGTATGGAATATAATCTTGTGCTTTTAAGTCAAGGAGAGCATTTAATCCTGATAAATTATTTTAATTGATAGAAAGAAATAATAAAGAAGAAGTTTCTTTTTGGAATAATATAATAAGATGTAAAGGTTACATGTGGGTTGCAAGTTGGGAAAGATTAAACATTCATATTCATAAAGCAGGAACATAATTGACTTATCATCCTGGTTCTTTTTGGTGGATATCTATTCCTAAGAAAGTCTGGGCTGATACTAAAGAAGAAGTTGATGTAAATTATTTATTTAATATTAATAGGCTATTTGGGATGGAGTCAAACATAATTGGTTACCTGAACCTATTGGTGATAGAAGATAAGAGATTGTATTCATTGGATAAAATTTACCTAAATAAGAAATCTTAGAAGCTTTTGAAAGTTGTTTATTAAGTGAATAAGAAATGATTAAATTTTTATAAAATGGATGGGATAATACTAATGATCCATTTCCTAAAGATTGGGGAAAGTTAGTTAAAGAATTTGAAGATCTAGGAGAACTTAGAGGTAATGAAGGAGAATGGGAAGATGTTTGGGATGAGGAAGGTGAAATGTAAGAAGAACATTAAGAAGAAGAGGTATCAATATAAGAAGAAGTGTAATAATAATAATAATTGATATAATAATGATTTAAAAAGAATGTTTAAATGCATAATCATCATTAAATAATATTTATTTAAAGACTATATTAGTTTTAATTCATAATCAAAGTTTTATCTATTTGTTAAAAAATTAATTAATGAATAATCCAGAAGTAATATACGCAAACCTTACAGGTGATTCTGAACGTAATAATTTATCATTATCAAATAGCTTTTGTGACTGATAGCTTATGTGTAAATTGTGAGTTATAAGGTAAAACAACAATACTTTTAACTAAAATACCAATGTTCTCAAATATTATAATTGTTTCTTTTGATTGTGAACATTGTGGTTATAAAAATAATGAAGTGTAATTTGGAGGTGAAATTAAAGATAAAGGAATAAAATTACATTTAAAAGTTAGCGATCCTAAAGTAATTTAAATATATAATTTTAGGATCTTTAAAGATAAATTATTAGATCAGAGTTTTGTAAAGTTTTGATTCCAGAACTAGAATTTGAAATGCCATCAAATAAGAAAAGTACCATCAATACTTTAGAAGGATTCCTTTAAAATATTATTGATGATTTATCTCATGATTAACCTATTAGAAAATATACATAAGTAGAAACTTATGATCGTATTGAATACATAATTGAAAAATTAAAGTAATTTAAAGAAGGTTAAGAATTACCATTTAATTGGGTAATGGAGGATCCATCTGGAAATAGTTTCATTTAAAATCCAAATGAACTTTAAGATGATCCCTAACTCAAAATAAATCATTATATAAGAACAATCTAAGAACTAGAAGCTATGGGATACAGTGCTGAGAATTAAAAATAAGAAATTCAACAATAACAATAAGTTATAGCAGATCCAATTAGATAAGGAACTGAAAAAATTTAAGCAGGTGGATAAAATTTTGGTTCACCAATTGAAGATTCTGTTAAAAATGAATCAATAAATATTCCAACACCTTGTAATGTTTGTAAGGAAATGGGTGAAAATAAAATGTGTACAGTTACAATTCCTCATTTTAAAGAAATTCTTATAATGAGTTTTAATTGTGAATTTTGTGGATTTAAAGATACTGAAGTAAAAGCAACTGGTGAAATAAGTAAATAAGGTAAACTCATAGAGTTAAAGTTTGAAAATGAAAAAGATTTAAGTAGAGATGTATTTAAATCAGACACTGCAAAATTGAGAATTCCTGAAATTGATTTAGAACTTGGAACAGGAACATTAGGTGGAGTATATTCAAATGTTGAAGGATTATTAGAATAAATTCTTACTCGTTTAAGAGATAATGTAAATATATAACATTTATTTTTAGAATCCATTTGTTGGTGATAGTGCTGATGATGATTATAAAAAAAAGATGGAATCAATATTTCAATAATTGGAAGAATTTAAATCAGGAAAAAAATAATTTACATTATAAATAAGAGATTTAGTTGAAAACAGTTTCATTTAAAATCCTTTTTATCCAAATGAGGATAATTAAGTAAAAATTACTCTGTTTGACAGAAATGATGAAGACAATGATGAATTAGGTATAGATACTATGAAAACTGAAAATTATCAGAATTGATCATAAATTTATATTTTATATTTTATTTTAATAAATGTTAACATTTAAATGTCAAACTAATTAATCCTGATGAATAATTATTCTTTTTTTATCTAGAAATTTGTCAATTTAATTTCTCCTTAATAAATACACTCTATTTAGAAATAAGATTATGAATTAGGAAAATTAAAATGAAACTCAAATAAAAATAATATATAGGCAAAAATAAACTTGAAAAATTTAAATCATATATCATTTGTTTAAGAATAATTTGACAATTATGAAGTAGAATTCTTTAATTTATGTAATTAATGTGAGGGTGAAGGATTAAATAGAATGTGCAAAATCGATATTCATTTTTCCAGGGATCTAATTATTATGTCTTATATGTGATGGATTTAAGTGAAAAGATAATGAAATTAAAGGTGCTAATGTTATTACTCCTTAAGGTAAAATTTTTAGATTAAATATCAACATTTGATATGATTTAAAGGGATATGTATTTAAATCTGAATTAGCTAGTATATAAATACCAGAAATTGAATTAGAAATGTGTAATGGTATTTTAGGATCTGTATTTACTAAAATTTAAGGTTTAACTTAAAAAATCTTAGTCCATTTAAGAGAAAAAAACCTTATATAAAGGTGATCCATATCGTAATCATAAGCTATAAAAGGTTTTTGATTAATTAGAAGCTTTTCATGAACGAACTTAAGATTTTGCAATAGTTATTAAAGATTTAATCTATACAACAATTATATTATAATTTTATTACAATATTTATTATTAAAATAAAAATTCTACTTAATAATAATTTTGAAATCTTGCTATAACAGCTTTGATTCTAATGTAGGAAATCCTAATACTGATTTTAATTTATAAATTATTACTTTCGATAAAACAGAGGAGGATGATAATGTACTTAGAATACTGAAATTTACTTTTGATCTAATAAATTATATTTATTTTCTCCTGTAAATACTTTAGAAGTACTTATTCCAATCAAAAAAAACTTCTAATTATTAAGTAAAGAGTTCATAAAAACAAAAAAATTTATACTATTAATGTTATTTAAGCAGATGATATATGAAACTCATTTTATAGTGTTGAACTACTCATCACATTTATATCATATTCAACAACACTAAATCCTATCTGTTCATTTAATATGGATTTGCTTTAAGCTTTGATAGATATTATATTAGTATACAAAATTACATCGATTCTATCCAAAATACTTCTATCCCAATANTTTGTCAATTTAATTTCTCCTTAATAAATACACTCTATTTAGAAATAAGATTATGAATTAGGAAAATTAAAATGAAACTCAAATAAAAATAATATATAGGCAAAAATAAACTTGAAAAATTTAAATCATATATCATTTGTTTAAGAATAATTTGACAATTATGAAGTAGAATTCTTTAATTTATGTAATTAATGTGAGGGTGAAGGATTAAATAGAATGTGCAAAATCGATATTCATTTTTCCAGGGATCTAATTATTATGTCTTATATGTGATGGATTTAAGTGAAAAGATAATGAAATTAAAGGTGCTAATGTTATTACTCCTTAAGGTAAAATTTTTAGATTAAATATCAACATTTGATATGATTTAAAGGGATATGTATTTAAATCTGAATTAGCTAGTATATAAATACCAGAAATTGAATTAGAAATGTGTAATGGTATTTTAGGATCTGTATTTACTAAAATTTAAGGTTTAACTTAAAAAATCTTAGTCCATTTAAGAGAAAAAAACCTTATATAAAGGTGATCCATATCGTAATCATAAGCTATAAAAGGTTTTTGATTAATTAGAAGCTTTTCATGAACGAACTTAAGATTTTGCAATAGTTATTAAAGATTTAATCTATACAACAATTATATTATAATTTTATTACAATATTTATTATTAAAATAAAAATTCTACTTAATAATAATTTTGAAATCTTGCTATAACAGCTTTGATTCTAATGTAGGAAATCCTAATACTGATTTTAATTTATAAATTATTACTTTCGATAAAACAGAGGAGGATGATAATGTACTTAGAATACTGAAATTTACTTTTGATCTAATAAATTATATTTATTTTCTCCTGTAAATACTTTAGAAGTACTTATTCCAATCAAAAAAAACTTCTAATTATTAAGTAAAGAGTTCATAAAAACAAAAAAATTTATACTATTAATGTTATTTAAGCAGATGATATATGAAACTCATTTTATAGTGTTGAACTACTCATCACATTTATATCATATTCAACAACACTAAATCCTATCTGTTCATTTAATATGGATTTGCTTTAAGCTTTGATAGATATTATATTAGTATACAAAATTACATCGATTCTATCCAAAATACTTCTATCCCAATATATAGGAGGCAAAGAACTTGAAAAGAAATTTCTTGAAATGTTTGAAATTATAGGCAAAATTAATTTTGATTATATCTAAGAATTTTTACACCTACTAATTAATAATATTTCTTATGATTCTAAAATAAAAATAATAGACTTTTACTATTGTAAACAAGGATAACTAAATTATAATTTATTTATTTTTAAATAACACTAAATAAATAATATTTATCAATTATTAGGATGGACTGTTTGATTATTTGAATTTTTAGCCAGCCAACCAATAGCCTGAAGAATTTTCTGTGCAATTTTTAAAAATCCATAGCATCCTAAGAAAAATGCATAATATAAACTAAAGAAACCAATGCATAACCCGTACATTGAACATAAAAGATGTTTGCTTGGAAAACATTTAATATAATCATTCCTACCTTGTTCACTATTAAGATCAGGTTTTTGAACGTTTGGCATTAAATAATATCCAATAAAACACATAAAAATAGCTTCCCCAATTGCACAAAGATATGTTGTCCATATATAAAAAGGAAAAGTTTATAAATGAGGTTTTTTATTTAACTCTATTTACATTAGAATTGCCATTCCCATAGCTAATCCTGCCCCAATCATCATTGTACAATAAAGTGTAATTTCTCCACCTGATTAATTAACTTATTCATCACCTTATATTCTTCTTTCTAAAATAAGATTTGAATCAATCCCTCTTTATCTTTCTAAAAATTTTAAATATTAATCAAAATTCAGTGCAATATCAGCAAATAATGAAGTTATTGAAATATTGTAAAAAAATGATTAGTTGTCATTTGCGTAAACTGAAATACTAAAATAAATAAAAAGAATTGTTGATTAGAGAAAATCTACTATTTTATACCATTTTCGTCTATTATATACTTCATTCACCCCAAAAATAATATAATTCTTCTCTATAATCAGTATGTAAAGATGGAAAATTACCCATGTAATCAATGTTGTGGCAAAATGCCCTCCTAAATATTTATCATCTCCACTTTCAAAAAACCATAAACCAAAGAAAATAAATTTGATCACTAATGAAACACTCATTCTAACATCCATTCTTGTTCTTTAAAACAAAAACCCGCAACTCTTTAGTCCCAATTCAATAATATCTACTGTAGTCATGTAATAAGAAATTTTCTAAATAAAAATAATTACGAAATTTCTTATGTTCACATTTCAATCAATTTTTAAAAAAAATTCTACTTTTCTTCTAAAATTTTATTTTGGAAAAGAAAACAAAAATTGTAAATTTCAATATTTATTCCTTAACACCACCATCTTTTTTTAAGCTTTAATCAATTATCTTTAAGAAGTTTTATAAAATTTAAATATTTCTAATAAAAATTTGGTTGTTCCCATAAAATAGAATTATAAAAAAGATCAGGTTTATCATAATTAAAAAAAAAACATTTGAATAGAATAATTTAGTTAAATTTGAAATTTTTTATTAAATGGCAATAATTTTAAATATTCTATACAATAATTTATATTATAATATTCAAAAAGAAGAATGGAAAGATGAAAATGAAATCTCTCACTTAAATTGGAATAAGAAAAAGTCTATTAAATTAAATATTTATATAGTATTTCTATCCTATCCATTTTATTAAATTATATAATAATCCTGATAAAAAACACAATAATATGGATGAGATACTGAAAAAAAATGAAATTAGCATAATCTTAAGTTATTTATAAATTAATTATAATATTAAGCTTTTGTAGAATCTTCTTATAGCATCTTATTAATATATAATCCTACAAATAAAAATAATTCTACCTCAGAATATGTCGAATCTAAAATCTTATTATATTTTGGTATAGTTATACATGAATACTATATATAAATCAACCTCTATCGATGGATAAAATTATCCATTTTATCAGAACAATTCTATTTTAATTTCTCATTTATTGGAAAACATACCTTTATATTAGATAGACCAACATAATAACTCAAAAACATTAGTATAATTAAAGTAGATTATTAAAAGTTTAATTAAATGGTTACTTTCTTATATAAAGTAATCAGTCTTTTAAAAGTACTTACATATTTAAGATTATTTTGATTATATAAATATTCTGCTTACATTTTAGTTCTACTTTACTTTAAAATAGAGTTAATTGGATCGATAAACCTATAAAGATTTGTAAACAAATCATAAATTAAACATATGATATGGATGATTCTAAAATTCTATGATTTCATATGATGTATCTTTGTTCCATTTATAAAGAGGAAAAAAATAGATATTGAAATATCAGATTAGTAATTTTTATTGATCTCAAACATTTTTTATAACAATCTTTATACCTTTATAATAACCTTTTCTTTATAGATAACATAAATAATGTATTAATAAAACTATTTTATTTATTTACATATTAATTAGCATTCTAAAAATTGACAATTCATGACTTAAAGATTTATATTATTATTGTGCTACTTCAAAAGGATGATTTATAATAATACTAAAAATTACTCCAAAAAAAACGAGCTATAAAATGATAACATTCTAATGTTTTTTTGTAATTCTTAACTCATTTTATTTAATAATATTTAAATTCAAAATACATGAGTATAAATGATAGTTTCTTTGACAACATTCTAGTCGTCATGAACTAGAATGTTAACACCTATAACAAGCCTTAAACAATATGTAAATCCTTGGAACGCACTTTTGCTGTTTGTAATAATCCAACTAAGTATGTAAGCTATTGATGTTATAAAATTTCAGAAGAACTACCCAATATAACCATACCCTATATTAAGATGATAATAAATTTTAAAAGCATTAAACAAATTAATTAGATTATTATTTAAAACAACAAAATAAAACAGAAACACAAAAAAATCAGTCAAAGAGTTATCGCAGCATCAAATAGTAAGAATTAAATAATCAAACATCGATTCCTCAAAGTATATTCATCAATTAATTATTTCAGAAACATATCTCAAACAATAAATGAGATTAAAAATCAATTTAGAGAATGATGCCTTTCAATCTAATTTGAGACATAAGACCCAGTCTATTTACAATACTACCAATCCTTTTTAGGGATCTATTACAAATCTAATGAAATAATAAGTAATTTATCTCTTTAATTCTATAGATGTAAAAATAATAACAAAGTTTTTTAAACATACATAAAACTATGAACGATGATTCTAAAATGAAAATATCTTCTACACATAGATAATCATTAATTCCATCCAAACTAACTCAAAGATAAGATTCTTAAAATATTAGAAAAAGCAATTCGGTCTATATGTAAGAGTTTAGGAAGGTTTTTCACAATACCAAATATAGTATACATAATTATGTTTGAATTATTAAATTATGTCTCTTTTAATTCATGAAAAATTCAAAAAATTTCACAGCAACTCTTTTTATTCATATCTTTAGATTATTTATAGAACATTTTTGCTCCAGCTGATAAATCATTACTCTTTGCAACTAACTAATCTAAATCACCTTATCTCTCCAACAGTTTTTTTATGTTCTCATGTAAAACTATATTAGTTTCATCAACTTTAGTTTATGCAAGTAACACTTTATCAACATTCTTTGGATCTTAATACTCTAAGAATAACTTTGCTATAACATTATATATTATTACTTATTTAATTTCTGGAACTTCTATACTTTCATCTTCCTTAAACTTTTTCCAATCATCTCCTACTTTTTTCTAAAAGGCTTATAAAACTGCATTTAAAAAAGCAAATGCTATTCTTTTTGGATAATCTTAATCGCAAAATGCATATGCTCCTAATTTATCACTTCCATAACCCATTTATATGTGACAATATTTATCTTCATGCAATACTGAATGTCTTTGAATTAATTATATTCTTTACCTAGTTCCTTTATCCAATCCTATCACTGATTCTCTACAAACAAATTTCATAGAATCCTTAACAGTATTTCTATAGAATATTCCAACTGAATTTAGTTCATAATAACGTGTAAGCATAATAACTTTCTTTTCAACTGGATTATATGCAGCAATTAACACAGCAATTAATTACATTTTATTTTTAATATATATATGTGAATCAAGTAATTTAAATAATATTTCATTAAATTTAGGCAACTAAAGAAAATTTGAAAGTAAATTCATTATGAGCTTCTATTATATTGAAGTGATTATAAACTCCAAACTCTGAAAGAATTAATTATGTTATACTAATATTTAGTAGCAAATTTATAGGTATCTAAAATTATTAAGTTAAATAACTCATCCTTTCTAAGAGTGATTGATGTCTAGTATTTTTATGAAAAAATCCTTTAGGGGACTTAACCCAGTTTGTCTGTAAGATTTCTAAAATCTTTTATTAAATTGCTTTATCTCTCTCCGTTATTTTGATTGAAAAGAAAATCTCTTTATTTTGATTTTCTATTAGTATTTATTTAATTCTCATATCTTTAAAAATGTTTTAAATTATGTAAAAGCATGATATTAATAATTACTAAATTATTGAAATGTCATGAATAAAGGACTTTGTAAGTTATATTTTTTAAGAATCAATTCCAATTAAGGGATCAAGAACTGTTTATAGTGATATTTGGGTTATATCTTATAATTTTAGGCGATTTGATTTATGTTAGAAAATGATTTAAATATTCTGTATGAAATTATGATTAAAATAGAATTTTTAATCTGGGAATTTCTATTTAATGGATATTTGATTAAATTTATTTAATATTTTGATTAAAAAACGTGACTACTCATTAGCCGTTTCTGTAATATTTTAAAGAATACTCCATAAAACTTAAGTTTAATTATAAAAATATTTTTTCTTAGGATCTATAATGATTAAGCATTATAGTTTATTATTAAAAACACATCTGAGTATTTTGACATTATATAATTTCTAAGTTTGTTAATGTTGAACAGTATATTTATAAGTTTTAAAAGTATCGGTAAATTCTTGTGTATGGATTAAAAATCTCCTCAAAGTGGTTTCTAAATTAACATATACTAAATTTGAGACACTATCTTCTGGATCACTACTGGAAGATACAATTAACTTAAAAAAATGGAAAATTCATTTACCTATCTCAGTAACTATCGTAAATTCTCGCTGTCTTTTAATCGAAATAATATTGATGAAAATTTATTTTCTTTTTCAAGTTATAATTAATCTTATTTTTTATCATGAGACACAAGCAAAATGGAACTTGAAAGTACTTTAGATAATAATTATTCCCATCTTTCTTGTTGACAACTTTATACATATTACTCCTTTTTAGTTTTTTCATAATTGTATTTTATTGCTATCATACTCATAGCCAAAAAAACAAATAAAAATATATTTATGATTCCATCTTTAATGTCTATATTATCTTAATATAAGTGAATTCCAATAATAATCGTAAGTAAAAAGGTTTAATAAATAAAGTTAGCACTTAAAAGATAAACACTAAAATGTAAGTATCCACACTAAAATCCATAATACCAAGATTGATCTAAAGTTGGATTGGATGTACCTTCAAACAATTATGGTATTTTAAAAGCACAAAGTAAAAAGGATTGATAAATTGTTACAATTAAATTGATTAAGTGAGGCTTTTTTTTTAATACTTTCCATAAAATCAATAAAATAATAATAGATAATCCACTAAGTATTGAATAAGGAATAGAATCTCGCAAGATAAATTTCGTTGTGTTTAGAATGGAAAAAGACTAGTATAGTATGGAATAATTACAACTGAATAGATGGTGAAGTAAGTTACTTCTCTCAGTTTAGTTGATTTGGAATAGTTTTCATATTGTTCTGCTTAATCCTTGAATAGAAATTCAAGTGTGTACTTATTGAGCATTATTAATTATCAATATTATAATCACTCTTATTGATAATCTTAATCAATAGATCGCTTTATTAAATCTTTCATTTAAATGTACTTTTTTAATTTTAATGGAAATCCAGCTTAGACTGATAAAAATGTAATAATGATGTTATATTAATAATTCATTAATACTTCACAATTTTGTATTCTTGGTGACATCATGGAATGCTTCAGCAACATACTTAACATTTCCTTCATTCAATCCAGCAATAGATATTCTTCCACTACTTAATAAATAAATGTGATATTTAGCAATCAATTCCTTAACATGATCTGGACCAACACCCTATATAAATATATGAATATAAATAATACAGTAAAAGCAAACATACCAATTTACTTAGATATGTGAGACCAATCATGTGGAGAGCCTAGATTTTTTAAAGTATTTGCTAAACTTACTCTCATATATTAAATTCTATCTGCCATCATTTTAACTTCCGATAACCATAATTAATTAAGTTCTGGTGTATTAAGTATGATATCAGCCACTCTAGCACCATGTAGTGGTGGACTTGACCATAATGGTCTGGCTAATAATTTCAATTATGAAACAACTTTATCTTTTTCTGATTAATTAGCACATACAAAACTAAGACATCCTGTTCTTTATCCATATAATCCCATATTTTTAGCAAAGGATTATCCTAAAACAATAGGAACTCCTTAATTTGTAAATAATCTAACTGCTTCTGCATCTTTATTTACATCTCCACTTGTAAAACCTTGATAAGCCATATCAAAGAATGGAAGGAAATTCTTTTATTTAGATAAATCTAATAATTTTGTCCATTAAGCTGTGGTTAAATCACAACCAGTTGGATTATGAGCACAAGCATGGAATAAAATAACTGATCCATTTTATGCTTTGCTTAAATCTTCTACTAATCCAGAGAAATCAACTCCACGTGTTTTTGGATCAAAATAACGATATTCTAAAATTTCTAATCCTGCCATTCTAGCAATATTATGATGATTTGGCCATGTTGGATTTGGCATATATACTTTAGTTCCTTATGGTAAGAATTTTTTAGCAAATTCAAATCCTAGTCTTACTGCACCTGTTCCACTCAAAACTTAGCATCCTGCAATACTTTTCCCATTTTAAGCATAATAAGCGTCTCCATATCCTAATTTTATTGAAGCATCAATAAAGGATTGAAGTCCTTCAACTGGAAGATATTCATTATCTAATTTCTTCTCTTTTATTATTTATTCAGCCTATCATATATATAATTTATTACTCTCTTCACTGATTCAAGTACTACTGGTTTTCCCTCATTATCACGATAAGCTCCAATACTTAGATTTACTTTTTATGTGCTTGGATCAGCTTTGAATTGAGCAGCCACTCCCAAAATTGGATCAGCTGGTCCCATTGGCACTTAAGACCATACAGAAAAGTATCTCAATGTTCGTAAACACTACATGTAGAATATCTTTCAATATATTTATTAATTCTTATAAAAAGTGTGTCATATATATATATAATACGGATCTTTTTATTTTAATCACATTATATAAATTAATAATATAATATGCAAACTATTGTATAAATTTTAAAAACTAAATGGAATTCCAATTATTTATTATCTCTTATTCACATATAGTTTAAAAAGGATTTTTTGAATTCAGAAATTAGGATATAATTAATTCTAAAAAACCAATACAAACTCAAATCATCATTGCTTAACTCTCCATGTATCAAATGATTGGCTTCCTTTCTTAATTTATGCATCTAAATGGTAAAACAATCCAGGAAAAGCAGAATAAGCTTAGGCTTTGGCATATAATTTTTCTGCCTCATCTACTGATGATGCTTGATCTTCTAACATTGAGCCGATGAATTTGTGTGTCAATACCTCTTCGTTTTATTATGCTTATTTTCCTATCTAATCCAGGAGAGAATAATTCAAATGTTCTCTTGCTAAATATGCTTCAAAATAATCTCCTGGTTTTTCATATTAGATCTTCAAATTTTGAAAAGCTGCTAATTATGGATCAATTGTCACTTGAACCCCTCTCACATTCAAGTAGTCAAATATTTAAACACTATGTTTTCTCTCCTCTTCACTTTCGGCTTTGAAAAACTTTCCTATTCCTTCGTAATTGTTATTATCAAACCAATAAGCATATTACAAGTATAAGAAACTTGATTACAACTCCAAATGGGCTTGTTTTGATAATAAGTTAATTATCTCCTTATTTGTCAATTCAGCCAATTTCTTCATCCTTTATTAATTAATTATTTATGATTTGATTTTAATTAAAATCGAATAAAAATAATAAAATTTTATATTTCAAATAGGAATTAACCAACATCCTGGTCCTAATAACTCGTTAAAATTAGATACTATATCTTTATCATAGTATTCTCGTTATTTTACAAAGTATTCAAGTGTAGTTTAATTATTGCTTAATAATCTTTTATAAAAATCTATCTTTACTTTGTATGAAATGCTAACAATAAAAATAGAATTATCATCAATATGAAACTTAAAGTAGCTGAAAAAATTATAAAATAAGTATCAATAGAACCTGTTGGAGGATTTTTTAAAATTTTATTGAAATATATGCCAAAGTAAACAATTGTAGTAAGGGCTCTAAATATTCATTTTAAATTACTAGCATAAAAAACTAAGCAAAAAAAATATTTATAATTGTTTTGCCCTATACAATTATTCACCCAAGGTTAATGATGATCCATTCTCAATATACATTTATTGCATTAACTGCAATGATGACATCTCATTGGTTTAATATGCTAACAAAATTTACAAGTTTTCCTATAATTAACTAAAGGGTCATTTTCAATATCTGCTTATGTTGGTGATCCTGGTTTAGTCGTAGACGTTTTGTAAAATGAGTAAATAACAACTAACAATAGTAAATGATGTAAAATCAACAATAGAATTTCTTTTGCCTCTGGCTCTTAGAAAATCTATTTTAAAAACTCTAATTTACATATATCATCATTATTTCCAAATATACGATAATCACTATCTAAATAGATAATCGGATTTTATTCATATTTAATTAAAATTCATAACAATTATGATGAAAATAAATAAAAACTCCTCTTTTTTTTAATAATCAATGACTATAATAGACTCTGAAAAACAGATGAACAGAGAAGCTTACTATAATCTTTGAATATCTAAAAATTATTTCTAAAACTCAAATTACAAGTTTATTTCTTTATTATTACCTCCAATAGAATTAATAGAATTTACAATTGAAAAATTCTGTAATTTAATGAGATTTTATTATGTTGTATAATTTTTTCAGCATTAAAAAACAAGTGAAAATAAATAAATTGATGTTCTTTTAATGGTTTTCTTTGTTGAAAATTTAATTTTCTTTTTAGTTTTTATAATAAATTTAAGAATTTTAATAAAAGTAAAATATTTTATAATGACTAATTTGATAAAAGTCTAGATAGCAATGAAGTATCTAAATTTAGAAAGAATTTTAAATGTTTTAATTTAGGAATTTTCAAGAATATATATAATATTATTGAACCACAATGATTAATAAAACTCTAAATAAATTTTTATTAATATTTTGATAGAATTGTAATTGCAAAAATGGTAGTAGAGTTTTCTTAAAGAATAGATAAAATTTCTTATCACTATAAAAAATTAAAAAATATGCATTTAAAACAAGGTGTTTCGACTGTAAAAAATCATGAAAAGAAGTATAATAAAGGCTTTTTGGCCTATAATTTTTCTGTAACATCACCATTGATTTTCTAGCATTAAATTAATAGATTTGTGTGTTGATAACTCTTCATTTTTGTCTGCACACTATCTATTCATGATTTTAATTAAAATGGAATAAAAATAATAAATTTTATATTTCAAATAGGAATTAACCAACATCCTGGTCCCAAAAAATCATGAAAATTAGATACTACATCTTTATCATAGTATTCTCGTTATTTTTCAAAGTATTCAAGTGTAGTTTAATTATGGCTTATTAATCTTTTATAAAAATCTATCTTTACTTTGTATGAAATGCTAAGAATAAAAATAGAATTATCATCAATATGAAACTTAAAGTAGCTGAAAAAATTATAAAATAAGTATCAATAGAACCTGTTGGAGGATTTTTTAAAATTTTATTGAAATATATGCCAAAGTAAACAATTGTAGTAAGGGCTCTAAATATTCATTTTAAATTACTAGCATAAAAAACCAAACAAAAAAAATATTTATAATTGTTCTGCCCTATACAATTATTTACCCAAGGACAATGATGATCCATTCTCAATATACATTTATTGCATTATCTGCAATGATGACATCTCATTGGTTTAGTATGCTTACAAAATTTACAAGTTTTCCTTTAAGTAAGTAAAGGGTTATTTTCGGTATCAGTTTATGTTGGTGTTCCTGGTTTAGTCGTAGACGTTTTGTAAAATGAGTATATAACAACTAACAATAGTAAATGATGTAAAATCAACAATAGAATTTCTTTTTCATCTGGATTTATGAAAATCTATTTTAAGAACTCTAGTTTACGTATATCATCATTATTTCCAAGTATGCGATGATCGCTATCACAATAGAAAATGGGACCAACACCCATATTTAATTAAAATTCATAACAATTATGATGAAAATAAATAAAAACTCCTCTTTTTTTTAATAATCAATGACTATAATAGACTCTGAAAAACAGATGAACAGAGAAGCTTACTATAATCTTTGAATATCTAAAAATTATTTCTAAAACTCAAATTACAAGTTTATTTCTTTATTATTACCTCCAATAGAATTAATAGAATTTACAATTGAAAAATTCTGTAATTTAATGAGATTTTATTATGTTGTATAATTTTTTCAGCATTAAAAAACAAGTGAAAATAAATAAATTGATGTTCTTTTAATGGTTTTCTTTGTTGAAAATTTAATTTTCTTTTTAGTTTTTATAATAAATTTAAGAATTTTAATAAAAGTAAAATATTTTATAATGACTAATTTGATAAAAGTCTAGATAGCAATGAAGTATCTAAATTTAGAAAGAATTTTAAATGTTTTAATTTAGGAATTTTCAAGAATATATATAATATTATTGAACCACAATGATTAATAAAACTCTAAATAAATTTTTATTAATATTTTGATAGAATTGTAATTGCAAAAATGGTAGTAGAGTTTTCTTAAAGAATAGATAAAATTTCTTATCACTATAAAAAATTAAAAAATATGCATTTAAAACAAGGTGTTTCGACTGTAAAAAATCATGAAAAGAAGTATAATAAAGGCTTTTTGGCCTATAATTTTTCTGTAACATCACCATTGATTTTCTAGCATTAAATTAATAGATTTGTGTGTTGATAACTCTTCATTTTTGTCTGCACACTATCTATTCATGATTTTAATTAAAATGGAATAAAAATAATAAATTTTATATTTCAAATAGGAATTAACCAACATCCTGGTCCCAAAAAATCATGAAAATTAGATACTACATCTTTATCATAGTATTCTCGTTATTTTTCAAAGTATTCAAGTGTAGTTTAATTATGGCTTATTAATCTTTTATAAAAATCTATCTTTACTTTGTATGAAATGCTAAGAATAAAAATAGGATTATCATCAATATGAAACTTAAAGTAGCTGAAAAAATTATAAAATAAGTATCAATAGAACCTGTTGGAGGATTTTTTAAAATTTTATTGAAATATATGCCAAAGTAAACAATTGTAGTAAGGGCTCTAAATATTCATTTTAAATTACTAGCATAAAAAACCAAACAAAAAAAATATTTATAATTGTTCTGCCCTATACAATTATTTACCCAAGGACAATGATGATCCATTCTCAATATACATTTATTGCATTATCTGCAATGATGACATCTCATTGGTTTAGTATGCTTACAAAATTTACAAGTTTTCCTTTAAGTAAGTAAAGGGTTATTTTCGGTATCAGTTTATGTTGGTGTTCCTGGTTTAGTCGTAGACGTTTTGTAAAATGAGTATATAACAACTAACAATAGTAAATGATGTAAAATCAACAATAGAATTTCTTTTTCATCTGGATTTATGAAAATCTATTTTAAGAACTCTAGTTTACGTATATCATCATTATTTCCAAGTATGCGATGATCGCTATCACAATAGAAAATGGGACCAACACCCATATTTAATTAAAATTCATAACAATTATGATGAAAATAAATAAAAACTCCTCTTTTTTTTAATAATCAATGACTATAATAGACTCTGAAAAACAGATGAACAGAGAAGCTTACTATAATCTTTGAATATCTAAAAATTATTTCTAAAACTCAAATTACAAGTTTATTTCTTTATTATTACCTCCAATAGAATTAATAGAATTTACAATTGAAAAATTCTGTAATTTAATGAGATTTTATTATGTTGTATAATTTTTTCAGCATTAAAAAACAAGTGAAAATAAATAAATTGATGTTCTTTTAATGGTTTTCTTTGTTGAAAATTTAATTTTCTTTTTAGTTTTTATAATAAATTTAAGAATTTTAATAAAAGTAAAATATTTTATAATGACTAATTTGATAAAAGTCTAGATAGCAATGAAGTATCTAAATTTAGAAAGAATTTTAAATGTTTTAATTTAGGAATTTTCAAGAATATATATAATATTATTGAACCACAATGATTAATAAAACTCTAAATAAATTTTTATTAATATTTTGATAGAATTGTAATTGCAAAAATGGTAGTAGAGTTTTCTTAAAGAATAGATAAAATTTCTTATCACTATAAAAAATTAAAAAATATGCATTTAAAACAAGGTGTTTCGACTGTAAAAAATCATGAAAAGAAGTATAATAAAGGCTTTTTGGCCTATAATTTTTCTGTAACATCACCATTGATTTTCTAGCATTAAATTAATAGATTTGTGTGTTGATAACTCTTCATTTTTGTCTGCACACTATCTATTCATGATTTTAATTAAAATGGAATAAAAATAATAAATTTTATATTTCAAATAGGAATTAACCAACATCCTGGTCCCAAAAAATCATGAAAATTAGATACTACATCTTTATCATAGTATTCTCGTTATTTTTCAAAGTATTCAAGTGTAGTTTAATTATGGCTTATTAATCTTTTATAAAAATCTATCTTTACTTTGTATGAAATGCTAAGAATAAAAATAGAATTATCATCAATATGAAACTTAAAGTAGCTGAAAAAATTATAAAATAAGTATCAATAGAACCTGTTGGAGGATTTTTTAAAATTTTATTGAAATATATGCCAAAGTAAACAATTGTAGTAAGGGCTCTAAATATTCATTTTAAATTACTAGCATAAAAAACCAAACAAAAAAAATATTTATAATTGTTCTGCCCTATACAATTATTTACCCAAGGACAATGATGATCCATTCTCAATATACATTTATTGCATTATCTGCAATGATGACATCTCATTGGTTTAGTATGCTTACAAAATTTACAAGTTTTCCTTTAAGTAAGTAAAGGGTTATTTTCGGTATCAGTTTATGTTGGTGTTCCTGGTTTAGTCGTAGACGTTTTGTAAAATGAGTATATAACAACTAACAATAGTAAATGATGTAAAATCAACAATAGAATTTCTTTTTCATCTGGATTTATGAAAATCTATTTTAAGAACTCTAGTTTACGTATATCATCATTATTTCCAAGTATGCGATGATCGCTATCACAATAGAAAATGGGACCAACACCCATATTTAATTAAAATTCATAACAATTATGATGAAAATAAATAAAAACTCCTCTTTTTTTTAATAATCAATGACTATAATAGACTCTGAAAAACAGATGAACAGAGAAGCTTACTATAATCTTTGAATATCTAAAAATTATTTCTAAAACTCAAATTACAAGTTTATTTCTTTATTATTACCTCCAATAGAATTAATAGAATTTACAATTGAAAAATTCTGTAATTTAATGAGATTTTATTATGTTGTATAATTTTTTCAGCATTAAAAAACAAGTGAAAATAAATAAATTGATGTTCTTTTAATGGTTTTCTTTGTTGAAAATTTAATTTTCTTTTTAGTTTTTATAATAAATTTAAGAATTTTAATAAAAGTAAAATATTTTATAATGACTAATTTGATAAAAGTCTAGATAGCAATGAAGTATCTAAATTTAGAAAGAATTTTAAATGTTTTAATTTAGGAATTTTCAAGAATATATATAATATTATTGAACCACAATGATTAATAAAACTCTAAATAAATTTTTATTAATATTTTGATATCTTTATTAAAAATATATTCAATGATTTAACAATTTTTCAATTTCTTACTTCATTTATTTTGGTTTGACATCTGGATTATAAAAACTAATAACTTGGCCCTCTGAATTAAGTAAGAATTTTCCAAAATTCCATGGTACTTCCTTTGCTTCATTAGCACTTACTTTAAGGGAACTGTTTAATCTCAAATATTTATAAACCTCATGAGTGTTTTAACCATTAACTTCAATTTTTCTACAATATATTTGAGCAATTACTAAAACAATGGAAATGAAACTCCATACTTGGAGATAACAAATTATTTAATTTCAGGTTCAGGTTTTGATTCCTAGCCCATAAATTGATTACATGGGAATCCTAAAATTTCCAGGCCTTGAGCACTTAAATTTTATTATCTGTTACCTATATGTTTTATAAAGCTCAACAAGTTCACTATAATTTGAAGATGTTAATCCACAAGAACAGGCAACATTTACACAAATGTATGCTTTTTTACCTTTGAATTGAGATAGCTTAGTTCTTTATCCATCTATATTATTAAGTTCAAATTCAAAGAATGATTTTGTTGTTGGTTAAAGTTTATCTACTCCTTTTTTAAAAAATAATGCTCCCATTAAAAAAATTCTGATTTCTTAAAATTAAAATAATAAATTTTAGAAAATTTTTCTCTCGCTTATATAGTTTTTATTTATGATTTAAAATTATTGTCGTGACAAATCCACTTAAATAAATTGTTGAAAAAAATTTTACAACATAATATACTAATAAGGTTAAATTATTTATAATTATTTTATCTAAATGATTTGAAAAATTCCAATTTCATTTGTCCAAAAATAATAATATCTTCGCCATTATTCTAATTATTCTAATTCTTATGGATTGATGTAGGAAGAAATCTAATTTAATTTATGATGAAACTACTCTCAATATACACAACAGATACTTTTTACCAAAATAATAGATTTATTAGATATTGATAGTTATGACAAGAAAATCAAAATATGATTTTTCTTTTTTTTTCTTTTAATATAAATTATATGATAATTATAAAACAATAGATAGCCCAAAAAAAAGATATAGAATGAGGAGATAATGCTTGAGGCAAATACATTTATTGAGTTACATATTAATATAAGTAGATATTTTAAGCACCATAGACAATAGACAATGTTGAGATAAAGAACTTTAGGAATTGAACACAATAATATATGTTTTTATTCATTAATTCTAGTTAAGAATCTAAGTAGATAGAAAAATACTTATTTAAATTAACCTATTGGTCAAAGAGAACAACGAAATAAGTTGTAAATATACCATAAATGAGATATAGATAATTTTGACTAGTTTCTTATTTGCAATTTTACTAAATTTTCAAGAATTACAATAAAATTACATCATTGGTTAAAATATTATTCTAAAAAATGAGCTTTAATACTAATTCAAAGAAATTTTCATAATTTAAATAAGTTAAAGACTCAGAGAGTTTTCTTATTGGTTCGTTTAAAAAAATTGAATTAAAAAATCCATGAAGTATATCAAAAGATTTTGACTATTTTATAGAATTTTTTATTACTAGATTAACATTTAATTATAATACCCTTAAGTAATCGTAGGAAATTGCATAAAAATTGACATAGCAAAATCACCATAAATGATGGCATTTCAACAAAAACTGTCATTTCTTTAAGAAGATTTGCAAAAGGATTTAATCAATTAATATGATAATGAGATTTAGATTATGATTATGCAGATTATACTAATGATTTTGTTAATGATTTAGATTGAAACAATAGCAATGTTTTTCTAAGTTTTATTGATAGTGATTAGAATATGTTTTGGTTCATTGATATCCATATTTAATATAAGAGAGTGTATAAACATTTAATAAATTAAATTTTATGGATCTTTGTGTTTTTGGGGTTGATGATGGTTATGCAGAAGCAATAATAAGAGGATTGAGAGCAAGTTTCTTGACTGAAGCTTAATATTAATAGATGAAGAATTGTGCTTCAATTCCAGAATTAAAATCTTTCTTAGAAGAAACAGATTATTAAGTAAATGTGGCAATAATTAATATAGAATTGCTTATAAGCAGACAATCCTCAAATTCCTACATCAATATTGAGACAAAGGCTCAAAAAGAAATTGGCTGATGAATTTGAGTATATTGAAGCTTAATCTACAGGAACATTAACAAAATACTTATTCCATTTGAGGTATGATTTTATTGATTGATTATTAAAGATGTCGTTTTATGATTGATAATGTAGTCAATATGATAGAAGGATTGAAGAATAAAATTGATATTGAAATTCTTTTGAGTAACATCGACCCTCTAGGTTGGTTTCCTGAAATAAAAAATATAAAAGTTCTTGAAGGAGATGATTACAGCAGTTTATATAGAGATGTTCTTATAGACACACCTATAGGTGTCTATTTTATGAAATTCTTGGAAGAATCAATAGAGAATTTGCATGAAAACAGAACTCTTAATGACATCTAAAATTTATTCAGAGAAATGAAACCTGAATATATTAGAACATCTCTAAAAAAGATGTGGTTAGAAGATTTCTATTTGTTTTGCGAATAAGAAGTAAAACAATTGATTTATTTAGTTAATGCCAACATCTTAAGAAGCATTATTAGAATTATTAAAATTTGAAGCAGATTTCAAGACTGTTTAGGTGATTTACAATTCAATTGGAAATAGAGATTTAAATACAGCAGCAAAAATAATTACAACCAGAAAACAATTATGTCCAACAATTGGAAATTTATATCCCGACTGTGAAAAATTGTATTTATAAGCCATGACTTTGGATGCTTTAAGAGAAGCAGTTAAAGGTTGTGATAATTATAGGGATTTACTCAAAGACGCACCTGATCCTTTAAAGAGAGAAGAATTTAATGTTTAAACAAAGTAATTACATATATATATCAATATATAGAACACTTGATGATATAATGTATGATGATGAATGTAGAAGATATGCTCTAGCTTTTGATGGTTAAGGTTCATATGGAGTAATTTATAATACAATATATTAGGTTTTCTATTCTTATTTAAAACTTAAAGAATAAGAAATTAGAAACATAATTTGGTTGGCTGAAATGATTTCTAGAAAACTTGCAAAAAATCATCCAGGATGGAAAAAAATAATAATTCCCTTCAGTCATTTAGGAAAATGAACATTTAGTGCATAATAATTATTAGTATATTTGTGTATCAACTATCATCTCATTAAATTTATATTATTTTATGTAAAATTGAGAAAATAGTAGTATAAATTATAAAATAACAATATTGTATGATATACAAACTTATTTTATATCATTCTTCTTTAGGTGCTGCATTTTCTTACATTACTTTTGCAAATGAACATTTTTCAAATGCGTATCCATCTGCTTTGAAGAATTTATTCTGGAATTCAACCCAATGAAGACGCAATGCATGAAGAAAGCACTCCATCACATCCATCATCATCAACACTCCAAAAGTTACTAAAGAGAAGATGGCATATCCTATTAAGAGCTAAAAATTAATAAATAAAGTATACTCTTATTGCTCCAACAAAACCTCCTGTGCTTATACCTCCATTTAAGCACATTTAGAAGAAGACTTCAGCTAATTAACCATGAGCTAAAGATAAAGCCCATAATCTCAAATATGAAGCTGTATTAGAAATAGATCCCAACACAAATTCGATAGTTTCAATTACTTGATGTACAAATATATCACCAAATTCTTCGTGATGTCCACCACCAGAAGATTCAGCTTGGATTTCTGAATTTTGTTATGTGCCTTCAGATTCCTTAAAAACAATATTAAATAAAATTCTACCTCATTAATTTTTTAGTAAAGATCCTTATTCATATTCTCAGATAAATTGCTTGAGCTGTGAGCATGTTTTTTTTTATTTTCACAATTTAGTATAAGTGGTTTTGGTAAAAGAATAATTGGAACACAAATTAATGCAATTAATAACATAGCTGTTTAAACTTAACCTTCTGAAGAATCCTCTTTAGTTCCCCATAATGGTTAATCGACATTTCCTGGACTTAGAATCATATTAATCATTAATGTGATAATACTTGGAGCATCTTAAGTCCTATTATCCCAGTTTTCAGACCATTTATATAGAATCAAAAAGTCCATATAACCAAATGTACAAGTAAAGAATATTATTTGAGGAATGAATTCAAAAATGAAATCTACCCAATTTTTAAAGTATATTGCATTTACTCCTTTTAAGATAATACCAAACATCATATGAATAACACCTATTATAACAGCCAATTTCATCTTATATGAATTCATAAATGTTAATTCATTTGGTACGCATAACCAAACTGGATCTATACCAAATGGATACACACAATCTTCTTTTCTTGCCCATATCGTTTCATCACCTTCATCATCCTGATAATAGCAGGACCCAAATAAATTTATTGGAACTGACATGAAATCATTATAAATCCATCCATTATAAAATGCCCAAACTCCCATCATTAATAACATATGTCTAACAATTAGAGCATGTTTCAATATAGAATCAGACTCTTTGATATCTTTATTGAACACACATAAATATAACCCTAATAATAATAAACAAAATCTAGATATAATTATATAAATTTATACCCATGTCCAATATCTGCAAACATTACACCAAATAAAAATGGAAATGTCATAACTGTAAATAATCCAGGATTTATTTCCTTATATCTTGGCATACCATAAGTATTAACAATTTCCTAAAATCCCCAAGTAACCTAGTTTGTTTCAAAAAAAGTAGGAGGTGGTCTTGTACCTTCTGGTGGTGATATTTATAATTATCCTGTTGGTAAACCTTCATAAGTTGTTTAAACCTCTCTCAACGCCTAATCAACTTTGATATCAGCCCCTTGAGGTAACCAAATTGAACCATAAAGCACACTTCCTTAAACTCTAAGGTAATTTAATTAAGTATAAAGATATTTCTCTTTAATCAAAAATAATTTTAATTCTTCTATTTATGAACAATTAGAATTTTAATAAATTCTTTAAAAATCATCTAGATAAGCTTCTACTTGATTTTTTGTCATTTCCAATAACTATTATGATTACTATTCAAATTTACATTTCTTGTTTCAACTAATTCAGTTTCAATTTATCTTAATTTTTCCTAAAAAATCATGTTGTTTTCAGGGAATGTATATTTGGCAACCTAAAATGATTCACAAATTTTATTGAGTTTGTTAGTGATAATATTAGAACCTCCTCCACCAGGATAGACTACTACAAAGACACTTTTAATAATTTTAGCATCATCCTTATTTAATTATTTTTTAAAATTACATTTTTTGTATCAACAATTTAATCACTTTCGATATCCATAGTGTTCATCCAAGCATTACCTTTAGTAATACGAAAAATGATTCTTTTAAATCTAATCTAATCTTCCTTATTGATGACTCCAACTAAATAATTAAATTTAACAGATCCTTGTAATACTTTGATGTCGTCCAATTCTTTTCCTTACAAATTTACATATCCTTCAGCTACATAGTTAGCTCTACATTATTTATTATAGAAATATGTTACGGTTAGAAAAATGATTATCCTAGCAATGCCTCTCCTTTTAGCAAAACAGATTTATGTTCAATCAGTTTATTTCTGCGTTCATGGAGATTTTCCATATTTGTGCTTTGCTCGATAAGTTATTGATGTTTTTTTTCTAAATCATTTTCAATCTCATCTAAATATGTGTGACTAGCTTTAGACCTTATGTATTTATAGTATAGCATACCTTTCTTTGATTAATTACTTAAAGTTCTTGATTAATAAATTGACATCTTTGCAATGCGTAATCTTCTTTAAGTATTTCTTCATTTCATGCTCAATGAGTGATAATTTAACAAGCAAGTCATCGCAACGCTTTATATAATTAGCAAATGGTCTATTGATCATAGGCAATGTTGGATCATAATCAACAAAATGAATGCAATCTAACTCTGCTAATTCATTCATGACATTCCAAGCACTCTCTCTTGGAATGATCAATTTATAGTAGCCCATTGTTTGGGACCTAAAGAAATTCATTATTAATTATTAATATCTTTATTTTGTATTCCATATATTAATTAGACAAGTAATCAATGATCGCTTCGCATATTCTTAAAACTAAACATACTTTTCTTACATAAACCTCAAGGTATCTATTTTTACGCTTCAAAATAAATACAAAAATACCCAATCATTTATCAAATTAATTTTATAATTAGATGTTTTCACCAACTTAAAAAATTAGAGAAGCTTCTCATGCAGGTAGTTGGTATTTAGGAGACGGTATTTAAAAAAAAATAAACTTAAGGCAAGCAATTAGATGCATAATTAAATGAGTTCTTATTAAAAGCTAAATCAGATACAATACCAAACATAAAAGCCATAATTGGACCGTAAAAATATTATAAAATAATAGCCATGCTGGCTTTTCTTATTCAGGACCAACAGCAGCCTTTGCATATTAACACTTAGTCTAAAAGGAAAAGTAATCGACTTTTTATATTATTCTAGAATGAGAGTATTTTTACTTGGACCTTGCCATCACACTTACATTAAAGGAATCGGATTATCTGAATTAGAAATGTATGAAACACCACTTGGCAACATAGAATTAGATTAACCTAGTATTTACATTTAATAAAACTTAAGCAATTAAGTAAATAAGTTAAGAATTGAAAAAAAATTATGTGTTTACTAATAAAGATATTGAAGAACAAGAACATAGTTTAGAAATGCATTTGCCATTTATTTATAAAATATTTCCAAAATGTAAACTAATTCCAATTATGGTTGGTGCAACTACTGAGGAATAAGATGCTTAATTGGCAAGTGTTTTAGTCAAATATTTTATAGATCCAAACACAATCTTTGTTATATCTTCTGATTTTTGTCATTGGGGAAAAAGGTTTATATAATATATTATGAATATAGATTCTAATATACTCCTTATAATAAAGAGCATGGTGAAATTCATTAATCAATAGCATAGTTAGATGGATAGGCGATAAAATTGATTGAATCACATAACCTTAAAGGATTTTATCAATATTTAGAAGACACAGCAAACACTATTTGCGGTAGACATCCGATAAGTGTTTTGATGAATGTAAATAGATTATTTTTTATTTAAGATAATTAACCAAAGCAAATTATAATTAAAAACTTAATTAGCAAAGTATAACCAATCAAATCAAGTGACATAAAAAAATGATTCCTCAGTGAGTTATGCTGCATTAGTCACTAGTTTAATATGATTTTATTATCACAAAAATTTAATTTAAAATAATTAAATTCACAAACGTTATTATTTTTGTATCGAAAAGAAGAATTAAGTTTTTTAGATTTTCAGAGGTTTTTGCCTCTAATGACTTTAATACTATTTATAATATTATGTTTAAAGTCTTTACTGTATTTGAACTGGTTCTGAAGAAATATTGGATATTTGTCTTGATGATATTTGTTGATTATTGAATAAAAAGAAATAGCATTTGATTTTATTTATAAATGATAATGAACTTAATGAACTAGAAATAGACTATTCTCTGTTATTCAATATTTGATTATATCATCATAAATGATTAAAGGTTTTAATTTTTGATGATTTTTTTAATTATCATCAAAATATATTTTCCTCTATAGATTTACGTAGATATACTTTAGAAGTTCTCATGCAACTTAGTTATGTTTATTCTAAAATTTAAGTTATTGAAGTTAGAGGAGATACTATTATCATTCATAAATAGATTATTAATATTTAAGTTCATTTAATTTTATCTAGTTATTTTTTCCAAACTGATTGAGTAATCGATCTCAATTTAATTTAACCCATCAGATAATTGGTTTTATCATATTTACCATTTGCATGTATTCTATTTTTAGCTTCATTGGTGATCTCATCTATATATGTAGGAGTATTTGCAAATTTGACTTTAGGGGATTGACTATTATAAACTTTCTAAACTTGCAAAGACTCATCGGAATGTCGGTAATTTCTCCTTAATAAATCATGAACTTATTAAGTTGATGAAATAGTTTAATAGGTTCTGCTCTTTTCCTTTTTTTTGTTCATAACTTTTTACCAAACTTTGGCTGGCGAATTAAATGATTTCAATGATTCTGATCTAAAAACTCTTAACTCTTCATTTTAAGCTTAATAATGAGAAAACTTGTTCAGAGTTGAGTTATTTGAGAGAAAAGGACGATTTAAAACTTAAGTTTAAGTTGCAAAGCTTTAAAAACTTGCAAGATTATTTCCTTCACAATGTATAGGAATATGATCCAAAAATTTATTTCTAAATATTTTATAAAGACGCACACAATTTATAGATTTAGCACTATGACTTCTAAATTAACTCAAGATTTCATCATCTCCAAAACACTCTTTACATCCTAGAATTGAGATTGGATGAATATTCTTGTTGTACTATCTAAACAATTACACTTCTCCGTCTACTATGATATAGACTGCATCAACCGGATCACCTTACTGATATATTAATTAATTTGGAATGAAGTTAATTTCGCTGATATCTCCTAACAACTATCTCAAAGTCTTAGCTGACCATTTGCTAAATAAAGGAACTGTTGATAACAATGCAAATTTCTCTGCATCTTACTTTCGAGATTAAATATCTACCATCTATAATTTTAATTACCTTTAATTCTTCGATAGACATCTCTTTTTATCACTATTAAATGAGATTTCTCTAAAGGTAAAATTGTTTAAGTGTGTGACTAATCAAACATCATTACCTATTCTCCAAAATGCTATCCTGGGTACAAATAACCTTATGGAGTCAAATCAGAATATCTCTAAGTTAATATCTTTTGCCTATCATATATAGTTTTATTTCATACAGTTCTGCATTCATCACTATATCTTGATATGTGATATAACTTCTAGTCAACACTAAAAATTTTCCACTCAAAATAAAGTAAAACTTTGTGCTCATATCACCTATATTAACCTAAGGTTCATAAGGTATGTGACATTCATATTAAAGTTCTCGCAATATTTATTAATATTATGTTTCTCCTACTTATTTTCTTAAATCATGAAAAAATGGCACATCCTTTAGGCTTAGATCTATAAACTCAAGATCAAACTTTGTTTTAAACATAGATCTCTTGTTTATTGATTGTATTAATTGATAAAGATCACTCTCTCCAATAATCATAATAAATAATTCATTTATTCTTATTACATTATATTATTTCTTCAACTCTTTTTTTTTCATCAAATGTTTTTCCATTCTTTACTTTAATCATCATCTTCTGAGATCCTTCTCTTTTTCATTCTTCTTCTTTCTACCTCTTTTTACTAAAAAATATTCTAATCATAACCCTGAAAATTACAATAGAAAATCTTAAAAATCTCTTTCATCATTAATTTACAAGATAAATAAACAAAAATTAAGCCCTTTTAATATTAGTATTAACAGAAACAAAATACCTATGTTTTAATTATATTTAATGTTTTAAAAATATATTCAATAATTCAATTATATTCTATTATTTTCCATCAATGTTCTTTATCTCTTTATTATTATTAAACTAAATTAAGACTTTTTATTAACAAAATGAATCCAAATAATAAATATCCAAAAATTCTATCAAATTAATGTTTTCTTAATTATCAAATCTGAAAAATAACAAAAATTTAATCTTTTTTTTAAATTTATAGACTTAATAACTCATAAATTAACTGAAAGTTAAATTTCAGCAAAAAAAGTTCAAAAAAAGGATTCTTCTTTACTTAGATTAATGTATACTAGAAAAAATAGTATTATAGTTTTTTTACATTTTATTAACATCCTATTCTATGAATTTACTATAGTTAAAAAAATCCCTTGTTACTAAGCAATTTTCTTAACTTTTAGTCTACAAAAATATATTTTAGGATTAAAGCTACTATCATTAACTATTGATTTATAAATAAGATTTCAAACTATTAAAACATAAATTATCACTATAAATTCTGAATCTTCAATTTTAACATTTCTTAACTTATATAATATAAGTACTTTATTCTTTTGTCATAAGGGTAATCAAAATTTATAGAGAATATCTGTATTTAGATTAGTAATTTAAACATATTATTTAATATTCAGAGGTATTTAATTATCAAAGATCAAGAAATGTATTAGAAACATAGTATAATGAAGTAATTTTAGCGCAAATAGTTTTGAAAATATTTAAAAAAATAAATTTTTAAATTTTAGTTCGTGAATGCAAACACAAGACTTAGGATAGTTGATAAATGCTTTACAATTAACATATGGTACGTCATAAGAAAGTGTGAACAGTGGAGAAGCATTACTAAAGTAGGCTTCTATGCAACCATTGTAATAAAAATCCCGTAAATGATTAGATATGCAATTTCATTACTAAAGATAGTAGATGACTAGAGTTAATAAGACCTTGTAAGATAGAGTGCAGTAGTGAATTTAAAGACTTTTTTGGAGAAACATTGGGGAGAAAAGAAAGAGCCTGGACATTTTGTAGTGAATCCAGAAGAAAAGGCTTTGATTAGAGGAACAATAATAGATGCTTTAGCTAGGTTAGTAATAATATTAAAGATTCATTTAGATGTATATAAGTTAAGAAATTGAGATCGTAATATGAAGATTTGATATACAAATTAGTAGCAATCGATTTTCCTAAAGATTGGCCATAACTAGTTCAATAATTAGTTATTAAATTGTAGAATTACACATCATTTGATGATTTATGGAGTGCTTTATTGACTTTACGTAGAGCATGTGAAGTTCATTAATTTTTATTGGATAATGATCGTAAACCATTGGAACCTTTAGTAGCATCAACTTTTCCACTTTTAGAGACTTTAATTTAGAAATTCCTTGAGAATTATAATGAATAAAGTGGATAATTAGTAAAAGTAATATTGAAAATATTCCATCATGCTACTCATTTAGTGATGCCAATATATATGAAAGATTTTAATATTGTTGCTAAATGGATGTTATTTTTTAAAACAATCATATCTTCACCAACTCCTCCTGAATTAGCATCATTTACTTAAGATTCTGAAGAGGAAACTAGAAGAGAAAAAACATACATATGGACAAATAAAAAGTGGGCTAGTAGAATAATTTTAAGATTTATTCAAAAATTTGCGAATAAAAAAATGGTTGATGCTGATATGGCTGATTTTGCAGAACATATTAAAAATACATATGCAATTGGATTTATGGAATTATTTTATAAGATTCTAACAGATAATTCATAATTTTAAGGTCCTAGAACATGTTTATTTGCTCTTAAATATTTATATTACGCTCTTAAATTAGATAATACAAAAGAATTATTAAAAGCACATTATGATAAATTGATTTATCATGTTGCTATTCCTAAAATGTAATTAACACCTAGAGATGATGAATTATGGAAGAATGATCCTGAAGAATATATTAAAAGATTAGATGACTTTTCTCTTTCAACTTACAATATGAAAAATCCGGCAAATGATCTTTTATAAGAGATATGCTTATAAACAGATGCTAATGGTAATTTGATGCTTATATAATTCCTAAATTATTGTCAGAATGCCTTTAATTCAAATATAGACCCTCTAACAAATTAACCATTGAATTTACTGAAAAAAGAAGCATTACTTTGGGGAATTGAATGTTTAGCACATTAAATTACAAAAATTGATGCAATAAAAGATGGATTGGAATAAATTTTAGAGAAACATATATTGCCTGAATTTTAGAATCCTGTAGGATTTTTAAGAGCTCGTGCTTGTCATGTATTTAATGAATATGGTACAATTGAATTTAAAAATAAATAAAACATTTAATTGGCAGTATAAGGAATATCTAAATGTATTTTAGATAAGGAGTTACCAGTTAGAGTTGCAGCAGCAATATCATTTAGTTCAATATTATAACATAAGGAAGCTTAAGATTTAATTAGACCATAATTAAGTTAAGTATTGGAAATATATATTAAATTGATGGATTTAATAGATAATGAGAGAATAGTAAGATCCTTGGAAGAAATAGTTAAGAATTTTACAAACGAAATTACTCCATATGCTCATTAATTAGCTGCACATATTGCTACAATATTTTAGAAATATTGTAATAAATAAAATTAAGGTGATGGTGATTCAGATGATGATGGAGAAGCTGAATTAGCAGCATCAGGATGTTTAGAAGCAATTAAAAGAATTTTGAATGCTCCTCTTTAATAAGAATCTTATGTATAATTGGAATCAGTAATATTTCCAATAATAAACTTTGCTTTAACAGAATCAGGATGTGATTTCATTAATGAAGCATTGGAAATATTAAACTTAATGCTCTATAAGAAAAAATAATTAACACCAGGATTATGGTTTTATTATCCAGTTTTATGTTACATCATAATAGGATTACCATAAGAAACAAATGTATATGCATTACAAGGATTATCTGAAGAATAATATGTATTATTGGAAGGATGTAAGAAAGATTGGGGAAGTGAATTTGTAACTTAAATGTTGGGATCATTCAGAAATTATATTTAAAAAGGAGGAAGCACATTTTTAACTTAAAGTGATTTCTTTGGAAATTCCTTTATCTCTTTGATTTTTAGGTTCATTCAAAAGATCTATACTATAGCTGAAAATGGTTCTGATGAAACTGATTAAAATCAAGTGACTACAATATTGATTACATTAATTGAGAATTTCCAAGGTTAAATTGATAATTTGATTCCTCAGATTATTGACTTCACATTATTAAATCTATCAGTATTTATATTTTATATAATAATTTTAGAAAGAGAAGAAAACTAATAAATTTAAGATGGTTAATATAGGAGTTTTGAATATGTGCATTTGGTATAATCCCTAACTTGCTCAAAACTATTTGAATAGCAAAGGGATTACAGATTAAATATTGTAGACATTGTTTTAAATGGAGAAACATTATAAATATGAATGGGATATTAGTAGATTAATTTTTGCTTTATGTCAATTGTATTCACTTCCATAAATTCCTAACTATTTATTGACAACTTCTGCAGAAATTGGCAAATTGTTTGTTAGATTATCTACTAAGATTTTAGAATTGAGAGAAGAAGAAGAATCATGTGAATAAGAAGATTAGGCAGAAGAAGAAGAGGATTAAAAAAAATTAGCAGAAAAGATCTAAGATTTAGAATAAGATGAAGAAGATGATGATGATGATGATTATGATGAAGATGAAGATGATTATGCAGAATTATATGATAGTCCTTTAGAAGATTATGATGCTATTTTATTAATGGAGAAGCTTATATTGACTTTACAACAAAGCAATCCTCAATTGTATTCTGGTCTATTCTCATAATTGACATAATAAGAATAAGAATAAATGACTAAGAATATAAAAGAAGCCAAAGAACAATATGATGAATGGATCAAATAGAAGTAGCAATAATAGATGAATAAATGATTGCTTGTTTATAACATATATTAATCAATATCATGCTGATGGTTATCTTTAGGAACAATCATTTCCTAAATATCCACTCCAACATTTACATGTATTGTTACTAATGCAAACTCCTCTATTGCTGCAGTTATTAGGACATGATCTAAATTAAGCACAGAACTTTGTTATGTCTGGACATGTTATTGTACCATTTTTCTATCCTAATTTCACTGATGTAACTTATCCACTACTTGAACAAATTACTGATGTTCCATTAACATCTAATATTACCTTACCATTTACGCATTAAGAACTATAACAACTGCTTCTTGCATTAGCAAACACATCTTAGGCTAATGATGTGATAAAACATTGTGAATTCATTCCTATTGATCCACCTGTTCCTTTTGCTAACTTTTCATTATAATCTGATTTAAATCTACAATCGCTTTATTCTCTCCAATAACTACAACCTTAACTTAATTAATCTCCTGTATAACAACCACTTAGACTATTAAAATTATTAGAACAACCAGATTAATCTTTTACTTTACAAAACTCTTCATAAACTACTGAACAAGCTCCTGTAGTCAATGTACAACCATCATCCAAACCCCATCCAAAATTTTAGGCATAAGTATAATTTGGAAGGTACCAACCTGTTCCTTCTAATAATGCTAAAGTGAATTCTGATATGACTTAATCAGGAAATGGATCACCTGTCATTATTTCATTACCAAATGTTACTCTCTCCCAATGGAATCCTGCTATATCCTATCCACCATTTTCTTCTAATAATGCTCCTACTGCAGAGTTACAAGAAAAATGTCTTTTCACTCTATCTAAAACTGGTGGTAATATTATATATTATCTATTCTTGAATGTTCTGATTACATTATCTAATCCCAAAACCTTATTATCATTTGCATTAACATAATAAGGATATAATACACTATTAAACCCAATTAAATGAATCATTTCATGTAATGTTTGTTACAACCAATATTCCCATTCTTCATTATTATTTTTATCTACATTAACTTGGTTAAAAATTGCCAGATTTATCTATAAAGTGCCTAATATTGGTCTATTTGTCACTCTATCCAATTCACAAGACACACCTCTCAACCACCAATTTCCTTAAGGATCATTAGATGCAGCCATTAGGATTCCCAAATCAAATATTTAACCAGTTTTCAATAGGTTTTATATGCTATATCCACCACATTTTTAACTTACAAATGTATTTGATATTCTTGGATAAACTTTTAAGGCAGTTTATAAAAATGCTAATGCTGGAGTTATTAGATTTTCCTTTATGAAAGCAAATTAATTTTTCTTAACAAAGGGCTCCAAATTTGAATAATCTACTTATGTTCTCATCGGAGACCAATTTCCTGCTGTATGTTTCTTTAATATTGATCTTTCATGATTTAGCGTTGATTCCACTGGTATTTCACTATCTCTTGACACAACTTACTCTCTTTAATAAGTTGATAAACTTCCCTCTAAGATCTCACTATTATTATTTGGATAATAATAAGTATAACAAATTGTTAAGCCTGACAAGACCACCAAACTTGCTCCAATCTTTATTAAGGTTGATAAAAATATCATATATTTATTTAATTAATAAAAAAATTCTTGAAATTAAAGTATTTTAAAATTTTGCATCTAATTTAAGGGATCACATTAAAACTTTTTCGGGATTAGATTTCTTTATGTTTTATGCAAAAGTTTCCATAGTGTATTCATTAGTTTGTGTTTCCTCGCAAAATGTCAGAATTTTAAATTTCTTCCAGTCATATTTATCATTCACCTTTACCTATCTTGGTTCCAAATTATATTTCTTTTTTCCTTGACCACTAGATTTTCTATAATTTGACATTATGGATTTTGCAGAAGAATAATTTATACACAACTCTTTAGAAGCCTAAATTTGATTCATAATATACCTATCTTATAGTTTAGCCATCTCGCACAACCTTAAAAATGAATTCCTTTTTTATTTTCTCTGTTAATTTTGCATATCTCTTTTCAATACACTTTCCTATCATTTTTTTCATTTCCTACTCTACTTGATTTTTTATTTCTTCTATAATCTTCATTACTAATAGGAATCACCTTAGGCAGCTAATTAAATTTAGTATATTAATATTTATGATATATAATAACATTACGCATCATTAAGTTATATTATTATATTAATCTTAATAATCAATTGACATAAGCTGAAATTATCAAATATATAGATATTTGCTAATATATAAATAAATCTTTGATTAGAATTATGTCATAATAAACATAAATACTTTTATTAGTGAGAAAATATTTATCTTTAATATTTTTATTAATAATAACGTTATGAACAACAGGAATTCTCTTATCAAAAATTACAGCCAAATTCCAACCTTTATCAAAACGCTTAATAACTTTAAATAAGTTAGAATAAGATCTCTTAAAAATTTGTCCATCTAACCTATGCCAAAAAAAAATATATTCACTAATTTTTCTAAACCTAATACTAAGTTTAACTCTCCATTAAAAAATAAAGAAAACTTTATATCAAATTAGAATGATTTGGTCATAAATGCAATTGATTCTGATTCTCTTCATTTTTCGTATTCACCTTCATCTTGCAAAAAAATTCAATTTTAAAAGTAAGTCTTTAATAGGAAATTCAAATAGACATTTAAGCTCGATAAAAAAACTAAGGAATTATGCAATATATATTTAGAAAGACCAAAAAGTAAAATGAGCAATCCTTTAGTAAATCAAGTGAATCAACTCATTACAAGATTAAGATGAATTCATCAGTTATTTATATTTTCTATAGTAATATAATTATGATTGAAGTTTATTAATAAAATACATATAAATTTTATATCATAAATAATGTTTTAATCTGCTCATAATTTTTTCATTAGGTTTATATACAACATAACTCTGATCAATCTCATTCTGAATAGCTTTAACTGGTTTTAATTTTTTTATTTATTGCTTTTATTATTTTACTACTTATTTTGGCTTTTTAGCAATTTTATTTTTCATTGGTCTCATCAATTTATGAGGTCTTCTGTCTGGTTTTTTTTCCTCTTCAATTTTTGGTTATTCTTACTTTTTTTTTTACTATTGAAGTTATTTTTAAACGAATTAATAGATTGCTTTAGATTGCATATCACTAAACCAGAAATAAAATAAATATAAATATAATTTCAATAAATGAATTATTAAAGAGCCTTTTTAAGCTCAATTGATAATGCCTTCTTTATCATACCTGGAGGTAATTTGATTTTAAAATCTACTTCAGCATAAGCTTATACTCTTATTTCTTAATTTTGCAATTCTTCCAAAAGAAAACCACTTATGTAAATAATTCCTCTAGTAGTTTATTATAATTAATCTGTATTTATGGAACGTAGTACTTGAATATGTTTATTTGCAGAAATCTGCTTTTAATATTTTATGAAAACATATTCTCGAGAGTCAACAAATTAAATTTTCTTGAAACTTGCATATATTAATGAGAACTCATTGGTTGTCTGCAAAGTTGTAAATTAATCAATATGAGTAAGATAAGTATAATTTAAAAATTCATTTATGGATGTCTTCTATATTTTGAATTCATATTTGATTTATATTATAGTGTATCTCTCAAGTTTAAAACTCTTAAAAAGAATAATTAGTTGATCGTCATGATAAAGCTCTTCCAATTCTTTAGTTGTCTTGAGTCTATAAAGGAAAATATCAACTGATAAATCTATAGTTTCTTATATATTGTCTGAAATAGCAAGTATTTACTCTTCTGAGTATTCATGATAATTTTCAGACTCATCTATATAATTCACTTTTGTATAGGTTTCATCTTGTTAATGCTTATCAATTTAAGGTAATTCAGACATTTTCTAAATATTTTATCCTAAAACTAAATTTCTAAGGCAAGACAAACATTGATTACCCATTTATAATATTATTTAATAAGAAACTCTATTTAAAAATAATTATCTAATTGTGATGATAATCAAATATTAAAATTATAGGATAAAATAGAAAAATCATTAACTCAAAAAACTTTTTACATTATTAATAGTGATAGAAAAGCTAAAAATCTAAAATTATATTGAAAAGTATGTTTTTGAAAATAGCTTCTTAATCGTGTGTATTAAATTATTCAAAATTAAAATTTACAACAGTTTTTAAGGCAACTTGCTCTAAAAAACTAGAATAATCTTATTTAATAAAATAACTTGAAAAAATTTAGATGCTTCAGCTTAATTATTTAAAAATTATGAATTATAATTAATCGTAGAGTTACCTCTATATTGAGAAGCCTCTATTTTCATGAGAAATTTAAGTCGTAGATAGACCTATAGTTATGATAATAGCATCAAACTTTCAAAATATTTTATGTAATTTTTCTTAAGAAAATAAATTATAATAAATTCACATAGAGATATTGAAAAATATTAACAACATATATTAATGGGATAGGAATAGTTTTGAGGGTGATTAATCCATAAATTTGAAAATGGAGATTAGCAATATCCTTAGACAAAATATTTAGTTTGAATGGATTGAAAAAAATTCTCTAGACATAAATAGAATTTAAATCTAAAAATATAATTAAATAAATTTAGTCAATTTAGCACAATGGAAGAAGAATATTTTTTTGAATTTAAGTATAAATTTTAAAATAATAAAAATTTTATTTTAATTATTATTATAAATATACTTAATTCTTAAAAATTATTCTTTGAACATTATTTCACTTTTATATTTCTATTAAAAATTTTCTAAGCTATTTTAAATTTAAGTTTATATAAAAACTCACATGAATGAATAAGACAAAAATTTGAGAAGGAAAATTAAGGTATTTCAAAACAATAACAATTTTTTATTTTTTATTTTAACTACATGGTTAGAAATTTCATTAGAATGATAAAAAATAGAAAATAGTGGATAAAATTTATGAGGAACAAAATCAACAATAATAATGATGACGAAATAAAGAAGTTAACCAGAAGTGAAATATAGAATAAATATATTTTAATTCTTAAATCATAGAAAGTACTCTGGTACTCTGCGTGTAGTTTAAGGTTCATTTTCTCTAGGTGCAGGTTCAAATTGAGAACTATAATAAAATTGAATATAATTACAAGCTCATTTTAAGTTGATCATCAACTTCTAAAATACAAGCTTAATTGCCACATCTATAGCAATAATTGGGAGCTGAGAAAATAGTGACTGTTTTTTTTTAATGTACTTGTTAAAATCCTTCCATCACCAATTAATGAGCTCTAACAACCATTTTTAATTTATTCCTATGTAGAAATTTATCTGTTATATCTTAACCCCATGTCCATCCTGCTCCTCTTGGTGAAACACCCCATCCTGTTTTAGTTTCTTCAGGATCACTCCATAATAAATCACAAATTGCTCCTTCATGAGGTATATCTTAAATTCTATTTAATAATTTTATCTGATCAACCGTTTCAACTGCTGGAGATAACCCACCATGAGTGCAAAACAACTAAGCATTAAAATCTCTTATTTACACTATTTTCAACTATAGCCACTAAAGGAAGATATCCAAAAAGATCAGCAAAATGTTTCCAAACTATTTCATTTCCATACTTACGCTAACATTCATCATAAAACCCATATATTTTGTTGATTTCTCTATTTTCATGATTGCCTTTTGTATTTAATTAAATTATTACCTCTTAAGATAGTTAATCTATCTCTATAACGAACTTTAAGACAAAGAATGAGACTAAAAGTTTCTACGCTTTGAGAACCTCGATCAACATAATCTCCTAAAAAGAGATAATTTGTGTCCTTTCATAATATACTTAAAATTACTGGCAATCTACCTCCAATGCTAAACAATTCAATTAAGTCGTGAAATTAACCATGCACATCTCCGCATATAGTTAATGGGGCTCTTACTTAAACGATGTTTGGTTCTTCAACTAAAATTTCTTTTGCCTTGTCAATAATACAAATAAAAACACTTTTTGACATAATAGCCTTATATCATTTTCACTTAATAATTTGCCACTATATAGATCTTCTATATATTTATCGAAATTTCCTAACTCTGAATTACTCAATTTTGAAGGATTCATTATATATTTTTATTATATTAATTGAGCAATATTTCTAACATCTCTATTTGATACTTATTTTAAATAATTAAATATATATATAATTAAAAAATCAAGAAGCTAAATAACACTTTTATCGTTTAGTTATAAATTAGAGTTTAATAATTAGGTAAAAAATGATAAAGTAACAACAATTATTTTATTTTCAATTATATTTAATATTGCAAATTTAATTTAACAATTACTATATGTATATTTTGCGTAATTATAATCATTTGAACATATAGTTATATAAAACTTATTTATCATAGAACATATAAAAATATATAAATGAACAGTTAATTAAAAAACCAAAGACATTAGAAAGGTTAAATTTGATACAAAAGCTATTATCATTTTATTATTTCTAAAAATTTTCAACTTTGTTTTTTCTAAATTTATGTCTAAATAAAGGGTTAAGAGAATTTATAAAGACTGATTTAACTTTTTAAAATGTGAATTATTCCAACTGCTTAAAAGATATGAGATGTAATAAAATACAAAATTTAGAGAAGGCTTTGATTTCAATTTGATAATTATTTTATTTGTATGATCTCAATAGTGAAGTTCAAGATCAAATCAATAATAAATAATGGTCCTATTTAAATTAAAAAAAAACACATAATTACTACCTTAATAGATGAGACTAATTTTTTAGTTATTGAAAAGTTTTAAGTCTCATTTATTTATATTATTTTCCAATCTTTTTTATAATTTGGGATGCAATAAAGTTAATTTAACAATTAAATTTTGGATATCAAATAAAATCTATATTGATTATTAAATAAAGAGCTTATGATTGAATGTTACTTTCCTTTAATATCTTCAAAATTTTTTTATTGTTTAATATATACTACTTCTAAATAAAAGAAGCAGATTCCTCAAAAAAAAGATCCCTAAATAGGATTTGAAGCTATTGATTTTGATCAGAAAGCTTTATAATGAATATCGAATCATCTGCAGTAGGGATTAGCTCTGGTTTCATAAATAAAGTTATTTCTAGAAATCTTTTATTATATTATTTATTTATAATTGCTTAACGATATATGTTACAACAATATAGAGGAAGTAGCCAACCTCCAAGATCAAATCAGATCTAAAATTATGTATTATATGATTTATAAATGAAGTCTCGTTAGAACAATTAGTAAGTGACTCCATTTAATATGTTCTAAGAATTTGATTCTATGTCAAATAAGATGATGCAACATATNTTATTATATTAATTGAGCAATATTTCTAACATCTCTATTTGATACTTATTTTAAATAATTAAATATATATATAATTAAAAAATCAAGAAGCTAAATAACACTTTTATCGTTTAGTTATAAATTAGAGTTTAATAATTAGGTAAAAAATGATAAAGTAACAACAATTATTTTATTTTCAATTATATTTAATATTGCAAATTTAATTTAACAATTACTATATGTATATTTTGCGTAATTATAATCATTTGAACATATAGTTATATAAAACTTATTTATCATAGAACATATAAAAATATATAAATGAACAGTTAATTAAAAAACCAAAGACATTAGAAAGGTTAAATTTGATACAAAAGCTATTATCATTTTATTATTTCTAAAAATTTTCAACTTTGTTTTTTCTAAATTTATGTCTAAATAAAGGGTTAAGAGAATTTATAAAGACTGATTTAACTTTTTAAAATGTGAATTATTCCAACTGCTTAAAAGATATGAGATGTAATAAAATACAAAATTTAGAGAAGGCTTTGATTTCAATTTGATAATTATTTTATTTGTATGATCTCAATAGTGAAGTTCAAGATCAAATCAATAATAAATAATGGTCCTATTTAAATTAAAAAAAAACACATAATTACTACCTTAATAGATGAGACTAATTTTTTAGTTATTGAAAAGTTTTAAGTCTCATTTATTTATATTATTTTCCAATCTTTTTTATAATTTGGGATGCAATAAAGTTAATTTAACAATTAAATTTTGGATATCAAATAAAATCTATATTGATTATTAAATAAAGAGCTTATGATTGAATGTTACTTTCCTTTAATATCTTCAAAATTTTTTTATTGTTTAATATATACTACTTCTAAATAAAAGAAGCAGATTCCTCAAAAAAAAGATCCCTAAATAGGATTTGAAGCTATTGATTTTGATCAGAAAGCTTTATAATGAATATCGAATCATCTGCAGTAGGGATTAGCTCTGGTTTCATAAATAAAGTTATTTCTAGAAATCTTTTATTATATTATTTATTTATAATTGCTTAACGATATATGTTACAACAATATAGAGGAAGTAGCCAACCTCCAAGATCAAATCAGATCTAAAATTATGTATTATATGATTTATAAATGAAGTCTCGTTAGAACAATTAGTAAGTGACTCCATTTAATATGTTCTAAGAATTTGATTCTATGTCAAATAAGATGATGCAACATATGGATAGCTAATTAGCTAATTTAGGATTTGGATCTGTTTTTAGAGGTTTTGATGATTTAGAAAATGAGATGATGGAATTCTCGAATATTCATAGACATATGGCAGGTTTAAATTAAAGAGATGTTAACTAACATTCAAAGGATGGAGTATTTTAGGTATACTCATCTAGTTATGTCTAATCATCTAAAAAAGGGCCAGATGGACGGGTTATTTAAGAAAAATATTTTGATAACAATGCTGTTGCTAGAGGAGTTAATGGTCATACTGTATATTATAATAATTAAAGTTAGATAAGTGAAAGATAACAAGGATATAAAAATAGTGATGGAATAGATAGATTTGGACATGAGAGAATGATGAATGATAAAGGTCGAAAGCATGTAAGAGAGAGAGATAGAACAGGTTAAATTACAACAACAAACCATTATATGAATATGGATGAAAATTAAGTTGAATAGTTTGAAAATGAATGGTTAGGAATGGGTAGAAACTTAGGAATAAATGCACAATCAGGTGGTCTTAGAGCATTGTAAGGTTAACCAAATATGAGAGACATTAATAATCATCCATTCCCAAGAGAACAAATCACTTATGACACTCCCAATTACCCTAGAAAAAGTAATTTTTTTTAATAGAATAAAAAGATGATATATCCCCAATAATGTTGGGAAATAATACTAATAGTTACAATAATAATCCTACTCGATTGGCTTTACCATAACAATAGTAATAAATAACACGTTCTGCTATCTAATAACCCGGAATACAAAGTAGAGTTCCTCCTTAGTAACAACCTGTTCGTGCTCTACCTCAAAGAAAATAAGAGTTTACTGGAGTCTATTAAAATAAAGGAGCTAGAAATTAACATCCCTAAGCTGGTTGAAAAAATTATTTTTATTCACAACAATTATACCAATTTTATTTATCTTATAATTCTTAATTAATACTCTAAAATAAACATCTAACTATTTTAGTACCATATTTTAGGAATTTAACAGAGAACTCTTTAAGTTCTAATTCGATCCTTGACTTAAAAAAATTATTTTTATAAACAAGGAACTTTTTTAATTTATATAAAATTAGTTTCTATATGCATATCAAGGGTAAATCAAGCAAAACCAAAACTTTCTTTTCCTTCTAAGATTGCAAGTTCTAATTTTTCTATTAATACTTGCCTTGTTGGATAGCATGGTAAAATTAATTAATTAAAACTAATAAAGTCATTAAAATACTTACCAAGTATGTGATGTAGGTAATTCATATTTTATGTAATATTCTTTATGAATTTAAATCTTCTAAGAACCATGAATACCTTTTAAATCTTTAAATCCCCCAAGTGGTACTTTCGAAGTCCCTTGAATAAAATCTAAAAATACCTGTTACAAACTATAAAAAGGCTGCTCTCTTGCTTTGATCAAAACTTTCTAACAATTCCCAGAGCCACTAAATTACTTGATCATCACTATTATATCCATGATATTCTATATTTTCCTTCATATCTTCAACTAAAAAAATAAATTTATTATATACGGTCTATATCTGGTAATCCACACAACATAAGTTCCATTTCTTTCCATTCAAACATGCTAATTAAACTTTAAGGAATCAATTCATGAAAACCACTCAAAAAGGCTTCAATTTAATCTTTGATTCCCTTAGCCATTTTTTAATAACAATAAGTTTGAACATAATCAAATTTATTATCTTCTGTCACTTATTTTTATTTACCTCCCTCAACAAGTTCTCTCTCTTCCAATTTACCAAAATTATCAACAGTATATGTCCAATAAATACCCCAATCAGTCACATTTTCATCTAAAATCTTTTTCATACTTTTATATTCATTTAAATCGATGTCTTCCATATCATGTATTGTTAGCTTCTAACCTAAAATATGTTTATAAAAAGAGCGAGTAAAATATGTCTCAAGCAATTATTCATCATAAAGAGCTTTTGCAACTATTCTTCCAATAAATTTAAAATATTTTTTGTAATCAGGATTAATATTAGAATTACTGCAAGGTTAATTCTAGCCATTCAAAGAAGGAGTGAATAAAGCATAATTAGGATTAAATATTTCTTTCGAAAGCATTAAAAACCATTCTTTAGATACTCCCCCTTGATCTATACCTTCTTCTCCATTAAATTCTATAATTAATTTGCCTTTTAGTTCTTCTGGTTTTAACTTACTAATACGATGATAAGAATCCATAAATATGTCTTTTCTTCTACATCTAACTATAATATTCTCAAAACGATGTTTTTTATTTTACGACTTCAATTGTTTCAATTTCATTTTGAAATACTTATGTTTATTATCAAAATCTACTATTCTTGGATTTTTAGATATTATAATTCCTAAACTATCAATTTTTATTCTTCTCTTCTCTTTACATTCTTGAAGCCTTTCTTTTATCATCATATTTAACAATTCTTTCCCTTTTTCACATATTTCCTCAAATAATTTATCAAGCAGATGCTATTCTTGAATATCTTAGTTTTATCCTTCCATAATTGCAATTTTTTTTATGGATTCTTTTTGATTTGATTTTTTTATTTTTTATGGATTTACAATCTGGTAGTTAATAAAAAAACATTCTAAATAGGGAGATATTTTTGGTATCAATTTTATTATCTCTTATGTGGAAATTTATTATAGTAATTTTATAATATTTTTCCACAATTCTATTAAATCTGAACTTTCCAATAATTGATTAAAATTTAATCTAATATATTATAAATTAATATTTTTTTCTAGTTTTAAATTAATTTCTTATATAAACTGAAATACATTAAATAGAGTTTTACCACCATTAAAAATTTCATGATATTAAAATTGTCTCTAAAATTAACAATTTATTTCTTAAATAGATTTTTCTATGTATTCTTGTAAGTATTGAACTATTGATATTAAATTTTCTTTATTGTTGCAAAGACTTTGAATAATATTTAAAAAATTCTTACAATTTTTATTTGTATTTGATATTAAAAATTTGCAAATGCATTCAACTGACTTAGTGTCAAGTTTTGCATTTTCTTGAGTAAAATATTTTTACTTAGTACTAATATTCATAATTGCTTAAATGAGAATTTCCAAATGTTCCCCTTTAAACTCATGTAAAAATTATATTAATTAAAATAATGGACAAATTTAGTCATCTTCTCTAGAATTCTCATTATCTTAATTTTATTTTTTGGATTAAAAAAAGTAGTTTATTGAGAAACCTTATAATTTTGAAAATAAATACAAAACTTTCAAGGAAACAACATTATAAATTTTACTAAAATCTCTTATGAGTCCATTTCTTTGAACCAAAAATTTTGGTGGGAAAAATTATGCGTATTCGTTAAGATTTTTTGTTTTTAAAATAAAAAATAAAGTGTCAATTAATTTATTTTCCACAATGTAATTGTTACATAATGAAATAAAGAGATTGGTTGGAAAATTTTTGAAACCATGAGATTCTACATAAAGTAAACTAAGCAATGAATTTGTAAAATCATCATCAAAATTTCCTAATTTTTAAATCAATAGTCTTTAATTATGAAGTAGATTTTAAAGTTTTTAAAATTTTTCATGAGGTTTTTTGAATTATTTTAATTGCTCTTAAATTTTGTGTCTATATTGATCTTAAAGAACGAGAGGTGCAATTAAAGAATTTGGACCAGGACAACTTTCAGAGTTTAGGGCATTTTCTTGAGGATTTTAGATAGGTATATTAGTATCCTAGTTTTTTTGAATTCTCTCAATTACAGATTATGATAAATCTTCTTCTTAAACTTATTATTATTGTAATTAGTTTAAAGAGGGAAAATATTATTGAATAATCTAATTTCTGATTTCTACTGGAAGAGAGTCTAAAAATGTAGGGTCAATTGTATATGTTTAATGAGGTATTACTGAAATAATTTCCATCATCATATCTTCATTAAAATCTTCAAAAACCGAAGGATCAATATCATTTTTAATGAGATCATCAAATTTCTTACCTACTCTATTTAAAAAGTTGTAACTTTTTGGATAGATTTAGGAATAATTTAAATTATTTTATTAATTAAATTATTGTTAGACAGGGGATTGTCTGATATTTGATTGATCAAAATATTGAGAAATTTATTTATCACTACCAGGTTCTTCATTAAATTAATTTAGATTTTCTGATTTTATCATTTTATCTGAAAAATCAGTTTAAAAAAATGAGGATGATTAATGTTATTATATTTGCTGTAATTATTACTCACTTTGAAAATATTGTAAATTTTAGGATTGAAAAGTTGATGTGTTTTATTGTTATGAAATAGAATTTGACGAGTTAATGCTTTAATCATGTGAGTTAATACTATGTTGAATTGGTTGATTCGAAAGATCTCTGATTGTTTCATAGACATTAATATGAGCAATGCTTACGTTTAAGCCTTATTCCATTATTACTCCCAATCTTTAATGTTTTTAGTCTGTTAAAGTATGTATAATAGATTATTAAATTAGTTCTGTCCACCAGTTTACAAGTTCAAACTCAATTGGTTAATAATTTTAAGGTAATGAATACTGAAATTTATCCAAAATTTAAGTGAATTATTTTGAAAATTATACTTCTAATAAAAAGATTATTTATTATGTCATTTTCATAAAAATCAAATCTTCTTTTTTTGTAAAATAATGAATATGATTTGTACTATCTAAAATTTTTTTATACATTATATTATTTTATTCCATTGACGTAAAAATGTTTAGCTAATTTAAATTTTAAAGAGCATAATGTAAATTCTAATGATATAATAATTCTGATTAAGTATTAGATGTATTGCAATAATCATCATCACTACTTTCCTCTAAATCTTCATCTGAGCTCTCTTCTAACTATTCATCATCTTCATCAGTCCAACTATAATTTTGATTTTAAGTATTTTCATCTTCGTATAAATTATTTCCACTTTATCCTGTAATCTAACTATATATTTATTCTAATTATTCTCCTGTTGATTATTAATTTTTAATTGAATCATATCGACTCTCATTAATTTAATCATAATTGTCTTCATCTTCTTAGTCAATTTCTAAGTCTTCTTTTTCTTCAATATTATCAAAAAATTCAATATCTAGAAATGTATTTCTTCGACTAAATGGAGACCATAACATTTGCTAATCTATTTCATCTTATCTAACATCCTAATTTATTTCTTCATTAAATTATAATGGCAAAAAAGGTTATTTTCTAAAATATTTTTTAAGATCCTAATAAATTTTACCTTTATTTGGAGTAAGTTAATAATTTATATCTTCTGGTAGTAATTATCCCACCATACCTTGTAATTAAAAATGAACTCCATATTCTTCTTATTTCTATGATATAATTGGTATTTTAGATGGCTTAGAAAATAGTAAATAAGTTGCAACATTTAATAAAATTCCTAGTGATTCATTTAAAAGAGGTAATTCATTTTCATATTTATAAAACGTTTTTAAATCAAAGCTTTTTATACCCTCCATATAAAGTTTTAAAAAATTACAAGAGTTTTATTATTCATTTTCATTTTTAAAACAAATCTAAGCCACTGATTTTATTTATATTAAATATATTAATGCATGTGATAGATAACAAAAATTTTAATCTAAAATTTTGATTCGCTTTTCTATTCCTTCATAGATCTCATTAATAATTTTCTTTCTGATTTCATTCGAAAATGGAGCAATAAAATTGTTCGATATCTAATTCAATATTAAATTATCTAAACATAATTCAAAAAGCAATTTCTCTTATGGAATCATAAACTTAGTTATCAAAGTTATAAATGATATTTTACTAGGGAATTCTACTTCTGAATATTCAAAACCTAATTACTTATGATATGGTTTAAGAAACTTGCTACAATTTATTTTAACCAACTAAGGAATTAAAATTGGATATCTTCTTATTAATACTTAAAGAACCTAGCTTATTGTTTTCCATTAGAATTAATATAATTCAGTTTTTTCAAAATAAGATACAATCATCTGTTAAATTAATAACTTAATTAAAATTTAAGTTTCTTAAGTATGTTTGAAATTTAATTATAATTACAGTTTATTACCACTCTTTCTTTTTTTAGACGAAGGTATTTTATTACTCCTTTTACAACTTGAGGGTTCCTTGTATTTTTAGAAACTTGCAGGTTGTACACAATCTAAAGTATAAAGAAGAACATTTTTTTTCAAAACAAAATAATTAGATTGATCTTCAAATAAGGAATTAAGAACAAATTAAATTTATTCGTTATATATCATTTAAGTTTACATAGCCAATAATGCTTCATTATCTTTAGCAAGTTTAATATCATTTGGAATCTTAATATTATAATGAATTGATAAAAAATTTAAAGGATATTAATCTTTAAAAGGGGACTATATTAGATGTTACTTATGTTATTATTATATCTGATTATTTCTATCAATTTCTAAATTATACTGTTAATCATATAAAATTTTTTTAATTTTTGCCTCAATTTAAGCTGTTACAATAGTCGAATCATGAACAATAGATAATACTAACTTTGTTAAATTATAAACTTAATTTCTAGAATTTCCTTTTACTTTTAAAAGAGGCTCTAATCCATTCATTTAATAAACAAACTTATGTACATTTTCATTATTTATCTAAAAGGCTCTAACTAAAATTTCTATGCAAATTTTTGATGTTATTTCATTCTAAATTTTACCTTTCATAATTTAAACTACTGCTTCAAATATTTAATGGAAAACCTTTTAATCTTGTTACTTCTATTAATATTCATCTGTTATAAATAAAGTTAAGATTGCCAAGACATGATTAACAGCCTAAATTGTTTATTCATTCTCATATTTTAATAATTCCTAAATTAATTTCATCATCTCAATAACAATATAATCATGCTCTTACACAAAATTCTATTATTTATATATGTAATGCAGAATAGTGATTATCAATTTCATATCATCAATTTCCGGTTATTTAAGATTTATGTCACAATCTTCAAATTTGAGTTATAATTTAAATTATTCTTAAACTGCTTTTTAAAGACACTTTAATAAACAAGGCATCATTTATCCATCTATAAATTTAAATAAAGTTTCCTCAAACTTATTAAAGAATAGTATATTTTATTTGATATAATTTTTTAGTTCTCCTTATCTAATATGAATTTCTTATTCAGCTTCAAACATTTATTATTCACTCTATAGATTCTATTTCATCTCTTATTATGTCTATTTAACTTTCTCTTAATTATCAGATAAACATAAAGCATTATTTATATTATCATTAATAACATTCAAAACCCCAAACTTAGTTTACAACTCACAATCTCTCTCTTTGATTTATATATCTTGTAAAAATGTGGGACTTAAAATCCTCATTATTTTTTCTAAAAGAACAAACTTTATGTTATACACATAGTCTGAATCTGAGTCTTGAATTATTAACAACAAAATTGTAATGTTTAATATTTGATAAGATAAAAATTACAATCCGAACTTTTTATTTAAATATTCAAAACTATTTAGATACAAAATCTTTATAATAGATGAATAATGCTAAGATAAAATATTGAGAAAATAACTTTTTTCTTTAAATTATATAGTCAATTTAGTAAATAGGGAAATTGCATCTTAAAAATTACCTCTAAATCCGGATTTTAATATTTCATAACTAATAAAAATTAAATTTATTTATTTTTTTTGAGAAGCTTTCAAAATATATTTAAAAAATTTGTCTATGGATGATAAGAGCCGAATTTTTATCAATAAATTTGAACTTTTTAATTTTAAACTCATGTAATTAAGTAAATTGATAAAAGATTATTGATTTATCATTTCTTCTGCTCTTAAAGTTTTTACTATTATTTGTTATAAAATTTTAATGAAGGGATTAAACACTGATTTTTTCAAAACTTGATAATTTTTACAATTCTCTAAATTTTAATTTACACAGTCTAAAATTATTCTTAATAAAGAACAGCATTTATTATGCAAATTTATTAGAACTTTTTCATTCCAATCCATTTCAGGACAATTTAAAAGGCTGATTCCCAAAATTTCAAGTAAATATTCTACTTAAGAATAGTGAGATACCATTTATAAATTGTCTTAAATTTATTGTTAGCTGCATTTTGAAAAGAATTCTTAAAAATTGTAATATGATTCATTTATTTGAGGTTATGCTTTTTCTAAATTGTCACCTAAATACACTTCCCAATTTTCTAAAGTAAGCAAACACTATTTTAATATTTTATGATGATTATTAAATTCATCATTTTAAGAGAACCATCTATATACTGTTATAAGTTCATTTTTGAAATCGAATGTTGGAAATTCAAAAAATTTTAATAAAGATTCAAAAAAACCATTTATGATTAACTTTGACAAAAAAGAATAAGTAAAATTATGGAACATATTAAAACTTAACATTGATAGATTCTAAATTTGAATTATTATCGAATAATAATCTTAATATATATTTGAAATCTTTAATTATTTTTTTTTTTCATTTAAATTCATCCATAATTATTTTATGATATTATTCAGTATTTCACACACTTAATTTTGAGCTTTAAAGATTTTTTATGTAAATTTACCTATACACTATGCCAAAGTACATAATTATTCTCTTTACACATGTATATTATTAATTAAAAAATAGTACAAAATATTGTCCAAGAATTAAAGTCCATATTTGTTGAACTATTCATAACCTTCTTCTTTTAAAGAAATGCTAGTGTAAAATGAAAAAATAGCCATCATCATTTGTTTATTAATTTTTTCAATACTCAAATTTGAAATGAGTTAGTTTAATGTTTAAGGTAAATAAGAATCAATTAATCTACCTATTAAAGTAGGTACTTCATTAGCTAAATAGAAGACTAATATTAAAGTTTATTAGATTGTTTCATAAAAATTAGGATTAAATTCTATTAAATTTTATAGTTTCTTAATTATCTATGATTCAGAGATTTATCTTGCATAAGTTGGGCCATTACCTCCATTTGATCTTCTTCCTAAATCATCTTTAAAATGTTCATTTAATGATTAAATGCATGTTGCAATAATTTAATCAGCTTCTTCACTTGTAATCTTCAAGTGACCATCCTAAATTGGTTTTAAAATTTAAGTACTAAACTAAATCTAATTTTCAACAATATCAATAAGATCATTAAAAATTCTTTTATCTTTTTAAATATCATCCTGTCTAGATATTCTGCTTAAAAAGATAATGGCAGCTTTAAAAGTTTCAGGAGGTAATAATAGTCTATTATCTTACATTGAAAGTGATTTAATTAAAGCAGAAGAAGAAGCAAGAGCAATATTGCTTCGGTTTAATAAAAGTATTGCTGGTTCAGTTGAGAATATTTCAAATATATTTTTTGCTAATTCTTGATTTCTTGCGCATTATTCACTTAAAAGAGTTGGAAAGTATTCTAATCGATAAGTTTACTCTATATCAATAAAAACAGAATGCATAGATAAAACATCATAAATTAATTATAAAAATATTTCGTCGTAATTTTTGACAATACTAAAAGCTACATTATTTTCATTTTCTTTTTCAATTTTTGTAATTTCATTCAAAGTTAAAAGTATATTTGACAATAATTGAGGTTCTACTGTTTTCAATTAAAATAATTTCATGAACATTCTAAAATGTAATTCATATTCTAATTATTCTTCAAAAACTTGATCTAACAAATCTTCACAATCCTTTTCTAAACAGAATTAACAAAGAAGCATATACATAAGGAGAGATTTTACCTGTAGTGTTATTACAAAAGTTATTGTTTAAATTTTATTGGATTATAATCCTTTATGGATAAGGATTTTATATTTGATGGCATCAATTAAAGGACAAAAATTTTAATCTTGAGCATCCAGAAATGATTTAGACAAATGAAGGGCCGCAATGGAATTCACTTCTGTAATTTTAAAATTCTAATAATATTGTTGACACTACTCTAATAAAAATTGGCTGATGTAATTCTTTCTTGTGTAAACCATTTATGCACAAATCTTGATATGATTCATTCAATAAAGATGGGTCCATGTACTCTAATATCAATTAAGGAAATTCTTTTGGAGTTTCACTAAGGTTTTTATATTGAGGATCTTCATTAAAATAATCTATCAAATCTATTTTTGTAGAAGATAAATTGTTATAATGATCAAATAGAATTCTCGTAAAATAAATTACTCTTGGAATGTACTCTTCTAATTAATTAAATAAGGATTCATTTTTAGGATTTTTATAGAGTTTTATCAAAATTAACATTATTTTTTCATATACAAATAAACTATCTGAATTTTCTAACATCTTAAATAAATGATCAAATGAATTAAACAAAAATCTAATCTAATTTTATTTAATACCGATAGCAATCGAATTCCATCATACAACTAATAAGAGTGAGCAACATTTAACATTCATAATTAGGATTTTCTTAAATTTAATTAGCTGCTATTTCAATCTATTAATCAAGCTAATTTATTATTAAAATTAGTGCTCCATTTGACAATTTATGAACTGGATGACTTTAATTATCAACAACTTTCATTAAGTCATCTAAAAAGCTTTGGCTCTGAAGCAAGAATTCTAACATCTAAACTACTATATAGTAAATACTCGCAGTTCAAATTCCTTTGCATTTTGAAATGTCTTTAAGGGAATTTTCATATTTAATTAATACTTCGAAATTTTAAATAATGATGCATATTTTTAATACAGAGATTTATATAACATATTATTATAATTCTTTGTCTATATATTTATAAAATATATTAACATTTTGATATGATTCATAAACTAAAGTTCTGTTCCTTTAATTTTTTAAAAGAAATAAAAATATTTATCTAAATTTATTTATCATTATTGTTATAATTTTGTCTGAACTATTTTTGTCAATAATTTTATTTTACACAGTTTTATTTTTTAAATCAGGCAAATTCTTCCTAAAATTATGAACAAGTTATCAATAAATTTACAAAATTTGAAATATTACTGTGATTTCAATATTGAACTATTATATAAAATTGCTATGGGGTCAAAAAAGTTATTAATTAATTTGATTTTAATGATTGAACTTATCCTGTGAATATTGATTTTAAGATAATTTTTGAATAAATGTAATTTTTGTATTCTATTTTTAATAATTTTAGTCATGAAATTAATATTATTAGAATTCATGAATTACAAAGTTTAGACAATTTCAATTCAGTAAATTAATTAAAGAATTTCGATGATCAGTAACAAGTTAGTATAGAAAAAGTATATGGATTTAAAAAGACTCATAATAAAATTTAAAGATTATAATATGAATTCATAATATTTCAATAAGATTAATTAAGAAGATGATTTCTAGTGAAAGATCAATAACAAAGAATAAGGAATGTTTCAATCTCATTTGTAAATAGAATTATATTTCTTATACAAAGTCATTAAAATTAATTCAATTTATTTAAATTATTAATAGAGGTGTAGGATTTCAATATTTCAGAGAATTTTTTTATATGATATATATATCTATATGTTTCTTTCTTGTCTGAAATCATTTAAATAGAGTCATTCCTAAAAATTTATTATCATTTAGTTTTCTTATTTACATAAGAGATATTTAAAATTAAATGGTAATAGGAAGATGTTTTTAATTGAAATTTATTCTTAAAATGAGCTAATTTGGATATGATCATAAAAAAAATAAGTATTTTGTTTGTAAAAATAATATAATCATTTTTTGATAAATAATTAAATAAATATATATTTAGATGAGAATAAATTAATATGCTTGTATTTCTCTAACTTAAGATTATTAAAAGAAAGGAGACATTCCAGATTGTAATGACTAATGGATCATTTTAAATAAGTAATTAAATTATTTATTTTTTTAGAGCGCAATGCATTAGACACAAACTTTAAGAGTATGAACCAATAGTGGGTCCAGGAAAATTAGATTCTTAGAATACTGTAAATTAGTTTACAAATTAAACACCAAATTCAAGTTCTATTTTTACTATTCTAAATGATAAATTATTGATCGCTTATAAATAGTAGATTTTGTAATATGATTGCATTTCAGATTTATTTTCCACTAATAAATATTAAATTTGTATGCCATAATAATAGCTTACAATAACATAAGGAAATGTAATTTCATTGCATTCAAATTAAAACCAATTAATCGTAAGAACAGATAATGGAATAATATTATATAAGTATAATAACTCAAATGTATTTAAATAATTTAAATATTTTAGTTTACAATTCTAAAAACTTACAATTATTAAAATATTAAATAACTTAACATTGAAAATAATAAGCTTTTTCTTTGTTTGGCTGATAAATTAGTAGAGATTAACTTAATAAATTATAAAGAAGATATTTTAAAGAATGATAATAAAATAGCCGCTGGTTATCTGAATGGTTAAGACTATTATTTTATTTGTGAAGATTCAAATTAAGTAAAGAATCTCAATCCTTAAAAAAGGTTTGAATTGGAAATTTCAAAGAATATAGTGATTAAAGCTATATTTGTAATAAATAAATTCATTTGTGTTTGTGGTTATGAAACTAAATTTGAACCAATGGATGAAGATGATGAAGAACCAGCAACATATAGTGCTCATATAATTTGGTTTGACATGAGTTGTAATTAACCTATAAGAGAATGTGGACATTTAGAAGTAGATTTGATTTCAGATACAAATAACAAAGGTGATTTTGGAATTGTATAGATAAGTGATTTGCATATAGTTTATGGAAGTAATTTAAGAATTGCTACTTTTTGGACATTAGATAAAATTTGTTAATAAGCCAAAAGATATGAGAATTCAGACGAAAAATTAGAATTACTTTAACATTCAGAAATTAGAGGATTTGCAATTTATAAATCTAATCCTTTTATTGGTTTTGGAATGAATCAAAAATCTTTTCGTTGTATTGAAAGAAATCCTAATATTTGTGTCTTAGATAAAAAAGGAGGATTATAAATGTATGAATTTCTTAATTTTAAAAAAATCATTGATTATTAAATTAATTAACCATAACCTAATAATAGTATGCTTATCAATAATAATTAATTTATTAATTAATTTGGATTTGCTAATTCTCAAAAATTATAAAAAACTTGGGAAGATATTAAATTTACATTAATAGAAAGTTTAAAAAAGGAAATAAATGTAATTGCTAATCCACCATTTAATTTATAATTGGTAACATAAAATTAACATTCCCAAATGGTATTTGGTTCAGGAAAGATTAATTATGTTTTTCGTTTGCATTAAAATACAAATCCATCAGCTAATTTGGCTTTAGAATATAAACATTATTAGATTATAGGACATGAAAGGGAAATAATAATATTGACGCCAATCATTTTAGAATAAATTTTATCAGATTAATAGCCTAAACCTTAGATTTAAAAAATAACATCTAATCCAAATGAAACTATAAACAGTTTAACTTTATTCATGAATAATATATTGATATAAACAAATACTTGTTTATATTTAGTTAACGAGAAAGATGGTTAATGGAATATAAAATCTCTTATAACTTAAAATGATATAAAGAGAGTATAAGTTTTAGAATAATATATTTTACTCAAAATATCAAAGAATGGAATATAATAAGTTCTCTATGAATATAAATAAGAAAACTTCTAGTATAAAGCATCTTATAATAGTGATGCAGGATGTCTCTTTTAATTAGATGGATAGATTTAATTGCTCTTAATTATAGATGATTAATTATTTATATCCAAAGACTTTGTAAAATAACAATTAGTTTAAATCGATATTAAAATAATGTAATCTAAGGATTATTTTATTGCTTAATTGCATGAAAACCATATTTATATATCTTTTGCAAATATTAATGAATCTGAATTTAATCATTACATACTTTAATATGATTCAGAAAGAAATTAAGCTAAATAAGAAGAACATCTAAAAGATATATTAGAAAATCTAAATATAAATGATCACCTTACTGAAATAACTGAACTTGATTGGAATATAAGATAAATTAAAACCATTAAAGCAAAATTTATAGTAATATTTCCAAATGGAGTATAAGAAGGATTTATTTTCTAGGTTTGTGGAAATGATTTACGTACAATTGATAATGAATAAAGTGAACCTATTTAATTATCATCATATTGTCATTATGTTAAAGGAATCTCAATACTTAATTATGTGCTACCTAGTGAGGAAAAATTAGGTTAAAAACCTGGGTTATGTCTAGCAAAATAATAAAAAGATTTTTAATATTAAATGCAACCTTCGATATTAATATATGAATTTGATGAAAAAAGTACTTTAACTATTCATAGATTATTGTTGATAAAATTAGATTAATAGGATGATTCAACTCCTCTTTTGTTAACTTATGAAGAAAAGTAATAATCTAATTAATCAAATTTAAAATAATAAAAAACACCTGAAAAATAATAAGATAATACTTAAAAATAAGTTTAACAATAACTATAACCTCCAAAAAGAATAATTTAAGTTACTAATTAATTATAAGAATTGTGTAAATAATCTGTAAAATAATTAAATGAAGAATAAGATTTCGATCTTATTATGAAACCCTATTTTCCAATTTTTACATCATAAAAATTTTTAGATTAATTATATGTTTGTTATAATTAATTGGAGAATTAAAGAAAAACAATGAAATAAAAAACAAGAATAAATTCTTCAGTATAGGATTTTTATTAACTTAGAAAATCATTTGAACTTCCAAAACTTGAATTCCGTTATGATTAACTTTAAACTACTTTAACTTAATTATCAAAAGTAGAAGAGTAATTTTCATGGATATGTAATTTTGTTATTAATACTTTACAAATGAATCCTATTAGAAGAAATAAAATAACATTTGGAGAGTTCGAGTTTCCAAGTATTCATCATATAACACCTAAAAAATAAACAAGCAATTAAAAGGCCAAAAATGGAAGAAAAATAGTATTCTCTGAATTTTATGATTAAGAATCATAAGCAGAATAATAAACTTCTTACATTGAAAGATTGTGCTAATCTCATAAATCAAAAATTAAATATTTATAATTAAATATTGAATCTAATAATGATAATACTGATATTAATATTGCATAATTTGCTATGTAGAAAAGCTCTTTTGGAATGCCATCATCAAAATATTAAAAATCATATTAAAATGTTGATAATGATGGTTAAGAGGATTAAAATGATTATTAATTTGGTTATAAATAATAATTAGAAATTAATTAGAATTAAAAAAAAGAAATTTTAAATAAAAAGAACGAAATAAAAAAATAAAGTGAATATGATTTATTAAATAAAAATAATAGATTTAATAATGAATCAGATTAAACTGCAGAAAGAAAAAGTGAAATAAGTTCTTAACAATAATTTTCAGATACCAATAATAAAGTTTTAACTAGAACAAAAGGAGGAATTATTAATTAAGGAATTGATTAATAATCATCATTATCATTAAGAGATCCTTTATAATCAGAAACTAATAGTATTGCAGAATCTCAAATTTTAGCTCCATTTAAATAAAAAGTAGAGTCAAAAGAAGTTAAATAAACATTATTTGAATAATGTCTGAAAACAGATAATTCATAATTTGTGTTTGGCTCTAGTTAAATTTTAAATCCAACCTAAGAAAAAATGCCTTAAAAAACAACAAAAATAGAAGAACCATAAAAATAAGAAGGTGCAATTTTTAATTTTTCTTCTGTATCATAAGCACTTTCAAAATAAGATGATAAATTTAATTCCTAAGTTGAAAATACAAATAATTAAATATAATCTCAAAATTAAAAAGATTCACTTAATCAAGGTAAATCCTAAGGGCTTTTTAATCTATAAACTAATAAAACTGAAGTTCCAGGAACTTCTTAACCTCCAAAAGCAGATACAACATCAATTTTTGCATTAGCTAATTCATAAACATTAAATTAAGGTTAAAATGAAAACCCTGTTGAAAAGTAATAGAAACCAATTCAATAGTAGCCTTCATTATTTAATTCGAATATTGGAAATGGAACTTCTATATTTTCAGGATTTGGTTAAAATGTTTAATCTTCATCTGCATTTTTAGGAATTAATGATGGTCTTAAAGATGCTCCTAAAGATACATCCCAATAAGACTAAAATAAGAAAAAAGAAGATGAACCATTATTAAATTAAGTATAAGGAACTTCAATTATTAATAATAATCAAGATAAATCAGGAAGTTAAGAATAAAAATAAATTCCATAGACTACAACGCAAACATAAGCCTCATCTTTTAGTTTTAATTTTGGATAGACAAATGTTTCTAATTAATAAAGGTAATATGAATGTTTTTATATATTATTAGCATTTCAAATTAACCATTAGCTCCACCTTAATAAATTCCACCTGCTTCTTTATTTCCATTAGGATAATAAGAAATTAAATATGATACTTTTAAGTAGAATTAACCTTCTTCTTTTTTGCAAACATCTAATAATTAGGCATTCTAAGGATTATAATAAACAATAGGATTGCCATCTTAATTCAATTAGAGTGGACCACTGAATCTTAATGCAGCTAGTTTTGGAAGTTCAAATAGTATATTTGATTAGAAAAATTCAGCCCCTCCACCTTAATAAAGTATTTATTTCTTATTATTATTATTTTAGAAATCACTTTTAGTAATCTCTAAAATTAAAATGCACCTAATAGCATAGGTGGATTATTTGGCTAAACAACTTCAGGTGGATTTATATAAACTGGTGCATTAAATTATGGATTTGATAGTAAATTTTATATCTAATTTTATAGCTAATTCAGAAAAACCAAGAAAATGAAAATTATACATATATCAATATTAAGAAAATGTTATATATATTTATTCAAACAATATAATATTCTTAATTCATATTTTTAGCTTATTAAAATCATTCTATTATTATTAGATAATATTAAAACTATTTTATAATAAATTTTAATAGCAATAATAAATTATCATCTAATATTAAATTTATATGATAATTTTATTTTTTATAATAGTATATATTTAATTTAATTTATTAAACAAGTTAACAATGGACTTTACAGGTTAATTTAGACTTGATGAAGATTCATTAAATTTTAATGTATTTTAGACACCTGTAAAGGATGCAATTTAAGGTAAAAAAATTTAAAAACAAATTTATGAATTAATTCAATTAATCCATATATTAACGCGCACTTATTTTGGCGCTTATATTATAATTTGGTGGCAATATTATTTATTTTAGATTTTGAAGGCCCTTGTGATTCTAAAGCAAATACTAATAAAAAATTGTTTGTTTAGAATGAACCTTTTGAAATCAGCAAAATCTAATTTGATTCTTCAAAATAAACAAAAAAATGGAGTCTCAAATATATTAGTAATAGAGTTGAAAAAGAACTATAAAATTAAACAGTTGGATATTAAGAAATATGCAAAAAGCTAACAGAAGAAATGAGTAAAGAAATGGAAGGCCAATCTAATTATGGATTAAAAGATATAAAAAATTTAAGAAGAAGAGTTTATGATGCTTTAAATGTCATGATTTCAGTTGGAATAGTAATTAAAGAAAAGAAAATGATGAGAAAAAATCAAGAAAACTAAGTAAGCTTTACAAAATAAAATTTAATAACTAGAAAGGTATATTTAATTATTTAATTTAACAGCAAAAAATAAAAGAATTATTATTATAAAAAAAATAATAACTAACACATTCTATAAAAAAGTAGTAGGCACTTTAGAATTTGATTTAGTGTAACAAAGTTAGAGAAATAAATGAACAAGAAAAAATCAAGTTTCCATTTCTTTTAGTCAAGACTTAATTAACAAACTCAGAAGATGTACATAATAAAATAATTTTAGGAAGAATTAATATTAGAGTCTCATAAATCTATGGATTATTTGAAAATTTAAAGTAAGAATGAATTATAGATTTTTGGAATTCTGAGCATTGCTTAATAATTGTTTCAAAATTAATAATCTTAAAATTGAATATTTTATATTATCTAAGATTATTTTAATATTATATATGATAAATTTTTCTTAACAAACTAATAATAATAACAGTAATTTATTTCTTCAATAAAATGAATTATTCTAACTACTCTGAAAAACATAGAAGGAGTGTGTCCCCAATATTGAAGACTACTAGCGAGGATAGGAAAATGCTCCATCATAATAAAGAAAATTACATTTAGTATCTTGAGTAGCAATTAGAAAAAGTATAAGTATTTTTAATCAATAGACAGCAACTATGGTTCATAAAAAATATGAATAGAGAATGAGAGGAATAGAATAATTGATTGAGGATCATGATGAAAAACTGAAGAACTTTATCAAATTAATAAAATTATTGTAAAATTTTGCAGAAACCTAAGAATAAGAAAATACTAAGATTACTAGACATATAAATACAAAAATGGAAGAGTTGTATCATAATGAATTAAGAAATATTAATGAATAATTACATGAATCACAATATCGATTAGAATTATTGGAAGCAACTCAATTAAAGGAATAATAACCTGTTTTTGAAGATTTCGAGAAATCTATAAATCGTAAAATCGATCTTATGATGAGTGAGATTAGATAAAGTGCATTAAAAGTAGATTATTAGAAATTAGAATAACGAATAGCTAAGCTTGAAACTTAAACAGATACAGAAGTTAAGATTTAAGATACTGAAAGATTGCATCATGATAAGATAGTTGAATAATAATTAAGTGATTTAAAATCACTTATGGATAATTTACTTAAAGATCAAGATGTCTTAAAAAATAATGTTTAAAATATACATATTGACTTAAATCAACTAAAAAATTTATCTTAAACTTAACCATAAAGATAATCAAGAAAATCAATAGCTTAATAATCTGAAGGTGAATCGATAATGAAACCAAAGTTATCAGCTAAAGATAATATTAAAACAGAAAAGAAAAATTAAAGTAAAAAATCACTTAGTCAATCATAATCTCATAAGAAACCTATTGATAAAAAAAATTAAAAACTGAATTAGACTAAAACTAATAAGCATAGATTACATTCGAAGAATTGATCAAACATAATTTTGTTAACTAAATAATATTAGTTTTCTTTTTATTTATTATATTATAACTTATTAGTTTTAAAATGAAAATTTTAAAATAAAATTCTTAATCAAACAGATCAATTATTTATATCATTGCATTTTGTTTATTAAATTTATTACTAATTATAATTATATCATAAAATTAAAAAAGGAGAGAGATTATTTAATTTAAAACAAATTATTATAATATTTTTTAATCATTAAAGCTATCAATAGAAAAAAATTAATCTTTCAGAATAGATTGCATTCTCAATCTCAATTAAATTAATTATATTTTTATTAAATTAATAGAGACTTTATATTATCAAATCTTTATGGTAATATATAAAATTTCAGAATATAAGTGTTTAGATATCAACATTTTTTTCAATTATTTTTAAAATTGATATTATCAAATTGAATGGCATCAATAGAGTAGTTTTCAAAAGCAGAGAATCTATAATAAATGCATTAAAATGATTCTTTAACTCCATCACATTAATCTGATTCTTCAGATTCTTCTTTTGATTTTGCTTAAGAATTAAATCAAAAGCCTTCATTTAAGAGATCTCCAGAAGAAGAGAAAGAGCTTCTTTATAAATATAAAGGTAATAAGTTTTAAAATATAAATAAATAGGAAAGCATGGCCTTAAATATGCAAAAATATCAAATTAATAACGATAAAACTTAATAAAATAAGTGACATCAACAGGCTGTACAATAAAAAATGCAGCTAAAGATTTAAATATCAATTTTTCAACTGCTAAGGCAATTATGTAGATTTATAGAAAAGAAGGTCGTATATAAAAGAAAATCAAGAGAGAAATCAAGATAGAGAATAAGAAAAACCAGAAAACAAAGTAAGAAATTCTTAACTTAAGTATTTACAAATTTTTAAATTGTTTAGCCACTTCTGATAAACCAAATTATGGTGAATAAAGACAGAAAGATATTATAGCTGTTTAAGATATTTTATAAACTAATCTTTATCAATAAGCAGAAGAGACTTATAGGAGATAGGCTCTATTAATTTAATAATTGAATACATAAGTAAATAAACTTAAATTAAAAAAAATTAGAATTAATTATTATCAGGCCGAGTACAGTAATTACAATAGGAAAAATAATAATTAAATTAAAATTACTCTTATTTATCTTATTAATGTAACCAATTATAATAGAGGATAACGATTCTTAAATCTAATTCTTAGATGTAATAAATTATGCCTTCATATTATCAACCTTATCCTTAATTATGATCTTATATTAATGTATTAAAAATTGTATTAAACCAAATTAATTAAAAAAAAATGACAATTTAAATAGCTTCTTATGTTTAAAAATCATTCTTAAGTTTGTGTCTAATCAAATCAATTTTAGATTGTCATTATTTTTATTTTAATGATATCAATTTTTATTATGAAACTGAAATAGAAAAATGAAATTATTAATTGTTCAAAAACAATTGTACTTTTTGCAAAAATTTTATAAGATTAAAAACATTTATCAGTTCAATAAATTTAGTTGATTTCCAACAGTAACAAAAGTAATAAATTATTGATATATTATTATAAGATAAAATTGATAAAATAAATGAAATATATAAAATAATTAATAATTGAAAAAGAATTTATTGATAAGTGTGTAAATATGTTAATTATAATGAAAATTTAAATGAATTAATTTCAATGGATAAGACAATCTAAACAATGATCGAATGCATATCTGTTTTATTGATGTAATTTATATTTAAGAAATTTGAGTGGATTATTAAGTACTTTATGTTGTTCAGGCATATAAGAATCATAAAATTTTAATTTATGGTATTCTAATTGTTCATAAATATTGCCAATTGGATTTACATTATGAGAAGCTTGATTACCCGTTGAATTTAAATGAGGAATATTATAACTAAGACCTCCAGATGATTATTAAGAAGTATTTGGAACTTTAAATTAATTTGATGTTTAATTTTATTATGCATAATTTTTCTGTTAATTTTAAGAGCGAACATTTGTTCCAAGTGCTTCTGAAACACATATACCTTAGTTTTATGAATTATCATCTTAATTCTTAAATGAATGTAAAGAAATTTGATAAGGATCCGATCTATCAGATCCTAATTCTAATTGTAAATCTTAAATTTTTTGTTTAAATTAGTATATATGATGAGTTAAATCGATATTCGTAGTTGAATCACTATTTTTTTTAGAAAAACGAATGATTGATTTGCTATGCTGCTCATCAATTTAAGTTAAATCAGCAGCTTAAATATTACTTATATCAATTCCTAATTTATGTAATTAAGATTAATCTAAATCTATAGCAGAGTCTTCTGAGATAGATTATTAGTCTAAATCAGCAAGTGTTAATGCTCTGGCATTTTGAGAAGGTTTTCTTGAGTTATTGGGATTCATGTAATAAAAATTAGCTGTTGAAATTAATTAAATAGATTATATAAAGTATTGGTTTATATAGTATTGACAGTTAATTCAATAAGTAATTTAGAATTAATTAATATTAACATAATGGAAATCGATTAAACATGTACACAACATCCGAAATAAAAGATTAGCTGGGTTTGTTTAGAAAAATAGTGTTCTTAAAGAGTTATGTGTTCAACTTGTGCTGTTAAAATCCATGAAAAATCACATAAAGTATTTTGAATTGACATTTAAAAAGTTAGAAGAACTTTCAAATTTATTAGAAAATGGTGTGTTATAAATGTATTAAAGTAATAACAAAAATGTAAGTGCAGGACTAAAATATTTAATAAATGGAGAACCAGAGTTAATTTAAGAAGAAAATAGAATTGGAAATGAGAATTATTATTTTTAAAGTGTTATAGAAAGAAATTTAAAAGGAGTTTAAAAAAAAATAGATGCTTTTAAAAAAGAATTTTAAGATAAATAAAAGGAGATTAAATAAAACCACTAAGAAGAGAGAAATAAAATTTTTAATGAATTAGAACAATTAAATTAAAAAATTAAAATTTCAGAGGATGTTGGAAATGATATTGAAGAAGCTTTTAAAAAGATTTAATCTTATGTCAATCATAAAGAATATGAATTTAAAAATAATAAAGAAGGAGAGATTGTAAATAAAAAGTAAATTTAATAATATCAATATGTAGAATTACACTTTTAAACTTAATGAAAGATAACTTTATAAGAATGATAAAAACTTATTTTAGTAATGCTTTTACAATTGAATTCTGTAAGTTATTTGATATGTAAATGGAAACATTAAATTCAAAGGAAGTTTAAGATGTGAATGGTTTTTTAGATTATGTAAATAGCAAATGGAAACAAGATTATAAGAACCTGTAGACATCAATAGAAAAATTTGTATAAAAATTACATGAAGGACTTAAATATATAATTTAATTACCATTATAAGAAGAGAAAGTAATTATAATAGAAATAAATATTTAGCCTTTAAAATAATAAATAGTTGTTCCATAATTTACTTCTCCTGCTAGAAATCCAGTGTAATATTAACAATAAACTTAATTTGTACCATTAACACCTTTTAATTAAGTGCCATCTTAATTTTAATTCCATTAATAAATTGCACAAACAGGTTAAAGAGTATATTAAAATTAAAATTAATTCCATTCAGCCCAAGTACAAAATGTTGAAGTAGAAAATGATTACTTTACATAATCATAAATAATCTATGAAGAGCCTTAAATTCGCAATAACACAAGACCTGATTTTGTTAGTTAGAGTTTATAATAATATTAATGATATAAAATTTATAAGAAGCAGAAACACCAATCAAAAAGAAAATAAATATTGAAGATTTTATCAAAATTTAAGAGATGGGTGATGGAGCATATAGTAAAGTCTTTAGCTGTTAAAAAAAAGAAGACGTTTAAAAAGGAAATAGTAATTAAAGTCCAATCTATGCAATTAAAATTATTGATAAAAATTTCATGAAATTAGTATTAATATACTTATAAGTCAGAATAAAAAACAACATCATGCATATATAGAAAAAGAAATGCTTCAATATTTAAAATATGATGGAATAATCAAATTACATTCAACATTTTAAGATAAAAATAATCTGTATTTTTTAGTTGAATTAGCTTAAGATTGTTTTAGTGAATTCTTAAAACTTTATGGCAGTATATAATTTATTGATAATCTAGATTAAAAGTTAACTAATAATATTATATAATTTTATACAGCCGAAATTGTATCCATTTTAGAATATGTTCATTCTTAAGGAATAGTACATAGAGACATAAAAGTAAATTTTAAATTAATTTAAGCCTGAAAATCTACTAATAACTGCAGAGAGACATTTAAAATTAATAGATTTTGGAACTGCAGTTATTTATGATTAAGAAAAAGTTCCACAAAAAATAGTTTAAGCTATTGATAATTACAGAAAAGATTTTGTAGATACAGAACGAAAAAGATAAAATAGTTTTGTAGGAACAAATGCATATTTAACACCAGAAATGATCTCTGATGAACCAGTTGGTCCTGGAACTGATTTATGGGCTTTGGCTATAATAATGTATAAAATGTATACTGGAACTATACCATTTAAAGCTGATAATTAAGAAGAGTTATATTAAAAAATTGTAGAAGATTAAATAATCTTTCCATAAGTATATTAATTATTCATTTTTTGTTAAGAGCATTCCTTAATTAGCATAGGATTTGATGAAACTATTTTTAGAGAAAAATCTAAATAATAGATTAATTGATTATTCTAAAATAAAAAGCCATCCTTATTTTAAAGAAATTGATTTTAATAACTTATGGAAAATGATTCCACCTTAACCTGTTCAAATATATAGAGATCAAAGAAAATCAAAGACTTTTATCTAAGAACCTATTTCTAAAGTTATTTATTAGGAATTAGTTGAAAAAGATTCTGGATGTAAACATATATTAAAAAAATAAGTTCTAATATCTTACTTTTCTCCAAGACTACTAGTGCTATAAATTATAAATGATATTCCATCTATTCATTATATAAATCCAAAATTGAATGATAAAAAGACTGTAATTCATGTTACTTAATTTTTAAAATATTAATTGATTAAACAAGATAAATTTGTTATAATTGATGAAAAATAAAAATATATTTTTAGGGTATGATTAAAATATATAAATTTAGTCTTAAAATGCTAAGAAATGGATCTAGCTAATTGGTGAAACTTTGAATTATGGTACCAAATGATCTAATAAATTTATATATGATTAAGATAATTTTTAAAATAATAAGATATTTTTATTATTTCATTTCTATTGATAATTCTAATTTTAGACAAATAAAAAGAATATAAAGAATTTAAATTAAATTATCGTGCGATTTTCTTAAGTAAACTAAGTTTTATAAAAAGTTCTTAAAATTAGAATAAAAGAGAAAGATCAACTTTACGCCAAAAATTAAATGTCTTAATTTGAATGTTTGATAAATTAAATTAGGATAATTCCCTAATAATTTTAAGATAAGGAATGTCTAAATTTAGAATATTTATTTGTTAATTTTTTGGAGACTTAAGAATTCATATTAGTTTGAATATGGAAAATGTTCAATTTTAAGAATTTATTTTAATTTTTATAATAATTAATATAGAGAACATACCTCAATAGTTTATAAACTTTGATAGAATTCATTTATAAATAAAACATAGATTCCCCTGAATAATTTACAATTTTTCTCTTAATTCATTTTAAATTCCTAATGATGAAAATTTTTTAATCTAAAAAATCAAATTCTTTATGGTTATCTTTAAGTTTGTATGCTAAAAATGATTTAAGTCATATTCTACTGTTTTTATGAATTATTTATGTTTACCAGACATATAATTTAATTTAATAGAACATATTTGCAAGTAACAGTTCGATTATAATGTATATTATAATTTAATTAAATTAATAGTATTGCTATAAATATGAATAACCATAAATAACTACAAGAAATCCCTGAATTTTACTTGAACTAGGATCCCTAACGATTTAATTTGTAAGTTAAATAAAGAAAATCCTTAAATATAGTGAATAGGTGGAGGAATTAATATAAGAACAATCTAAAAAATTTTCAATGCATAAGTAAATTTATTAAAATTTTAAACCCTGTTTTAATGTTGATCGTAACCATTTTATTATTTGCGTATGTTGGACTCATTTATTATAATGGTTAATCAAACTAAGAAGTTTATGAATAATTCTTATAGAATTAAAATCAAGAAATAATTGCTGGTATTTATATTGAATGGTTGTCTTCAACTTGTTAAGCTCCGTATGAACCTATTTTTAATTATAACTTTGATTAATAAATTATAGGTTGCGATTGTAGTTAAACTAATTAACAAAATATTTCAGTTGGGAAAGAATGCAACTCATTCCTTTTGAAATAGGGTTGTTTTACTTTTCACCAAAGACTTTAATAAAATTTAACTTAGTTAAATAATAATGGCTATGGAACTTGTATTTCTTAATAATTATTTTATAGCATTTATTATTTGTGTAAAAAGAGAAAAGAATGTTTCTTTAAAAAATAACTAAACTTATTGTTAGTAAGAACAAAGGACTGTATGTGGAAAAGATTTGAAATATTGCTTACCGATAAATGTTAATTGCCCTATAACTGAATTTGGAATTAGATCGTTTGCAGATATTGATGAATAATATATTGATAAATCAATAAATCTTGGAAACAGATAATTTTTTTATTTTGGATATAATGAGAATATACTTCCTATATCTGAAGTTTTATTAATTAAAGGTGATAAAGTCTGTAAATTAAATAAAAACATTTATTAGTAAGTAATTTAATATGAAAATAAGGAAAAGTTTTGCTCATATTTTGATCCTCTTTATAAAAATGTATATACAATATCTGAGGAATAGTTTTTTTAATCAAATAATTTAATTTAATATAAAAATGAGTTGAATTATTTTTATGTCAATAATACTCAAAATTGGACATTACAAACTAAATCTTATACCCTTATTTCAGATGAATGTTAAGATTAAGATTTCTTTAATAAAATGCTAACTAATGAATATGAAGCCTAAATAAATAGGTAAAAGTTAAATTTATTTATTTTAATAACAGTATTTAGTTCATTGCTTTTTTCAAGCCATTTTTCTATTTTTTTTAAATTTATTGAAAACTGGTCTTAAAAGATGAGAATATTAATAGTTTAAATTCCTTTAATAGTTATATATTTCGTTGTTGCTTTATTACTTATACTTAATCATATTTGGATTGATGAAATTATATAAGAAGTTGCTTAAATATAAAAGATTCCATGTATATTATTTGATGAAGCAAATAACTATTTAAAATCTTTTGTTGAAGATCATTCATTTTCAAGCTTTTAAAATGGCTTCAGAATTTTCTTAATAGTAATATTAATAACATTTTCAGTATTTGAGTTTATAGTAATGATTTTATTATGGTTTAAATGTTAAAAAAATCCACAGAACCTAAATGTTACTGCATGATTTTATTTTTAAAAACAAGTTTAAAATATAATTTTATCAAATTTTAATTATAAATTTTTTAATTAAATAAGGTGCTACCTAATTTATAAGAAACAAAACGAAATCTTTATTTAATTTTTAAACAAAACTAAAATCAATAATTATATTTAATACCTAATCTAATTTTAATTATTCCAATTATGATTGAATGCCACTCAATATGGTTTATTCAGTTGCAATTTGATAAGAAAATGAAATTTGGAAATTTGATTATTCTTACATATTATGAATTCTTAATAAATATTCATTATTTTCAAATTTAGATCTTCAATAAAATTTGAAAAATGTATTGCCATTAGGGTTAGAAAATTTAATAGAACTTAAAATAGAATTAAATAAATCAAAATAAAGATTTTAAGCAAATTAATCTTAAGAATAAATTGCAAAAATTTTAATGGGCTGAAAATCTAAAAATAATTAAACTTTACTTGCAAAGCTAGAATTTTACTATTAATCAAAAAATAATAATTTATGAATAATGTCTTATCTAAGTTCAATAATTTTAACACTAAAGATTATCTTTTTTTTCATTACTAGATTCAGTAGCTCTTTATATATCATCTAAATAAATTCTTCTATGAATTATAATTTCAATTTCACCATCATTAAGGCTGGCTGCTCCTTAAGACAAATCATTAATTACTGCCATAACTATCATTAATTACTACCATAACATTATGACTGGCATGCTATGGTAACATTTAATATAGATCCATATACTCAAACCATAAATGCTATATTGCTGCTGGTCAAATAACGTGTCTAATAACAATTTGTTTATCTGCCTAAGGGAATAAGTCATCATTCTTTGTTGGATATAATATTTCATTTGAATATTCATTTATATTATTTATTTAATCTTAAGTAGTTGCAAATTTAATTACAAAATTGCACAAATACAGATTATTTATGTAATTAAAACTAAATTCTTTAGATACTCTTTGAAATGGAAAATTGAATAGTTTCAAATAGCAAAAATATTATTTAGCAATAACTTTCAGAGCCACTTCTATTTTCTAATATTTGGTTTTAAGTTTCAATTGATTCATCGATTCAAATTTCTTTAAATTATTTTTTTAAATCAGTAATTAAAGTATAACATAGTAATTTTTAATTACTTTTTACATTTTAGATATATAGTTTTCCATAAATAACCAAAATCTATGCTGCACCAAAATTATATATCTTTTTCTAATTAAAATTAGGAAACCGCATTTTAATTGTTTAATTTGGATCTTTTCTTTAGTAAAAAGTAAATAAGGTACTGGATTATAAGAATTATAAAAATATCAATGTTAGACTATCTTACTATGATCACAATAAATGATAAAGTATTTCTTCAGTTTTCTTATTGAACATCCACATTAGAGATACATATTATTAAACTCAATCTAATATTTCTCTACATATTAAAAAGAATCTTTACTTCAATCTCCTCTTAAAGATATTCCAAAAAAAAAATAACTGTATTAAGCAAACTAACATTCATTAATTCTCAAAAAAACTTTACTAATAATTTATCCAATAATAAGTATCTCCTCTTATTAAGCAATATTCTATAAATGAATAATCTTTGTATAATTGACCTGATTGGATCTTTTATATTTTTTACTTATTTTTTAGAAATCTATCATTAATCTGAAAAATACTGTAATTATTTAATTCTAGTTATTTCAAATAGCACTTAATGTAAAATCTTAAACATATTAAAAGTATAATTAATTCAAACAAAAATTAATTTTTTCATATTTATATATACGTTAAACATGCTATCATCCTCAAAACTATTTAATAGCTAATCTCAATTAGAATGTAATATTCATTTTCATTTTTTACTTAGAATGCTTACTTGATATTTCAACAAAGATTTTACATGACTCTGCTATTGAATCAAATAAGGATTCTAAAAGCATAGTATTTAGTAGAATTAAAGAAATTACTCTTGAAGCTTTCTCCAAATAGTTTACAGATGAAATTCATCGTTTATAAGCAGAATTAAGATCAGAATAAGCATTAAACGATTAGATTAAAAGAGAGTTTTTAGAAAGAGAGGAAACTATAATCTAAGAATTTGATTCTAAACAAAGAGAATTTTAATTATAACAAATTAGAGAAGTTTAAGAATTACAGGATTTGTTAGAAGCTTCAGAAACATAACTTCAAGTAAATTTAAATTTCAAAATTAGAAATATTAACAATAAAATGATAAGTTCAATAAGCAACTCAAGGAATTACAATCTAAAGAATAATAATTATTAAAAGAGAATTTAATTGCTCAAGAAAATTTGTTATCATGTGATTAACGATAAAAACTATTAAATTCTGATCTAAATGATATGAGATCAAGAAATGAATCTCTGAACTAATTAAATTAATAATTAGATAGATAATGTAGAGACTTTAAAAATGAATGCGAACATGCATTAAAAGAACTAACTGATATTAAAAAGATATCATAATAGTAAATTGAACTCAATATCTAATTGGAATAAGATATAGGTTAATATAAAAATGAAATTGAAAAACTTAAAACTAAAAAAAATCAAGAATTATCTAAGTAAAAAGAGCTACTTGATTAGTTGAAAGATAAAAGTAATCTAAAAATTAATGAATTAAAAAATAAGTTAAAAGAGGCTTAAAACATTTAATAATATCAGTAAGAATAGTTAGATGAATTTTAAGAATTAATTAAAGAATCTGAAAATCAATTAAATTAGTAACAAATTAATCATAAATAACATCTTAAATCAATTGAATAATAATATAATCAATAATTCTAAGACTTAGAATAATAGTTTATAGTTGAAAAATTAAACTTAGAAGAAAATTTAACGACATCTTTTGAATAGGTTATTATAGATAAAGATGAACAAATACAAGATTTAATTAGAGAATCTAAAATTTTAAAAGATAAACTTTGTCAATAAAATTAAGAATTTGAAAAAATGTAAAGGTAATAGTAGAATCTTGAAATGGAAATCAAATAATTAAATGAAGAATTAGATTAGATGAATTAATATTAAGAAGAATCAGAAAATAAGTATAGAAATCTAGAATTAGAAATTACAAAAAAAGATTAAAAACTTAAAGTTTTATTGGCAGAATTAGATGATATTAAAATATTTTAAGAATAAACCTTAAACACAATAAGGGAAAACTAAGACTATATAAGCGAAATTGAAAAGGAGAATTAATAATATTAATAATTTTTACAACATATTTAAAATCTCTTAGATATTAAAATTTAAGGTTCATTTTCATTCTAAAGATTAGGATCAGATATAGAATAAAAATTGAAATAACATAGAGATGATATTAAAAGATGTTTGGAAGAAATAAAAAAGAAAGATGAATAGCATAATTATGAATTGTAAGAAAAAGATTAAAAATTAATGCTATTGTAAGATAATTTCAATGAAGAAAATAACAAGATTTAGTATTAATTCTAAGAATAGTTATCTGAGAACAGAAAATAAAGAAATGAATTTAAATAGAAAATTGAAGAATAGAATAAAATAATCATAGAATTATAAAAAGAAAAAATAGAAAGTAATAATTAAATAGAGTTTTTATAAATTTAAAATTAATAAATTATATAAGATTTAGAGTCAAATAGCGATTAATTAGAATATGCAAAATAAGAAATCTAAGAATTAATATAGAAAGAAAAAATTTAAAATGATGAAATAGTTAAATAGATTAGTATTTTGAATAATGAAAAAAACAAATAAAAAGTTTAACTTGAGGAATATAAATTTAAATATAATACTTTTTAGTAGAGAGTTACGAGAGTTTTGAGTAGATAAAAAGAATTAACAACCATATAGCTTAAAGAATTAAGGAATTTCGTCTTAAATAAGCTAAAGTAATTAGAAAATGATTGTAAATAAATTTTACAAAATTTGTATAAAAAATAACTGATTATTTCAGAAAATAGAGCATAAATGATAGAAAATAAAAAATAATATGAAATAGAATAAATGAATATGGAAATGGAGAAAAAATTGGATAATTTAAAGAAGTAATTTAAGTAATCAGAATAATTAATTTATGAAGAAGGCTAAATAAAATTAAAATAGAAACAATAGTAAATAGAATAATTAATTATTTCAAAAGCTAATGATAATGAATTTAAGACTAAATTATCAATCTTAAATAAAGAAAATGAAGAATTTCAAAAATAATTATAATTACAAGAATAATTATACATAGAATAGAAATAAAATTATGAATTAGAATTGATGAACTTAAATAAATTAATAAAAGAATAACAAGATGAATTGTATTAAATTTTTATAACTTAGAATGTCTTAATAGTAATTTTCTGATTATACAATGAATAAAGAGAGATAATATTTTGAGTAAAGATATTAAGAATTAAAATTAAGATAAGAGAAAAAGGTAGATTAAATTTAATAAGATCATTAATTATAAATAAATCAACTTGAAAGTATAATTTAATAGCCAATGAAAATGAAATCTTAATCTCCAAATAAGAATATTCAAAAATCTCCTATTTAAAAAAGATAACCTACATAATTAAGTAATCATTAATAATATTATCGAGCCAATAAATCATAAAGTTTTGGAAGCCCAAATTTAAATCTAAATTTAGGAATAAAAACACCTAAAAAAGCATTAATTTAAATTGAAAATACAGACAAAACTATAGAAGAATTGAGATTAGAGATTTAGCAATAAAAAGAAAAGCTAAGTCGAATGAAATTAACATTTACAGAGAGTCAAAAAAAGCCATTAAAAAGAAATTGATTACTCTAATTTTTAATAGTGAATTTATATGGTTTGATAATATCAATTAATTTATTCTAATTATGAATAAATATATAAGTAAGGTGATTAAAAATACAAGATAAGAAACTAAAAATCTATGATAATTATTCAAATTAAATTATATAATGATTACGATTAGAAATCGTCATAAAATTACTTCATCCAATTCTGTCTTTTTTTATTTCATTTAGAGTAAAATGAAATCAGATCTTTTGTATGATGGTGCAGTGTCAATTTCTCTTAGTTTCAAAGGACCTTTTTTAATTAATAACTATGTATATAATAGAATATACTTATTATTCATCTTCAGTTTCTTCTAATTATGGAACTTCTACTGGTTATGGAACATCATTTTCATCATCATTTGATTAATCAGTTCTATATTAAGGAGGTAAAGAGTCTTCAGTATTTCCAACAATCATTTATTCTTCTGATTCTTCTTATTCTTCGAGTTCTGGAGGAGGTAAAGAATTTTCATCTGCTCCAACAATTGGTTCTTCTTCATTTTCTGATTAATCTCTATATTAAGGAGGTAAAGAATTCTAATCTCCACCAACCATTTAATGTTCATGTCTTTATTACTATTTAATGATATTAAATATTTACTGTCAAAGCTTCTTTTTCTGCTTCAGTTGTTTTATTATCAATTTCTTTATCATATAATTAATATAATTATGAGAAAATTGCTAATTATTTAAGTAATCTTTCATGTTCTTCAACATAATCTTTATAAGCCAAAACACTATCATTTTTTGCAACTTCAATAGCTCTTTCAATATCTGTTACTCTTTCTCTGCATTATTAAGCACTGTATTCTAAAGCTAATAATTAATCATCTAAATGTTCCTATTTATTATAGATTAATTAATTTTACTAATTATTTCCCTAATTCCACAATCTTTTATTCAAAAAATTCATTTTCTTTAAGAATTCTTTATTTCCATTCAAGGTATGCTAATCCAACTCTAATCATATCAGCTTATGCAACTGGAATATGTGAATTAATTTAAGCTTCTAATTCATCTAATACTGCTAAGATTTCATGTCTAACCTCTTAGAATTTCTTCATTTCAATAGGTCCCATATGTGTTTCAATCATATTTGGGTTTTCTTCTTTCTCAATTTCCATTGTCCTTGTTAATTCCAAAAATTCATATTTCTACTCTTTTATGTCTTAAAGGAATGAAAGTATATTTTTCATAGCTTATGATTTTTATGCAAAAGAAGTGCCTTCTGACACTATTTTTTCAAGTTATTCTTTTACAAATATTGAGACTGTTAATGAAATTTTATCATCTCTCATAGTGTCAACAAAGTTCAAAGATTGTCTGCATTATAGATCTTCTATTGTTTGAATTCTATTTTTATTGACATGAATTCTATGTTAGATCCAAGCTATTAAATCTGACATTTCTTAAATTTCTGTTTTCTTATTTATTACATTCTCATCTCTTCTCTCACAATCAGCCTCTTAATCTACTTTTGTTTATTTTAATGCCTAAATACTAGCTTGTTTCATCTTTATCATATTTAATAATCAATACTTTTTATGTTAACACCCATTCAGCATCTAAAGCTACGATTTGTTCATGAATTTCATCTTTCAGTTCTACAAGTAATTCTTATACATGCTTTATGTCATTATGTGTGAAAACAACACATGCCAACAATGCAAATAGCACTATTTATTTCATCTTATTAATATAATAAAAACGGGTAATTAATAATTTATATCGATTTTTTATTTTATATCCATTAATTTTTCACTTCTCTCATAATTCACATTTATTCTATACCAATTTCATTTTACCTTAAACTCTTATTTATTTAAAATAAACTTTTATTAAAAAACTTCTCAAATTAAAAAAAATTATTCCTGTTTCTAGTATCATATGAATTATTTTAATTTAAAGTTTATAAACTAAAATAAAGTATTCCCTTATTCAATAATTAATATAATGAAAATCATTTTAAAAGTAATAAAGTACATTTTGGCTTGTATTACAATGTTTTTCGAAAAAAATCGTAAAAAATAGTAATCTTTAAAAATAATTGAAAAAGAAGAGAATTATGAAAAATGGTTAGAATTAGCAAGAGAACATGATTAATAAGATTATATATAACAATGGTTACAAAAGGAGGAGAGTAATCTTTATCAGTATAAGTATATAAAGAGTTTGAATCAAAAATTGAAATTAGCAAAAGGAGAAAAAAATATCCCTCTAATATGCCAATTGGTTAGATAAAATGCAAATAGAAATGTAGGGAACATACTTAATCCAAAGCTTTATACTCATGCATATACAAAAACAAAGAACTTAATAGAAGAATTTTAAGAAGTAAATAATTCTTAAAATATTCTTAGGAATACGAGAAATGTTTAGAATTTTTATATAACTCAGAATTTCCTAACAAACTTCAATTTTTTAAAGAGCTTTAAAAAGCAATAGGATAAACTGCTTTATTGTTTTCAGGTGGTGCTATAATGGGATTGTATAGTTGTGGAGTAGCTAATATTTTGGATAAATTAAATATTTTACCTAAAGTGATGACTGGTAGTTCAGCAGGTGCTATATTAGTAAGTTTGGCAGGAACAGCTACAGATATACAAACAATTTTCTAACCAAAGTATTATGATTATTCTATGTTTGAATAAAAATCTTAATTTGATATACTAGAAAAAGTTAGTAAATTATTAACAAAAGGTTATATGTTAGAGAAAGAATAGATGAAACAATTTTTATAAAAAGCATATGGTGATGTTACATTTTTGGAAGCATATAAAAAGACAGGAAAAGTTATGAATATTATGGTAACAGGAAAAGAATGTTCATCATCTGATTGTTTACTTAATTATATTACTTCCCCTAATGTAATAGTTTGGTCAGCTGTTTGTTGTTCTTGTTCTTTACCAGGAGTTTATGGAGCTTCTCATTTATATTACAAAAATGAAAAAGGTTAAATCTATGAAGGAGAAATTAAATATGTGGATGGATCAATTAGTGCTGATTTACCTATGTAATAATTAGCAGAATAATTTAATATCAATTACACTATTGTATCACAAACTAATCCTTGGATTTTTCCATTTTTGACTTCTCATAGAAGTGATCATTCAATCATTTAAAAGATTATTGATAAAGTCTTATAATTTATTTTAGGAGAAATTAAATATAGAATTTAATAGATTATGAATATAGGAATTCTTCCAAAAATGATATGTAGGATGTCTAATCTATTAACATAAAAATATGAAGGAAATATTACTATTTGGCCTAAATTCTTATGGTTAGATTATTCAAAGCTTTTGGACAATCCTGATGAATATACTGTTTAAAGAATGAAGGTAGAAGGTTAAAGAAGAACATATGAAAGTAATTTTTTAATATTATTGTAGAATTACATTTTATTCGTGCTTCAACTAGATTAGAAAGATGTTTAGAACTATACTTAAAATGATATATATATTTTATAACTTGAAATTATTTTATTTTTATTAACTTATTTAACTTGATGTCTCTTGGAGTAGATTTTGAACAGTACTAATTTGATAGAAGGCTTAAAGAATTATAAGATAAAGTCACTACTTTAAATCATAGAGCTCCTTAAGTTGATAATTTTAAATAAATGTCCATACGAGAACCTTCATACTTAAACAATTAAATATACTTTAATCCTCTCAATTAACCTCTTTAATCACCTTATCAATATGTACCCTATATGCAGAACTTTAATCCTTATTAATAATAAGTTTTTGATTAAAAAAACGAACTAAAGAAAAAAGAAGAAAAAGAAGAAAAATAAAGGAAAAAAAATGAATAAAGACAATTAGAATTATAGAAATTAGAGGAATAATTACTTAAAAAATAAGAAATAATGATATCAAATATGAAGAAAGATATTTTAGATTATATTGATCCCTACATATATGGATAATATCATAATTACTATAATTATTCTTAATAACCATAAAATTAGTTATAGCAATCTAATTAAAACATGCCAATCTAATATTAAAATTAACTTCCAATATATTCATAGAATCCACCTCCTATAACATTCTAGCCATCCTAATACATGTAACAATATAATAATTCATTTGTTTCATAAAGTATGACAGGAATACCCTAATAATTTAACAATTCATAGTTTTCTAAAATTGGGTAATAATCTATGCAAAAAATAGATAGTTTATTAACAGGAATATGAATTGATATATTATATTCTACTGATTTTATAAATTTAGCTTTTTAAGATAAATATAAATCATTATACAAATATAGTACTTTCATTAGGAATGAGTCGCTTATATTCTTTTTTTTTCTTGATTTATATCGATGATGAAGATGTATCCATTAATTAAAACTATGCTTTTCCAACTATTGTAGTTTCACTACCTTTCTTTTTTTTGATCTTTTTATTTATTCTTTTCTTATTCTAACATAATCCTTTTGGAGTAAGTGTCTCTTCATTTTCTGACTAATATTTTTAAATGTTAACGAAATCCAATGGAATATTTTCAATTAATTTCCTTTTATTTTCAACTAGAATCTCAAATGTCGATTATGAATACAAATTATCTAAGTTTCCTCCAATCTCTAAATATGTTCTTTTTAATTTATAAATACAATCGTTTCGTTAACATCTTAAACAAAAACATAATCCCTTATATAGTAATATTTTACATACTTTACATAAAGGACAAATCCAATTAGGTTAATATATATCATAATCTTCAAATTCATATTTCAAGCATTTAAAACAAAAATATTTTTAACACTGAATTTAATTATCTAATAATTATAAAGTTTATTTACTTTCTATTATATAATTAGTAGAATATAGATCTATATAAAATTTATGCATTTATTTTTAAGAAATAGCATATCTCTACTAGATCAGTATTTCTTCATTGTATTAATGTAAATTCATATTTATATGATTGTATTTACATTATTATAAATTCGTTATTTCAATCATTTATCTACAATTATGACACATTTCAGTGTGGATTTAAACTATAGTTTATGATTCTTTATAAATATCCTATTATTAAACATTTAGCTCCAATTGTGTTTCTCGAAGTCTTTAGAAATTTTAAAATTAATCTATTTTTAAATCTATTGGAGTTCTGCTTAAATATGAATCGAAAGTAACAGTCACAAGATTAGCTATTTTCTATATGATTTTTTACTTTTTAAATTATAAATGGCCTTTCCTATTGAATCTGCTACTTGATAATCTTAATAATGAATAATTATTTTTTCTAGATTCTCTAACTCAAATTATTGATGTTAAACTCTAATTCTAGAAATTCTTAAAGCAAATTGTCCTATTTATTTCACACTGTATTAATATAATAAATATTTATTGATTTCTTCTAAATGTTTTGCTAGACTAAGAAGAGTTTATAAACAAACATACTTATTTAATTATTTTTTATTTCTTTCTTAAACTCTTATCAAATCATCTTCAATTTCCATTATTACTTAGTCTAATTGATCAGGCCAATCAATTCTTTATTATAAGTCTTATAGGATTGATGCTTCTTATTATAAAATTTCCACTTATTTTTCATAAGGTAATAAATTCATATTTTTAAGCAGCATCTTGTTTTATTCTAATCCTTCTCTTAATTCTTAATCACAAATCTTGTCGATCATTTCATCAATTAATTCTTAGATTGGCTCGAATGATTATTCTCTTTACATTAACAATAAACTTAATTGTAGATTAAAGTTGCTTTCATTTAACTTCTAAACTTAGGATCTATATTTTTTTTAAGGTTTCAATATTTTTTCTATCAATCCTTAAGTTTATATATTTACAAAATGAGAAGCTAAAACTAACATTAACACCTACATTTTTTGTATATTTTTTTCTAAATATTCAATTAAATTGGTGTTTCTACCATAAAATATTATAGATTCACTTATCGCCAAAAATCAGAAGTAAAAAGAGATTCAACACTTTTAGCCATTTTTAATATTAATTTTTCCAATTAATAAAATTCGCTCATAAAATCAATAAAATCAGCCTAATTTATATTGCAAGTTCCTTCTTTGATAGAAAACAATTAGGATAACAAATATTATTAATCTATAATTTTTAGAACATTTTGATTTCATTTTCGGTTTCTAAATAAAAAAGTAACAAAGAAAATAAAAATTATAAATATTAAAATTAATATTTACTGTTTAAGGTACTGAATAATATTAATGTTAACTTTCTTAAAAGCTATTTCTGATTATTTAACTTAATACTTATATGATTATTTGAAAGCAATCAACTAGAATATTTTATTAAAATAACAGTATCTTAATATTTTTTAGAAGATCTAAAAATTATGAAAATNTCTCTAACTCAAATTATTGATGTTAAACTCTAATTCTAGAAATTCTTAAAGCAAATTGTCCTATTTATTTCACACTGTATTAATATAATAAATATTTATTGATTTCTTCTAAATGTTTTGCTAGACTAAGAAGAGTTTATAAACAAACATACTTATTTAATTATTTTTTATTTCTTTCTTAAACTCTTATCAAATCATCTTCAATTTCCATTATTACTTAGTCTAATTGATCAGGCCAATCAATTCTTTATTATAAGTCTTATAGGATTGATGCTTCTTATTATAAAATTTCCACTTATTTTTCATAAGGTAATAAATTCATATTTTTAAGCAGCATCTTGTTTTATTCTAATCCTTCTCTTAATTCTTAATCACAAATCTTGTCGATCATTTCATCAATTAATTCTTAGATTGGCTCGAATGATTATTCTCTTTACATTAACAATAAACTTAATTGTAGATTAAAGTTGCTTTCATTTAACTTCTAAACTTAGGATCTATATTTTTTTTAAGGTTTCAATATTTTTTCTATCAATCCTTAAGTTTATATATTTACAAAATGAGAAGCTAAAACTAACATTAACACCTACATTTTTTGTATATTTTTTTCTAAATATTCAATTAAATTGGTGTTTCTACCATAAAATATTATAGATTCACTTATCGCCAAAAATCAGAAGTAAAAAGAGATTCAACACTTTTAGCCATTTTTAATATTAATTTTTCCAATTAATAAAATTCGCTCATAAAATCAATAAAATCAGCCTAATTTATATTGCAAGTTCCTTCTTTGATAGAAAACAATTAGGATAACAAATATTATTAATCTATAATTTTTAGAACATTTTGATTTCATTTTCGGTTTCTAAATAAAAAAGTAACAAAGAAAATAAAAATTATAAATATTAAAATTAATATTTACTGTTTAAGGTACTGAATAATATTAATGTTAACTTTCTTAAAAGCTATTTCTGATTATTTAACTTAATACTTATATGATTATTTGAAAGCAATCAACTAGAATATTTTATTAAAATAACAGTATCTTAATATTTTTTAGAAGATCTAAAAATTATGAAAATCAAGTATTGTATATACATTTAACCACTTATACTTTACATTTTCTATTTTTTTCTTATTTAATAATGATTAAATTACAATACCATTTAAAGTTTTTACTCAATTAAAAATATTCACATCCAACAAAATTGAATTCAAAAATATTTTTTTCCTTAAAATTCGTAAGAATATATTGATTTTCTATAGAATTTCTAAAATTGAGAATTTATTCTCATCAGAACACTAAAATATTTTATCTTAGTATTGATATTAAATGAAAATTCTTTGAAATCTAATTATTAAAACTTTTTATCATGTCTATTTACATAAAATAATTTTATAGGTATAAATATAGATTTTATTTTATTTCATCTAATCAATTTTAGATCTTAACTTTTAATAAATTTAAAAATATATTATATATCATTTTATTCTTAGTCATTGTAAATTTGATAGGCTATTTTTAAAATATCAGTTTTCATAAATAAATAATTACTTTTTATTTTAATGCTAAACCTTTGTTTTATTTAACTTTTCTTCATATTTCAATTTTTTAAATATTATACACATAGCAATTTTATCATGATTCCAATTTTAAACTATATATTGTTTTCTATTTAAAATTTTATCTGTTAAACATGAATTAATCAGCCCCTAAAAGATCATCAAGTTTTGGCAAATCCTTTAATTTCCCATTAGAAATCTCTTCAAAAGACTCAAACAGGTCTATTTACTATACTGAAATAAAGACAAAAAAAATTGACAGATCAATACATGTACCTTTAAATAGTTGGAGAGAATTATCACTAGTTGAATTACTTAATGAAGCAATAGAATTATTAGAAGAAAATAAAGCTTAAATTATTGACTAATAAAAAGTGTAATAAGCATTAATATCTAGTTTAAGAGATTGATTACACAATATGAAAACTTCAAACAAACAAATGAAAAAAAGTAAATGCTCTTCTAAAAAAGATCTCAAATAATCAAAAGTAATATAGAAAATATAATATCGTCATAAAATGACTTTTAAAACTACTTATTAGGAGTAAAAAAATTATGAGAATAATTTATAATTATTTTTATGTGCTCACTTGAATATATAGTAATAAGAATTATTTTCATATCCAAGCAGTATTTGATTCTTAAAAAAGAACTTATCCCTTTTAATTTACATTTTAAAATTAACTTCACTTTTTATTCACAGCTCATTTCATCTTTACAATAAAATTAAGTTAATATATATATATTTTAAAAGCAAAGTAATAATTATAAAATGAACAAAAGCTTAAGTTTTTTTTTCTTTCATTTAATTCACATAGAAATTAATATTATAAAATTTATGCTTTTATTGAATTAAGATATAATTGTTTCACGATACTTTTTGATAAAATAAATTATATCATACTATAGCTTCATCCTTTTAGAATCTGAAAAAATTGACAACTTAAATGGCTTGCACTCTATTAGCAAAATTTAATGAATAAAAATTCTTTCTCTCTCGTGGATGTGTAGAACATATATCTTTCAAAGAATCATCTGAGAGAAAATCATAATCAATTTCATCCTCCTAAATTACATCTTTCATTTTTTATTGTGGTTAGAATTATTCAACAATTGAAAAATTGATTTTTATGAATTCCAATATACATGCTTTTATAGTATCTTCATTTATTGGTTAATCGAGAGGAAATTCTTCATAAATTGGTTTTAGTTCCTAAGCTTTATTATCATTTTATAATTTTCTCTCTTTAATTTATCTCCCTAACTCTCTTTATTTATTTTTTATTTATTCTTATCTTCGATATTCTTATTATATTTCCTCCGGAGTATAGAATTTAACCAGGTTTCCATTATTTGTTTTTGGAAAATCAGATCCTTTTGTAATTTTTAATTTTTTAACTTCATCAACTAAACTTTCTATGGATCTCTAAATATAATTTTTTTCATGAATTTCTTTCATTTAATAATAGTTATATTTAGGGATCTCTATTTACTCCTAATAGTCTAAGTATAAATAATTGATATACATTTTTTAATCGGGTATTCTAGTAATAGTCCTTATTTGTTACAATATTTGACATATTCATAAATATCATTATAATTATGAGTCTCTAAAAATTCTAATAATTTTGGATGAGGAACACATTTCCAAAATATTTAATCATTTTCTATTTATTCTAAATAATATTCTCTTAATTAGACTTATTTCCCTCTTGTTTTAAAGCTAGTTCTAAATTGATAAATGTATTTAAAATCTTCATCCCAAGAGTCATCTTCATTTTCTTTAGGGTTTTTTCTAACCTTTTTTGATGTTCGAGGTTCTGATTCTTATTCAATTTAAGAGAAATCTAAAAATGAATTCGACTCATTAGTTTAAATCATTATTTGATGTGATAACAATTTTCCCAACTCATCATTTAAAGAAAATCCTTATTATTTTTTGTTTTAATAGTTATTTGATTTGAGGATAGACATATTAAGAAAAAAACACTTCAAATCTGTCACATCTAGCTTTTCTAACTTAAACTTTAATAATTTTGAGCATTACAAAATTAGAAGTAAAAATAATTATTTAAAAAATTTTATTTTTTTATTACTTCTTTATTTAAAGAATTACTTCATGTGTCTTAAAATGATTTTGCAAAAACAATTTAAGAATAAAAACAAGCAATATATTATTTTAGTTGATTTGCTATTATTAATATACAAAAATTTTTTTGTAGTTCTCAAAAATTGATTATTTTACATAGGCTTCATTCATTTTTAAATAAAATTATTGAATTATAATGAAATGTTCCTAGATAGGAGTATTTATTATACATATAAAATAATTTTGAAGCTGAATTATTAAATGTTTGTTTTAACAACAAATATAATAATATTAGATATTAAAGAGTATTTATTATAGTTTTAAAACAATAGGTTTGTATTTAAAAAGATCTGAGTAAATTTGAAGAAAAAAGTATAGTATTTTGTTTGAACTAATTTTATAATGAATTATATTGGTTTCATTATAACATATCAAAATCATCTTCATTAATATTATGTTATTTCCATATTTGATCCCAGATATCATCTTGTCTTTATAACTTGAGATTATTGAATTAGTCTATTAGGGTATTATCTTGTTGAACTTCATTTTAATTAATCGGCATTTCAATCATCATATCATTAGGATTCTTTTAACCCCAATTAGGATCTCCTTATAAAAATTGGTTTTCAATATTGTTCTGTTCTATTTAGATTTGTTTATCTGGTTCTTTTTTGTCTGGACAAGAGATTAGATGTTGTTCCATGTCCTAGATTAGATAATTGATTACTTCTCCCCTAAATATATGCAGGAAATTGAAAGGACAATGCCTATACATATGCTTATTCATTTTACGCTCTTGGCATTCTCTAGAAATGTGAAAGATAAGCCTATTTGGGGCCATCTTATGTAAATTATTGAAAGGACAACAAACTTATTACTATTATTACATAGAGTAGATGAAAATATAATCAGCCACTTTAAAATGAAATATTAATGGGCTTTTATAATTAATAATTATTTTTTTTAAAACGGATAGAATGAGAACAAAACATCTAGTTTTATTAGGTGTTATTATAATGCAAGGTATGATATCATTTAAAACTGTTTAGTTTGCTTTGTGTAAGCATTGCATTATGATTTGACAACACTTCTGGATTAACAAAATGAAGTTGACTGTGAAAATACTGATTTTGTATAAATGCTTTAAGACTTTGATTAATGGAGCGAAATAATAGAATTGTTATAACAAGGTTAATTGGATGCAGAAATGAAACAATTATAAGAACTTTCTGATTATACTAATGAAATGATATAGGGTAATTATTTTAGCCAAAAGTTAGCTAATCCAAATGATTTAATGGAAGACTAATAATATGATGAATAATTAGAATAAATGGATGAACAACTATAAACAATTCAGAATTAATATAATGGACCATAAAGAAAATTCTTATTTGAATAAAGCAGATAAATATCTGATCAAATTAGAAGAGTAATTGAATCAAGTATGATTATATTTTAATCATAATTATAGGATCCTTTGAATAAAAGAGATCATAATTGGCAATGTTATATGGATTGATTGAATATTTATTGAAATAAATTTCTAGAGTCTAAAACCAATATTAATAAACAACTTAACCACAACAAAGATAATAATAACCTTAACCTTAACCATAATAAAGAATCAAAGAATAAAAAGAGAGAATTATTGCAATAAAAGATAAATGTGGCGATAGATACTAATAAAGAAAAGTTTCAAAATAAAGAGTTGTACCTGGAAATTATAGATAAAATGATCATCCAGTACCAGAAGAGGTTGGTTGTGACATTCCCTTCCCTTAATAAAGATAACCAAAATGTGTAGTTGGATCAGATATAGTATTAACAAGTTCAATATCTGCTGATTAACCAACTGTTTCAACAGAAGTAAAAAAATTGAAAGATGTTAATGAATATGGTTTTGGTTTTTGGATGAGATTTTTAACGTTATATCCAGAATAATTGTAAACTGGTTTGACTGACTAATCTTACTTTGTTGCTAAATTGACAAAGAATTAATAGGATGGAGATGATAAGATTGGAGATAGATTACTAACTATATTCTAAACCTAAGAATAATATATTTTCAGTGCTTAACATGATAAACCTGAAAGAAAAGAAGCAACAGCTGCTATTGTATTTGGAGATATTGAAGCTGTTTGGACATATGTTTATTACAGTTACTCAGCATATCAATAATAAGCTATTGGTTTCTATAAACAATCAAATAGTTAATTAGTTAAATAAGTTACATTACCAGCATCTTAAGGAACTCCATAATATTTAAGATTTGTTTTAGGAGGATAGTATTTTGATTTCCCAGGATTTAATGGATAAATTAGTAGACCAGTATTAGCAATTGGTTTGGGAACATATTTAATCAATGAATAAGAATTTTTATAATTTGCTATTTCATGCAATCCTTAACCATATGTTGCTCCATAAAAATTAGTTCCATATTAATTCGTTAGAGAATCAAAGTATGTTGATATTGAAGATAATGCTGCACCACCAACATAAGAATTTATTGATTTATTATTACCAGATGAATATGCAGTTTAAGGTTGGTTTAAATGGGAAGAGACAGATTTGTAAGAGAACTGGCATACAATGTTTAGATTATCAAATACACCTTTAAGAAAATAATAAATTTTATTAGGAGAGAGAGTATTAGCTGCTTGGTTAGGTAAACCAAAAGGAGGATAAATTCATTTTTCTACATATTCTTATGCAAATATGAAAGGATCTGGTAATCCAAATGCTCATCAATATGTTTAACATTAAGATTAACATTTACATTGGCATTTTGTATACTTTGGTTATAG